TTGTTGGCAATTTTCAACGTTTTCATCATTTTCTCAATATTTAATTTCAGATTTGAGAGCAAATTGAAGCTGAATCGTGTGAAAACTTTGATTTGTTTGCTCATTCAGTTTCAATTTGAATTTTCTTAATTTCAGATTAGTTATCTACAAATCTCTTTTCGGCCCATCATGCTCTCGCACTGAAGGCTTTGGCAACATGTTTGACTTTGAGATTTGTTCTCATTGAAATTGAATTTTCAGAATCTCTTCTCCGGTCTTCATTTTGCGCCAATAGCCATCGATACTACCGTTTGACTATTGTTTTTTTTACTCTTTATCAATTTCAATTATTTTCAGATGCAGTGAAAACCATCAAAAAGAGACAACATTTCGAGGAACAACTCATTTTTGAAGGCAATCGAAAGGTAATGTCGGTTGGTTTCAAACGACTGATCGAAAGGAGGCTTCATTCTGATGAAATCTCCGTGCTGGACAAACAGTTGAGTTTTCTTCTGGACTTTAATGGTAGAAAAAACGATCCGCTGGTTCAACCATACGAATTGCTAAGTTGGGTAAATATCAAAATACTACAGCACAGTCATTTTTTAAAATTTCGATTCGCCGTTTGAAACCGACAATAAATTGATTTTTGGATTCTAGCCTAAATTTTCCATTAATTTAGATGTCTTGCCAAAACGGAGGATGCTGAGGCCTGCAGAAAAGAAAAAAAAACAAACGTCCGGAAAACGCTTGCTTGAAGAGTTTTTGATTGTGGACGTCCCCGTAAAAGCGGGATTCCCAATATTCTTTTTAGATCGTCTTCCGAATCAGGTTGGTGTATTTCATCGATTTTCGAGTTCGTATTTGACCAGGTTAATCAAAATGTAAGTTGAATTTTGTGAGCTCGAAAAGAGAGTCACGATGTAAAAACGCGTTGGTAAATGATTTTGCGAATTTCGGCGAAAAAAATGATGTGTTTGAAAATAAAAACACTGTTTAAAAATTTCCATTAGAAACGATCATTACGCTAAATAGTAGGCTACTTCGTAAATTTGGAGTGTCGTTGCGATGGGTTTTTCATTTTGAACTGGAATATGTGAATTTGCATGAAGCAAGTTACCTACATTCATAACATGTTATATAGAAATCAGCGTCAGCAAGGATTAAGCTAATAGTTTTATACAAATTATTTTTTGAAGAAAATATTCAAGCGTTTTTGAAATTTCGTGAAAATGTCCTCTAGCAATAAAATGCACGATTAGAGAGGTGGTCGTGAGCAAAGCAATCGTTGTAAGAAGCCCAAATCCAGGTTTTTGGCATTCCTCCAGTTTGTTTTTCCAATAATCAATGTCTTTTTGCGTGATTTTATATAACGAAGCAGCGACCTGAAAAATAGTGATCAAAAATGGAGGTCTCGTGTTGATTTGAATTTTTTGTTACACCAAATCGAAAAGAAAAATTACGAAATGTTCTTCAGCAAATCTTTATGGACCCATTCATGAAATTTTTCTTTTTTTTTACAAAAAGTTTTAAAAAAATTGCATTAAATTTGCATTCCTTTACAACCCTGCATTGGAAAAATGCGTAAATTTTTTTATTGCATGAATTGGTCCATTGTATAAAATCGCTTACCGTGTTTATATGGCTATCGGTGAACGCGTGTCGCACAATTTTCATCGGCGATTTCAGCCAGCAATTGCAGAAACGACAGACGCCCTTTATAAATGAGGATTTGTTATTTCAAAAGAAGCTGTTCACAACATGCCTCATTCGGTCCGAGACGCTTTGACTGGTATAATTCGAGGAATTTGCCTTCGTCGAGATTTTCGAAAAGCTTTTGAATTGATTTGCCGATGGAAATTTGTCGATCATGCGACATTTTGAGATCGAACATTGGCGCGATTATCCATCTATTCGACACGACCACTTCCGATTCATTGGGATACCGAATCGGTCTCTCTGTTAGGTCCGTCATCTCGCAAACGTCAAGCCAATAATCAATCGCCTCTTTGCATAGGGAATAACCAGCTTGTCTCACCTTGAAATATTATCGTTCTGGGTCTCGCCGCGACTCATTCGGATCGGTATCAAAATTCGAAATTATAATTGGCACAAATTCATAAATTCCACCAAAATTCCATTCGAAAGTGATATCGAACCGAGTTCTGTCATGAGGCGGCAAATTAATAGAACTTACCAAAAATAGGTGCTGAAACGAGATCGCGTGGTAGGCAATATCGATATCTGTATCGAAAAAAACCGATTTTTCGCAAATTGCGCAAATTTTCTGAAAAAAAATAAAATAAAACGACAACAACGATATCTCATGGCAAACGCGTTGAGAGATTGCCGGTTTAGGATAATTTTCTAGATAAAAAACTACCTCATCCGCAAATGCAAAATTTCCATTCGATAGCATTGTGAAGCATTCACGAATATAATCGATTTCACGTTGAGTGGGTCCAGCTACGAAGAAAACCAATTCGAGAAAATCGCGTCGAGATCTTACCTATAATTGTTTTGTGGTCCGGATACTCGGCGAACAACGGCAAGTCGAGCACGGGCAGCGATTTATCATAAACACCAAAGCAGAAGCCGTAAATTCGACGCGTCGTTGAATGATGGCATTTTTGACGAATCACCAACTCCCAGAAATCGAAATCGCTGATAGTGGCGCCAATCGCGGAGAGATGCCTAATATGGTCATGGCTGCAAATGTGCTCGATGGCATTGAGCACGACCGTGTCGCAGACGTAGCAAAACGTCTGCAAGATGCGAAGGGATTATGATGGCGAATTCGTGCCGAGACCCACCTCAATGAATTCTAGGCGCACCGATTCGTGTCGTTTCGCGAAGCACTTGACCATGTTCAGAAGCACCAAGCCCTTCAAGCACATAAGTCAAATTTGCCAAACGGACGCGACAAAATTTGGCTTCGGAATCAATCTTATCCGATTGGATAATTCTAGGGATAATATTGAAAAATTGCCGGATCCGATTTGAATTGAAAATTAAACACAAATCGGATCCGATAAATTCGGTAGCCGAATTTTGAAGAATCCGATGGATTTTGAGGTACGGGAGGGGTAAGCTTAAAAACCAATAAATAACGTCATTTGAATTTTTGTGGTTACCTCTCCCCCTTTAAACACTGTAGGTTAAATGAAGATCCAATTCAAAAAAAAGGATTCACACGGATCTTTAGCGAAATAAAAAATTATTTTTCACGGTTTCTAGCAAAAAAAGCAAAAATCATAAAAAAAAAGCTTGCCTTGCTATTCCCTTTCTTAGGCGTATTACTCATCAATGGATACGAGACTGCAAATTTGGTTGTTATTTCTTTTTTATTAAATTTCAACATTTTTTATGTACTTTGGATTTGCTCGCACCTCTCGGCGAATCTCTTCCAGAAGTCCAAATCGCATTTTTCGATATTCCGAGATGATCTGAGGCTTATCATATGATGTTGGCTCTTGATGTGATTGAAGACATCGACGAATGTGGCGAATGGTGGCGAATTGGCGCAAAAACCGCAACAACGAGCAGGATGTACCTTTAATAATTTGGCAAATTACGGTAGCGCTCGACAATGTGTGCAAAAACAGCGATAACATAATAATCAGAAAAGCAACGAAACATGGTCGAATATAAACGGGTCCCATTTATTTCTATTTTTCAATTAAGGATTTCTACTGATTTTAATTATTCGTAAGTAACTCTAACGCGCCTTTCAATCGCTCTTGATTAATGCGGACTGTAATTCAGCGATTTGCATTTTTAAATCAATTCAATTCGAACTATGCGTCTTTCAACGCTATTTTTTTTTGATAATGTGTTTTCAAATAATATTAGAAACATTAAAAAAAAAACTGGGCGGTTTCTCCCGGGATTTACCTTCGTTTTATTAGCCTCGTGCTTCGCGCATTTCGTATTCAAGTAATTCAATCTTGCGATTAGGTTATTTAATTGATCCGGATCAATTAAATTCCTTTCTTGTGTTTGTATTCTTCGATCGAATAGCGGAATTGGAACTGTAAAAGGAATGGAAGGCGTTTTTAATAGAGAAATGCAAAAATGAAAAAGAAAACATGGAGAAACTTTCAATTTCGAAATCGCGCGAATCCAACAAATTGGATAAATGCCAAAAATGGTCTCGAGCAGACGATAGGCGTTTGGTGTACTCAACACGTACAGCGCACCATTTAGCAACACAGCGTAAAAATTTCCGCGCGTAAATCGACACTCTTGTTGCGAGACCCAAATCTAGAGTGAAGCGCGCCAATTGCAGTCGCGCGACTTCGACATTATGATTTGTTGAAATATGAATTTACCGTAGTTCGAAATAGCGGACTTCGATGGCGTTGAAAGAACTGGAACTGGTTTTTGCGCTGAAAATTGAACATTTTCGCTTCGAGACCTCATGGTCACAAATTGCGGTTTTTTTTTGCACAACTATTCTTTCGTTTCTGTCAGAAATTTATGGAAACGAGAATGTGATCAAGAAAATAGAGATTTAAGGTGGAAATCTCACTTCTTTTTTTTTTTAAGATTCCAACAACTAAGGGAATGGCACCACATTCTCAGAATAACCCCGACATCCATTAGTGAAGGGAAGTGTGGGCAATCGAAAATGAATTCGGGACCATTTCTTTGGTTGTCGGTTTTTAATATTGATGGCGGATTTTTCTTTTTCGAAAGCATCGTAGGAAATGCGTAAAACGGAAGCATATAACCTCTACATATATGGAAACATAATCAGATTCTCACTGACTGTGGATTCTAAGGTGAATGAAAATCAAAAGGATTCGAAGAAAAATGAAATATAGATTAACCTAATTCGATTAAAAAAAATAATTGAAATTCGATTGAGAAAGTGTTTAAATTCGATTTGAAAATTTGGTTTCGTTTCAAAAATCTTCGAAATCGATTGATTTATTTCTCAATTTCAATTTTGAAATCGAATTCGATTGAAACTCTGGAATAATTCGAAACATATTAATTTAGATTAGATTTCGAATCCGATTGATTTTCATATACCTGAGTTAGGACACACACTGAAATACTTTTATGCTTCCATATAGCTCGATTTTAAAATTCCCATCTTTCTAGATTTACTTTTGACGTCACTTATCAGCGGTTTTCCGGTCGGCAAATTTTGGGTTCAAACCGGAGTACCATCGCCAACCAGTATATCTACCCGGGAATTTCGTTTCCCGGGTTTATCCGGGAAATCCCGGGTCCCGTCCCGGTTTCGTCCCGCAACTACCCGGGAAACCCGGGACAATCCCGGGAAAAAGTCTGCAAACACCGCGCGCGCAAACGCACACTCTTCGAATATTGCGTATTCTCGTTTTTTTTTTAAATGAATTTTCTTATTTTAAAAAGATTCCAATGCTTAGAAAATGGCATAGGAAGTCCCTATTTGGCAAATCTTTTGGAATCTTTTTAAAATAAGAAAATTCATTAAAAAACCGACAATACGCAATATTCGAAGAGTGTGCGTTTGCGCGCGCGGTGTTTGCAGACTTTTTCCCGGGATTGTCCCGGGAAATTAAGTTTCAATGAGTCCCGGGTCCCGGGAATTTCCCGGGAAACTTCGTCCCGGGTAGACACACTGCCGCCAACTCTGATAGTGAACTGCAAAACCCGAAGAAAAAAATGATTCTCACCAAAATCTTTCATTTATTTAAGAAATTACCATCATTTTCAATTTGTTCGGCTTTTTCAATGAATTTTCTCCAATATTCGAGATCGCTTATTGCCACTTTATAGTCTTTTTTGAGAATTTCGCCATGGATTTTCGCGAAGACGTGCGAAGCGATTGATTGAAGATTCATGCAATAAACAAATTTTCCTTTTCTTTTCAAACAAATTTCACAAAGCATATATTCAAACTGAAAAAAAATAGAATTTCAACCATAAATTTGAGTAAACACCTTTTCAGTATTGATTTTAGCAACATATGTTAGGGGAATGTTCGAAAATCTCTTCGCAAGTGCATCGTATTCCTTCTCAAATTCGAGATCTTCTGAAAATTCGAGAAAATTTCCATTTTTATTCAAATTGAATGCTTACTTTTCCCATTTCCGAGGAAATTGAACAACGGGATTTCTTCTTTCGCATTTTCAAAGGCAATGTCCGTTGCGGCTTCTGCTTTTTTTATAAACGTCTTCCAATATTCCAAATCCTTTTTCGTTCCTTCGCATTTTTCTTTAATTTTTTTAGAATGACCCTTTGAGAATATATGAGAAGCCAGTGAGGAAAATGATTGAATTCGGAATTTACAAAAATCACAAGTAAGGTCTAGCTGAAATTTGATGAAGATTTGAATGAATCAATTGGTTATATAGTCGGCGTTCGGCGACTACTGTACGCGGGTAGATTTACCGGAATGCGTATTTCGAAATGGTCTCGCACGGACTAACAAGTTATTTCAAATTTTATGGACCGTTTCGATAATTTTTTAATCGATTGTCGTTGGAAATTCAAGGAAATGCGAAACTCATCAAGAAAAATGAAGCAGTTCACGTGAAAACAGCAAAATAAGCATTCACGCGTGGCGAGACCTTTTCAAGGCGCATGCGCGTAAATCTACCCGCGTACAGCACTCGCCGGACGCCGACTATACCAAAATACCTTTTGAACACGCATTTTCACAATGATTTTTGCCGGAATACCGTTAATTTGTTCGCACAATTTGTCATATTCCTCAATAAATTCAGCTTCTTCAAAAAACATATGCGATTGATTGAATGCGCCTTTAAAATTGGTCTCACTTGGCAATTTGTTAGTTGATCCAAATGAGTTGAACAGCGGATATTTCGGGTCGTTTCCTTTTTTGTTCTCTTTTTTTTTCGTTTTCTTTTTTTTCGTTTTTGTGATGCACATATTCTCAAACGTTGATTTCGTTTTTCCCATTTGTGAATACTTCGACCTTTCTAAAAAAAAAATAAGGTTAGATTTAAAATAATTTGAAATTTACCGTTATTCATAATATTTTCAGCTTTTTCAATGAATTTTCTCCAATATTCGAGGTCGCTTATTGCCACTTTATAGTCTTTTTTGAGAATTTCGCCATGCGTTTTCGAGAAGACGTGCGAAGCGATCGACTGATAATTTTGGCATTTTTTTGATATTCCAGTTGCTTTCAAACAACTTTCGCATATCATTTCACTCAACTGAAAAAATGATATATTCAATTTCAAAAAAAATTAAATACTTTGCTAGTATTGACAATTGCAACACACTCTATGGGAATATTCGAAAATCTCTTCGCAAGTGTATCATATTCCTTCTCAATTTCGGGATCTTCTAAAAATTCAAAAAAAAAAAATTTCCATTTTTATTCAAATTGAATGCTTACTTTCCCCATTTCCGAAGAAATTGAACAACGGGATTTCTTCTTTCGCATTTCCAAAGGCAATGTCCGTTGCGGCTTGTGCTTCTTTTATAAACGTCTTCCAATATTCCAAATCCTCTTTCGTTCCTTCGCATTTTTCTTTAATTTTTTTAGAATGACCCTTTGAGAATACATGAGAAGCCAGTGAAGAGAATGATTGAATTTGGCATTTACAGAAATCACAAGTAAGGTCTAGCTGAAATTTGATGAAGATTTGAATGAATCAATTGTTTATTCCGAAATACCTTTTGAACACGCATTTTCACAATGATTTTTGCCGGAATATCGTTAATTTGTTCGCACAATTTGTCATATTCCTCAATAAATTCAGCTTCTTCAAAAAAAAAAATGCGATTAATTAAATGCGCCTTTAAAATTGGTATCACTTGGCAATTTGTTAGTTGATCCAAACGAGTTGAACAGCGGATATTTCGAGCCGTTTTCTTTTTTTGAAGTTTTTTCGATGCAAATATTCTAAAATGATAATTGAGTTTAACAACGGATATTCTGGGATAACCTTATTTTTCGCCTTTTTACCGATACAGTGAAGCAATGCTTCTTTCCAAATCGCATAATCCGAAATGGAAAATCCATATTTGATTATCTAAAATTCTTCAACTCAAATAATTGTTAATCATCTAGGCGGTTTTACATAGTTCTTATGCTTTCTCGCGAATATGTGCGTTCCCAGCGAGACAGCATCCGAGAAACAGTTTGGTCTGAGTCCGCATGGCTTACAAGTGGCCTTAAAAGGACATTACCGTAATTTTAAAAGCAATTGCAACCTTCTCATTAATCTTATAAATGGATACGCCATGTTTTTTCCATGTCGTAGCGTCGACCGAATTCCAGAAAAATTCGAGTTCGTCAATTAATCTTTTCCGCATATTTTCTATATTAAATTTAGAAACATTCAATAATTTTTGATAGAATACCTGGAACTGCCAATTCCGGAGAACACGAATCAATAAGTGGCAATCGCGGATCATTTTTTTCAGCCAAGAGAGTTTCATTGCGTTCTTCTGCAAACAATTGAGTAATTAGAAAGGTTGTACGGTAAACGCTCAGTGTATGCACACTTGAAAAACTTCACGCGCATATGCAGACTGTAGCTAGTTGGGGAATTTTTTTTCGTAATTATCTAAGCGGAAAAAGAGACGCTGTTTTTTCAGCCGTTCAATCGTGAAAAATACCCTGTCATTTTTTTTATTCATTAAATATTTTCGGTTTAAAACACCTCCGAAAATTGATGATTTCGACCGATCCTGAAACAAAATTTGCAGCTCACTAAGTAAGGGAAATTTCACGTCGAAGGGTAGGTCTAGCCGAAATTTCACGGCCAGGAAATTTAACGATTACTTATGTTTAAAGGTGCATGTGGGAAAATGGTAAATGCGAAGTATTTTCTTTTCAGCGTTCTGTTCTAACAAAAGCTGTATTTCTCTGAGCAATGAGTTTTTATCCAACGTGTTGCCAAAAAATTAAGTTAAACTGTTGAAAATCGAATTCCCTGAGAAGTGCAATAAAATAATGAATACACTATTTTTTCAGACACAGAGTTCTTATAACCGACTGACTCAGACTGAAATGAAAATAATAGGGAAAAAAACTAGCCATTTTCGTCAACTTCACCATTCGCAATTTGGCTGGAATCTTCGCTTTCTCCAGGTGGTTCTGATGAAGCTGAAGATTTTCAGTTTCGCGGAAATATTTAGAATATTCAAGGCTACCTGGAATTTCAAAAACAGAATTTTTCGTCTCGTCGATTACTACAGATTTTCTTCGGCTTGTTAATTCCTCATCGGAAGAGAACTCAAAAGAAGAATCCGATTCATTCCCAACCGAAACCTTCAAAAATCAATTACAAATTTCACTAAAATTGTTTTTTCTCACTTTTCTTCTTCGAAATGGGTATTCCGGACCATATAATTCGATAAGTGTGCCTAAATATGGATTTCGATAATTTTTCATTCAGATTCGGTCAAACATACTCAATTTATATGTAGTCCATGATCCATTATTCAACCAATCAATCCCAATTATATCATCGTCTCCAATTCCACCACATTCGTACAAATCTTCAAGTAAATCTCGGCTACATTCTCTGAAAATTCAATTTTTTAAAATTTACTTTGTTTAAATACAAATTCGGTGCTCACTTGTTTCGATATTGAAATTTTGTCGTCATCACAAGTATTGCCTCAAAATGTTAACGATTTATTGAAAAAACAAAAACGTGAGAATTTAATAAAAAGATATCGCATGCTGGATAAATATGTAAATTGTAAATTATGTAAATTGTAAAAAGTTTGGAGGCCTTGCTGTATCTACAATTTTTCGAAATCCGAAACAGCTTGTAGCAAAAGCTTATGGTGTGACAAATCGCACAGTTGTCCATGTCAGAAAATCACCACCCTCGCCGATGAAAAGAAAAATGAATCGTCGTGAAATGTGGGAAAAGGTATAATCATCTACTAGAAAAGGATGATAAGAAAAAAATTCGACAATACGTCCACGAAGCTTGACAGCAAAAGCTTGATATTAATGTTCCCGTACTTCTTGGCTGGTGCAAGGAACATATACAGTTCGAGTATGGAGCTGCAACTCTACGGTCAATTTTGCACTCCAAATGAAAAATTTCGAAGGAAAATACGGAAGTTGAGCGAAAAATAAAAAAATGAATTTTGTAATGTAGAGATAAAGTGGAAATGGGAGAGTGGGCGAGACGATGAGGCGGTGGGCGAGAGAGAGTGCGAAACGAAGAGACGCACGCCATCATGCCTTTTTTAAACAAAAAAAAATTTTAACAAAAAAGTGCACCGACCACGTTTTTCGCAAGGCTTTTTTCTATCGAAAAAGCTTTACTATAATTCAATCGGATAAGTATTCAGAGGTCCGTAGTTTTTTAAAGATTGAACTGTAAAAATATTCACATTTCTTTTCTCTGTTTTTTCACTCTCTCTTTTGTTAATATCATTTATTGTTATATTATATGGTTTGATTTATACGATTATGTTTGGTAACACTTGGAAAAACATTTCATAGTTCTTTATTTTTAATTTTTTTTTGCAAATTTTAAATGTAAATTGTGTGTCATTTCGGCGGAGAAGTTGCAAGAGATTCTCTATAATTTTTTGTTGTTGTTTTTTTTTTAATTTTGTTAGTTCTTACGTTAATTTACCGTTTTCAGCTTTTTTTTGTTATTTATCTCTCTCGCGTCTTTATCTACTCGCATTGAATTCATTTATTGAATTCAGATAAGCACTCCATCTCGAAAATCAAAAGCTGGCGGAGTGATGAAACGATATCACGGACAATTCGCTTTTCGAGATTTTTTTAACTTCAGAATTACTTTAAAAGACCAATGGAAAGACGTCCTCAGCCCAAAAATGCCTTTTTTTTTAGCTATTTGTGTTGTATAGCAACAAATACATCTTTTCAAGCTGCCTAATGAAATCGGTAAAGAGAATCTTGTTAAATGTATTTGTTGATTATCCATTTGTTTCCAAATTGATAAGTGTATTTTTTCCCTATTAGTTTTGCAATTTTCCAAACGTCCTTATATCCTCTTTTTCCGAATTCAATCTCTCTCTCGCGTCTTTATCTACTCGCATTGAATTCATCTGCTACATATCATCAATTTTTATATCATAATTCAATTGTGTAGTATTTCTTTCGTTTAATTGATGGTTTTATCATTTAAAAATGTTATGCATATGTTCAAAAAAAAAGATCCGTGTGAAATTCAAACACGCCGTGTGAAATTTGTGAACGCCGTGTGAAATTCAAACACGGCGTTCACACTAGTGGGATTTACATGAAAAAAAGATTTGTCTCAATGGAGCGCACTTGCAGCTTAGCGCTATTCCGGTGCATAAATTCAACAAATTAAATTTGTAAAATAAATTAGAAATTTTCTCAAAATGGAGCGTTTTTTCAATGAGAACTATTAGTTTTTATATTTCTTCGGGTGGATCAGCTTCACCGCAATTTATGGTCTATTTAGTTATAAATTAAACAAGTTATTTTAATTTATATCGGATCTTTTTTTTTGAACATATGCATAACATTTTTAAATGATAAAACCATCAATTAAACGAAAGAAATACTACACAATTGAATTATGATATAAAAATTGATGATATGTAGCAAATTGAATACGGAAAAGAGGATATAAGGATAATCAAAATGAACATTTGGAAAATTGCAAAACTAATAGGAACAAAATACACTTATCAATTTGGAAACAAATGGATAATCAACAAATACATTTAACAAGATTCTTTTTTACCGATTTCACTAGGCAGCTTGAAAAGAAAAATTTGCTGCTATACAACACAAATGACTAAAAAAAGACATTTTTGAGCTGAGGACGTCTTTCCATTGGTCTTTCGGAGTAATTCGGAAGTTTAAAAAATCTCGAAAAGCGAATTGTCCGTGATATCGTTTCATCACTGCCAGCTTTTGATTTTCGAGATGGAGTGTTTATCTGAATTCAATAAATGAATTCAATGCGAGTAGATAAAGACGCGAGAGAGATAAATAGCAAAAAAAGAAGCTGAAAATGGTGAATTAACGTAAGAACTAACGAAATTAAAAAAAAAAAACAACAAAAAATTATAGAGAATCTCTTGCAACTTCTCCGCCGAAATGACACACTATTTACATTTAAAATTTGCAAAAAGATTAAAAATAAACAACTATGAAATGTTTTTCCAAGTATTAACAAACATAATCGTATAAATCAAACCATATAAAATAATAATAAATGATATTAACAAAAGAGAGAGTGAAAAAACAGAGAAAAGAAATTTTAATATTTCTACAATTCAATCTTTAAAAAACTACGGACCTCTGAATACTTATCCGATTGAATTATAGTAAAGCTTTTTCGATAGAAAAAAGTCTTGCGAAAAACGTGGTCGGTGCACTTTTTTGTTAAAATTTGAGAAAAATTCAAAAAACTTGAAAAAAGAGTCAAAACCTGGCGATTTTTAAAAAATTCGTCTGCGCGACAAAGACGCCAACAATCGATCACTGACACAGTTTGAGTTTTCATTTCAGGTAAATCCCACTAGTGTGAACGCCGTGCAATGTCCAGCAAAAAGAGGGCCGCGGCCGAAGTTCACCTTTATTTAAATGCAAGTCCCCATTCGTAAACACCGATTTAGTCAATTACTTATGCTTTTAGTCGTATTATTTCAGTTTGTTAAGTTGTTTCCCCAGCCCACCATCCACCTATATTTAGTATCATCAAGTTTGTTTTTAGTTTGTATCGCTTTGTTAACATTTTGTTCGTGTTCGTTCAATAATGAAGGTTTAATTACCCAAGTTTGAGGTTCACTCGACTTGTTTGACGGTTCCAATACCGTATCAGTATTTGGGAAAAGTTACTTGGCGACCACGAGCAAAAGCCGCTGAAGAGGAAAGACAGGTATTCTTGTTTTATTTCGGTGCGGAAAATCGGTTATTAAAGGCGGTGTGGTTTCGGACTGCACTTGCGATTTAATAAACGATTAAAAATCGCGGGTTTCTACCTAAGGCCAGCAGGTTCCAGTGAGGAAGTACCCTCTGGGATCGCTGAACGAAGGTGAAATCGCGTACAGTGACAAGTGTTCTAAGGGTTTACCTTACACGGGTCATTGTAGGATTGGTGGTTTGGGTGAAGGATATGGGAGAGGAGCAGCAGCGGGTGAAAGTGGAAGAGATAGACTTTGGTTGCAGGATGGCACCAAAAGGATTAGTGCAAGTGGAGCGATTGATTTTGGAGCTAGAGGAGATATGGAACGGACAGGAAGGAAAAATGAAGGCGCTAGCGGAGGTGAAAAATGAGGTAAGACAGCTGGGAGATTTTAGGAAATGTATGAGTGTAGTGGGCAATAAGTTAAAAGAGCATGGAGCATGCGCGGAAAGGATGAAGAAGTTAATGAAGGATGGAGCGGTAAGGTTAACCGAGAGACAGAAAGATGGTGTGGTGATGGTGTGCGGAGATCATTGGACCAAGATGATGGAGATGTGGCGACAGGCGGAAGAAGGAATGGTGGAGGAGGTAAAAGAAAATGACGGGACCGCCGAGCTGTTGGGGTGTATGCACCAAATGGGGCTGAGGAGTGTGGCGGACGTGGAGGAGATGTTATTTTTTAATGAAAAGAAAGGAAAGGAGATTGAAGAATTGGAATTGCAGATCGTGAAGCTGCACGAGGAGAGGGAACGCCAAGAAAAGCAGGTGGTAGGACTTCAACAGGAGAGGGATTCATTGATAGCGGAGGAGGCGGCGGTAGAAGAGGAAAAGAGGAAACTCTTGGAGGAGTTGGACCGGAAAGGTGAGGAAGAGCGGGAATGGAATCAAAATGACAGGATATTACAGGGAAGGCGAAGAGAAGCAGGGAGGAACGAATCGTCCCCGCGTTGGATGAGGATCAGCGACGATCCATGGAGAAAAGGTACGTCGATGATAGAAGAAGATATTGTACGGAGGGAAGAAAAAGAGAAGGGGAGTGGCTTGAAGGAAGCGTTAGAAGGAATGGTAGCGATGAACCTACTAGGGGATCCAGAGCCGTATGATGTGGGTACAAATCGGAATTTTCGGGCGTTTGTCGGAACCTTTTTGGCAAAGTATGGGAAATTAATTACGGAGGAGCAGGGAAAGATTGCGATCTGGTACGATAGGTTCCTGAAGGGAAAAGCTAAAACCATTTTTAATGGGCTTGGAGAGGAAGTGTGGGGAGGCACATTTGAGGAGGCAGTAGAGAAAATGGAAAAAGCGATAAGCGGAATGACTGTAGATGGAGTGCAACAGGCTTGGAAGAGGTGGAATGCATTGAGGAAAAGAGAAGAGCAGAAAGTAGCGGATTACTGCGCGATCATTGAGGAGGTATCAGGAGTGGTGTTTAGGGAGAGTTCAAAGGAGACGATGGCACAGGCAAGACTCAGTAAGCTGATGGAAGGTATAACGGACACAGCACAACGGAACTTCTTGACAATGAGAAAGCTGGAGGTAGAACCAAAAGAACAGTATGAAAAATTGAAACAGATAGCCATCGCGTTTGAGTTGGAGAGAGGTGAAGGAAGACGAATTGGGAAACCAGTAACGGCGAGTCAGAACAAGACAATAGTAAGGCAAGGAGGAGTTGTTATGAGAAGCGAAAAAATATGCTACAAATGTGGAGGGAGAGGGCATCTGAGTTATGAATGCTTACCAGACCGACCGGCGTATACAATGAGAGCCCAGCAAAATAATACAGGGCGAAATGTCCCAATGACGCAAGGAGGGAATGGAAGTAGAGGTGTCGTGAGAGCTTGGGATCAAAACAAGGGAGACATACGACAAGTGAATAAAGTGGAGAAAGTGGGAGACGGAGAGCCAGACGTGGGCCTAAGCATGACGGAAATGGGAGTAATATTGGGCCAGGAAGTTGAATTTCTCTTAGATTCGGGAGCCGTAGTGTCAGTATTGAGCTCGAAGATTTGGGAACGATTGATCGCCAATGGTGGAGAATGGGAGAAAGAAACAGTGAAACTGATAGGAATACCTAAGTATGCGTTGGTGACTGCAGAAAAACGACCGTTGGAAGCAGTAGGACAAGTAGAATGCCAGCTCACGATGCGCGGGAGAACAGCAAAGATAAGGTTCCAATTAGTGAAAAATGAAGCTGAGATTGCAATTGTGGGAACGAACGCATTTCCAGCATTTGGAATATACCTTATATGGAAGGAGGAAGAAAATCTGGTAAAATGTAAACAAAGAGTAGCAATGGTGGAGCTCTCGAAGGAAAATTATGACGAGGCGGGAAGGATGAGAAAAATGTGGGAGCAGGTAGAAAAGAATGGAAGAGTCGTGGATGAAGGGATAAGGAAAGTATTGGAATCGTGGATTCATGTATTTGCGTTGGATGACTCAGAACTAGTTCAGACGAATATGATAAAGTGTAAAATTGAATTAGAGAAGACAAAGCCAATAAAACAAAGAACTAGACAAGTACCACTAGCATTAGTGCCACAATTAAAAAAGCTGCTTGAGGAAATGTTGGAAAAACAGGTGATTCGGAGTAGTAACTCGCCATGGGCGTCACCAATTGTGTTGGTGAAGAAGAAAGATGGAACGATTCGGATGTGTGTGGATTTTAGAAAAGTGAATGAGGTGATAAGGAATGACGCGTTTCCGTTGCCGAATATCGAAAGGACATTGCAATCGTTGGAATGGAAAAAAGGAAAGTATTCACAACACTGGATTTTGTATCGGGATATTGGCAAATTCCACTGGAAGAAGATAGCAAGAAGACTACAGCGTTCGCAGTAATGGACAAACTGTACGAATTCAATGTGCTACCATTTGGGTTATCTACGAGTCCAGCGATATTCCAAAGATTGATGGAGGAAATTTTCTCGGAAAGATTAGGCGAATCAGTGTTCGTATACATAGACGATGTGTTAATTGCTAGTGAGACAGTGGAGGAACACCGTGAGCATGTGAATTGGGTATTACAAAGAGTATATGAGTGTGGAATGCGGGTGAAGGCAAAGAAATGTGCTATCGGACAAGCATCGGTAAAATATCTGGGACATGAAATAGATGGACGAGGGGTAAAGGTGGACGAGGAGAAAAGTGCGGCGATAAGGGACTTCCCACGACCAGTGTGCGCGCTCGATCTCAAAATCGTTAAAAAATCGATCTTGCTCGAAAATTTAAAGATCGATCGAACCCGAGATCGATCGAGCATTTCGAGCGCTCGAGATCGATCGAGCGGGATCGATCGAACTCGAGCGCTCGAAACGCTCGATCGATCTCGAGCGCTCGAAATGCTCGATCGATCCTGCTCGATCGATCTCGAGCGCTCGAAATGCTCTATCGATCGCGAGCGCTCGAAAAGCTCGATCGAGCGGGATCGATCGATCTTTAAATTTATATGCAATTAAAATTAGTCTTGAATACGTTTTAAAAAGCGCAAATTTTTAATTTCTACCGGCTGCACAATTTTAATGAAAGCCTTGCATCGATAATTCCGTTTCGAACCAGCTCTATTCAGAAAAAAGCTAATAAAGTTCATTCTATACATGTATTCATTTATTTTTCCCGTAATAGACCACAAAATACATAAATTATAATAGAAAACGTACAATACTAATAGGATAAAAAACGAGGAAGAACAAAAATAATATAAAATAAGAGTGGGAATTATTAAACGAAAAGAAAAAAAAATGAGGGAATTTTGGAAACGAAAATGTTCATGACTATAAAATTTTTAAAACCAATTACACTACTCCACAAAAGTTTAACCTCATTGATATTTTTTGAAAAAATGACATTGTCACGAAATTTCAAAAAAACGATTTTATTGTTAAAATATGGCTAAAAAGAGTTCTCCTAAACATGATCGTGGTCTTTCGAATCGACAAATCGTTCGAGATTTGGGCGCAGACCAAAAGTGATCAATAATTATCTGAAGAATCCATCAGATTGTGGTACTGCGACATGATCTGGATGTCCAACCTCCATTTCTAGCCGAGAAATAGAATTCGTGAAAATGTCATTTTTTCAAAAAAAAAAATGGGTGAGGTTAAACTTTTGTGGAGCAGTGTAGTTTTTTAAAAATTGCTTTCCTGAATGTCTTCGATTTCGAAATTTAGTTCTTGTTCACCTTCAATGTCGTCCTCTTGTCTATACTCCTCCCTTTGCTGTTGCGCGTCTTCAAGTTCGTCCTCGTCATCCTGCATTTTTTCGTCGTCTTCTATGGCGAAATCAAGAATATCATAGTTTGAATCTACGTCTTCTTCATTATCCTCCCAATGTCTGAAATATAAAATCAATTTTTTCCTAAATTTTTGCACTTACTCTTTCGCGAGAGCAGCAGTTAATAAAATATTGGACACTGTGTCCGGTTTCATTCGATTGCGTTTTTTGTTTCGCAAAATATCAGAACATTTTCTGAAATTATGACAAATATAATCGGTGTAATAGTAAACACTCATTTGCAAAATAAATCGGCATACATACATATTGTCGGCGTTGAGCGACTATTGAAAATTCTCAAATTAAAAAAATTTGGAACGGATTACGCATAAAAATAGGTTGAAAGCGCACATATATTCATTGTTTTGGCATTTTGCCAATTTTACGTAGTAGACACCGATAATAGTTATAAAAAATTTCTAAATAACTTACGAAAAAAGTCGCTCCGCTGAGGAACTAGAAGCTGGGCAACTCAGATACACCTTTGCGAAATTTCCTAATATGGGAAAATGAGCAGATTGACCGGCCCAAAAAGAAAGCGGGTCAGATTTGGCCGATGGCCGATTTGTTGAGAGTATTGCTTTGTAATGCAATATTTCTGACTAAAATTAATATTTTACCAAAGTAGTACTCCATTATTAAAATTACTTTTATTGTTTTCTCAGAAGACCGCACCTCAAGCCTTCTTTTCAAAAATGAGTTCATTCCATCGTCCGAATCGGAATCATTTGATTGTGATGAACTTAGGTCTCTTTGAGCACTGGTTTCATGTTTTTTGATAAGAAGTTCTTCACATTTATCCCATGACGTTTCTAGATTTGGCACGAAGCTGAAGCGGGGATCCAACAACATAGCGAGCTGCAGAGCGTCATTTTCCTTATAAGATTGCGCGAATCTGTAAAGGCTTCATTTTCCCGATAGCTTAAAAAATTTAAAAAAAAAACCTAAATTTCAGAATCTTTGCCATTTTTATAGCTAGCGAGGTTCCCATTTTGTCCAACTTGTCTTCGAGTTTTATGAAATTTGGGATGATCTCCGATGCATACGAGTTTTCGCGCTCAAACTAAATAAATAATCAAATAAATGAATACAAATATAATTGGTTACCTTAAGAAGAACAATATAAACTGGCTCCAGAACATCGATAATCTCATCCAAAACTTTTTGCTGTGCTGCGGACAATAACAATTTTTGAAGTTGCCTTACTGCCACTAACGATTTCAAATTCTTTTGATAGCTGTTTAATAATAGATACATCGAAGCCCATCTAGTCGGTGACAAACACTGCGGCAAGGGTGCCGTGCTCGGGAAGGCTTTTGCGTTTTCTCTGACTTCACTTCGGACGCTCTTATTTCGAGAGAGATATGATGACAAATTTTGTGCATTTCCCATAATTGGTTCAACCTTCTTCAATTTTGAAAACTCCTCGAATGCTAGATCGAGAAAATGACAGCCACAATGCACGTTTTTGAGAAAATGACCAGTTGAAAACGAGCGCAAATTCGAAGCTCCATCTGTGCATGTTAGTTCGCACATGCTTAAGTTTATTCCTACTCGTTGAAGTAAAGAGCATATCGATTCAGCAATATCGGCGGCTGTGCTTTTAGCGACGTGACGAATTCCACAAAAGGCGTTCTTTCGTTTGTAATCTTCAGAGACGAAAAAAATCTGGCAACTGTAGAAGTTTCGATCTTTTCTTATTTCGCCATAGCCATCCGTCACTAATGTAAATGACTTCACATTTCTTAATTTGCCTTTCATATCATCTAAGTAAATTTGAGATATCTTCTCAACGTGATGTGCAATCATTTTAGGAGTGGGCACGACAGCAGATTGATCTAAGAGTTTGTAAGTTCTGATAAAATTTTGATTGGCTGCAAAACGGAAAGGGATTCCTCCTGTGCAAAAAGCTCTGGAATGTGTTATATTATAGTTAAAAAAAAACGAAAATATTCAAACTTCGTGATTTCCAATTCCCATTCCTTATATATTGGTGCTCCAATAGTTTCTTTTTCAATGACCCGTTTACTCTAAATTAAAAAAATGTTTTATTTAAAAAAATAAAAAAAAACCTTGGAGTTCAAAATGTTCTCAAACTTTTCCAAATGCTGCGACTTTGCGTGTCGGATGAGATTGGTTGTACTTTTATTATAACTTATATTCACTTTGCAAACTGGACACTTAATATACTGAGTAGTGGGATCAGTAGGTTTGCGAAAAAAATCCCACGCAATGGATGTCATTCTAAAAAAATAATAATAAATAATGTTTCCAATTTAAAAAAAATTTGAGAACGATCCAACGAATAAAAAAATTGCATAAACTGCCATTGAATTACGGAGTTTTATGTGAAACAGCCTCTTAAAGCGAGAAAAATTTGCAATTTATATAAAGTTTTCGAAAATTATTTCAAATTCGCGATTCGAAACGCGCTACGCGTCGCGTTTTCGAGGTGCATTAGGGCGTGTTTGCAGCGGGACTCGTTTTTTTCGCAATGTAGTATTTAGCCAATCAGGGACTGCAATAAGGGGGTGGAGTCAGGACAAAACGTATGACAAGTATCATGCAATGTCTATGAAAAAATTTCATTTTCGGCTATTTCGCCTATTTTCAGATCATTTACGGTAACTTTCTAAACAGATTTTACTACATTCGGGTCTGCTGAATTCATTCGTAACGTCTATTTCCAACAAGTTTTTACCCAAAAATTTCAAACTTTTTAACTCTAAGATAAATTTTTTAAACATTTTCCGCGGTGACCTATATATATATTTTTCATTCACCGTTTAGGAAAAACTCTCGAGAGACTACGGTTCAAATCTCAATAAAATTTGCTAACTAGAACTAACTTTTTTAGTCATCGAAATACCTGCAGCATGGAAAAGAATGGAGACTTTCGTAATTTTCGCATCAATGTAGCTCGTTTAAGTAAATATGTCTTGAAAGCAAATTCGGAATCTACGAAAAGTTTGCTACATGATGGCATTCTTCACATTTCATGAGATGTGTTTAAAAAAAAGACACAAAAGATCGACCAAGATCGATCGAGCGCTCACAAAAGATCGACCAAAATCGATCGAGCGTTAGCGATCGATCGAGCGCTCGATCGAGATCGAGCGCGATCGATCGAGCGCTCGATCGAGATCGAGCGCGATCGATCGAGCGCTCGATCGAGATCGAGCGCGATCGATCGAGCGCTCGATCGAGATCGAACGCGCTCGATCTCGATCGATCCCGGGATCGATCGAGCACAGGTAAGTTCGATCTCGGGATCGATCGATCTCGAGCGCTCGATCGATTTTTAGAAAGATCGATCGATCCCGATCGATTTTCGCTACCAAGATCGATCATACTCGATCGAGCGCTCACACTGCCCACGACCAACAGGTAGAGCGGAGTTGCAATCATTTTTAGGGATGGCAGGATACTATAGACGTTTCATATTGAACTATAGCAAGGTAGCAGCACCATTAAACGCTTTGACATCTGCGAAAACGCCATGGAGGTGGCAACGAGAGCAGGAAGAAGCCTTTTTGAAATTGAGAAGTTTGTTAATTCAAGCACCCGTGCTACAACAACCAGATGTGGAGGCAGCAAGGAGCTACAGGAAACCCTTTATGATATTTACGGACGCCTCAGAAAGGGGAGTTGGAGCCGTGTTAGCGCAGGAAAATGATATGGGAGAGATTCATCCGGTAGCATTCGCATCGAAATCGCTAACGAAATCCGAAAGGAGGTACCATATAACGGACCAGGAGGCTTTAGCTATAGTGTTTGCTGTGAAAAGGTTTCGAATGTTTATTTATGGAACGCCGATTAAGGTTTTCACCGATCATCAACCCCTTACGAGCTTATTTAAAAAGAAAAATCTTGCGGACCGGTTGCTGAGATGGTCATTGGAACTCAGCGAATATAATATTGAATATGTATACGTCAAAGGGAAAGCGAACGTAGTGGCTGACGCATTAAGTAGGGGAGGAGCGAAAAGGGAGGTGTTACAAACAGAAGAAGAGGAAGGAATCGAGGTAGAAATTGAGCGAGTAGTGAATGCGGTGGAAGTAAGAGAAGGTGAATGGGAAGATGAACTGGAAGAGGAGGAGTTGTATGCGAAGTTAAAAAAAAATTGTTAAACGGAGAAGGAGACGAGCTCATGAAGGAGAAAGGGAACAAAAGAAATGTTAAGGTGAAGGACTTCGAGTTGGGGGAACAGAGTGAAGTGCGAAGGAAAAACGGGCGACAAAAAGTGGTACCGATAAGGAAAAGAAGAAAACTGTTCCAGGAACTACATGGAGGGGAATTAGGAGGCCATTGGGGAGTGGGGAAGACATCCAGATGGTTGGCAGAAAGATACTGGTGGCCAGGGTTGCACCAAGATGTGGAGCGATGGTGCAGAGAATGTGCACAGTGCGTTGTGGTAAACGCACAAGAGAAGCTGACAGCACCTTTACATCCATATGAGACTGGTCGGCCATTGGAGATCGTAGCGTTGGATTTAGTGGAGATGGGAATAGCGGAAAGCGGGAACAAATATATCCTTTGCATTGTGGATTTGTTTACGAAGTTTGCTAGTGCAGTACCAATTCCGAACAAATCAGCTGAGGTGGTGGCTAAAGCATTCATGGAAAACTGGGTGTTGAGTGAAGGACGGGTGCCAGAAAAAATTCTCACAGATCAAGGGACGGAATTCATGAACGAAGCATTTCAGAGAGTAGTAGAACTGCTTAACTCGGAACACATTACGACGAAAGGGTATAACTCGAGAGCAAATGGGGCAGTGGAAAGGTTTAACCGTACGTTGGAAGAGGGTCTCCGGAAAAAGACGGTCATGTTAACTAATTGGGATGAAAGGGTACCGTATGTTGTTTTTTCATATAACGCGTGTGTACATACGACCACGGGCGAAACACCGTTATATCTAATGACGGGTAGGGACCCAAGAATTCCGCTGAAAACGGACCCACATTTGGAAATAAGGACTGCGCATGTAGATACAGACAGTTACAAGTGGAAAGTGACAGAAGAGCTACAGACGGCGTACGAGAAAGTGAGAGAAAGAGTAAGAAAGGAAAGGGAGCGGATGAAAGAAAAGTTTGATGAGCGTCATCGGGTACAACTTAAAAATTATCCGGAAGTGGGAGATCGAGTGTTGATGAGGGTGCCAGCAGAAAAAATCGGAGCACGATATCCCAAGTTAACAAATGAATGGAAAGGACCATATAGGGTGATAGATAAAACAGAGACTGCAGTGGTGTTACGACCGACAATAGGCGAGGGTGAGTCGATCAGAGTGGCTATGGACCAGGTAAAAAAGGTACCGGTAGAATTTGTGGACGAGCCGATTGTGACGCAGAAAACGAGGGGGAAACGGGGAAGAAAGAAGAAGGTAGTAAATGTAGCAGCGATTACGATGGGGATAAGAGGAGTAGCAAAAGAAAATAGGCGAATAGAAAACAGTAATGAAATGGGTATTTGCAGGGATCCTACAGACTCATGCAACCATCCAGAATGTAGGAGACCACTTCAGTGGAATGGGCGGGCAGTCATCCCCGAATCGCTAATCGAAGCAGCGAGGGCGTTTGCATTGAAAAGGAAGTTTCCGAGGATGAGTGAACTGCTCATGATAATCAAGATGTCGGATGAAGAAGAGGACAAAGATATATGCGTGGAAGATTGGCTGGCGGCATTGCAACATTTCGCGAGATGCTCAAGCTTAAAGAGAGATGTGTTGTCGAGCAAGGCCGAACTCCGAGGGAAATTTGCGGTGGAATTGGCTAGAGCACTACTTGAACTTAAACAAGAGCATGAAGAACTCGAGCAAGGACGACGATATGTGGTAGTACCACGTCAGTGGGGAGCGCAAGTTCCATCAAATTGGGGGACATACAAGACGGCGGCCGAACTAAATGTTGTCGGAAGAAGAGCAATACCGATGATGGTGCTGATAGTGCAACTGAAGCGAGAGTTTTCGGAGACAATCACGGAGCTAATAAAAAAAAAGAGGCCGAAGACGACATGGCTGCTACCATGGTCAGTCAGAGAATCGACGACGTTAAGCGAAAACCTGATGGAACTTAAGAAGTGGGATGATCAGTTTAGCCAGTGGGAGAAGTTCGGAGCGAAGGTGGTGCTTCCAAGTACAACAATACCCTCAACTAGAGAATGCTTGGCAATTCAACTGAGGGCGAAGAACATGCACACCGGGGGATACGAAAATGATGAAATGATGGAAGCACTGAGAGTGTATGCAGAAGTTGAGCCAGAGTTGGTGTCGTTGGAAGCGGATATCGGATCCGAAGGAGCGAGGGAGGACACAAAGAAAAGGACGGGGTCAAAACGATTCCGCATGGATTGAGGTGTCGGTTTTTCATTTTCGTGTGTGCAATACAGTTTGTTTAAATTATATTTTGTTCGAATCATGTTATGGATGGTGAGGTGAAAGGCTGGGACTGTCGGTTTCGTTCGTCGTGGGCGACGATTTTGGGGGAAGGGGGATGTAATGTAGAGATAAAGTGGAAATGGGAGAGTGGGCGAGACGATGAGGCGGTGGGCGAGAGAGAGTGCGAAACGAAGAGACGCACGCCATCATGCCCTCGGGCAATGTCCAGCAAAAAGAGGGCCGCGGCCGAAGTTCACCTTTATTTAAATGCAAGTCCCCATTCGTAAACACCGATTTAGTCAATTACTTATGCTTTTAGTCGTATTATTTCAGTTTGTTAAGTTGTTTCCCCAACCCACCATCCACCTATATTTAGTTTCATCAAGTTTGTTTTTAGTTTGTATCGCTTTGTTAACATTTTGTTCGTGTTCGTTCAATAATGAAGGTTTAATTACCCAAGTTTGAGGTTCACTCGACTTGTTTGACGGTTCCAATACCGTATCAGTATTCGGAAAAGCTACTATAATCATCTACTAGAAAAGGATGATAAGAAAAAAATTCGACAATACGTCCACGAAGCTTGACAGCAAAAGCTTGATATTAATGTTCCCGTACTTCTTGGCTGGTGCAAGGAACATATACAGTTCGGGTATGGAGCTGCAACTCTACGGTCAATTTTGCACTCCAAATGAAAAATTTCGAAGGAAAATACGGAAGTTGAGCGAAAAATAAAAAAATGAATTTGCGAAATTAAAAAAAAGTCCCCGTAAATCGCTGCGAGGATTACGGTAACTGTCTCTTAGGATTGCGTACAAAACGCGGGATCCTACGACACTTGGATACATTTGTCATTTTTCAACTATACCAAAAAATATCTTTTAAAAGTGCGTGTTCTGCTAAATAAATTATTAAACTCGGTTTCTGCAAATTTAAATAACAAAATTTCGAAGGGAAATACGAAAATTGAGCGAAAAATAAAAAAATCTAATATGCGAAATTAAAAAAATAAGTCCCCCGTAAATCGCTGCGAAGATTACGGTAACTGTCTCTTAGCATTGCGTACAAAACGCAAGATCCTACGACACCTGGATACTTTTGTCATTTTTCAACAATAGTTGATTGTCTCATTGAAAAAATAACGAAAACCGACGAAAATGTTCTGGAAGAAAGAAAAACAAATGCCCAGAAGCGCTCAATTGCGATTTCAATCGCGGCGTACCACCGAATATTTCAAACAGTTCCAAATTGGCAAGAAAATCCACAATACATTGAAATTGGATGCTTCTACTATTAATCGATTCAGCACAGACGGATACTACCATAATCTTGCACAACAACACCAACTAAACAGAGAATTCTGATAGCTCTCGATGGCCGGGTCTGGAATTCTCAAATGATCATCTAAAACTGGAAAAACCCCCACCATTTTTGTCAATTTTTTCACTTTCGAGCTTATGACAGTCTGAAAAATGATCAAATTTAATCTAGCATGTTTCCACTAAAACGCTTACCTTCACGTTCGTTATTCTCTTTCGAATTGCTCATTTCCAGAATATCGACGTCTTCCTTAATCACCTGGATTTGGGGCATTTCAGTCAGTGTGGACGTTTCAGGTTTTTCTAAAAAAAATCCCGAATATTTAGAAAATCACATAGAATTACCATTTTCGGAATCGTGTGGAACGGCAAGAGTTTCATCGCAATCTTCTGCAAACAATTTAGTAATTATGAAGGTTGTACGGTAAACGCTCAAGACGACATTTTTTTTTTCAGTCATTCAATCGTGGATTATTCACTATGGGCCGATTCATTGTGGAAATAGTCATTTTTAGATCCATTAATAGGCTTGTCGCTTCAGAGCCGGGCCGAAACGACAAGCCTGTCCACATATTTTCGCCTTGAAACGCCCGAAAAAAAATAGACGGTTCCAAAATATCAAAACTATATTGAAAGCTTACCTTTTGGTCGAGGAACCCGAGAAAGAATATTGATGATTTCGAGCAACCCTGAAAGTAAATTTGTAGTGTATTGTAAATAATAAAATTATGAATGTTTATTTTTTCGGGGAGTTTTTTTACGCCCTAAATGAATAAATGATATTTATAATGACGGTAGTGCTGTTATAATCGCACTTTCTTTAATTACGCACGATTTGTGCTCATTAGCCATATTTGACAAACCGTACTAATGTATTGACATATTTAAGATATTCTACAATTCCTTTCAAAAACGAAAGTAAAAATGACATAGAATTACCATTTTCGGAATCGTGTGGAACAGCTAGAGCTTCATCGCGATCTTCTGCAAGCAATTGAGTAATTAGAAATGTTGTACGGTAAAGGCTCGGTGTATGCACACTTGAAAAACTTCACGCGCATATGCAGACTGTAGCTAGTTGGGGATTTTTTTTTTCATAATTATCTAAGCGGAAAAAGAGACGCTGTTTTTTCAGCCGTTCAATCGTGAAAAATACTCTGTCATTTTTTTGATACATTAAATATTTTCGGTTTAAAACACCTCCGAAAATAAAAGGTTCCAGAATACCAAAACTATCTTGAAAAGCTTACCTTTTGGTGGAGGAATCTGCGGTAGAATATTGATGATTTCGACCGATCCTGAAACAAAATTTGCAGCTCACTAAGTAAGGGAAATTTCACGTCGAAGGGTAGGTCTAGCCGAAATTTCACGGCCAGGAAATTTAACGATTACTTATGTTTAGAGGTGCATGTGGGAAAATGTTAAATGCGAAGTAGTTTCTTTTCAGCGTTCTGTTCTAACAAAAGCTGTATTTCTCTGGGGCAATGAGTTTTTATCCAACGTGTTGCCAAAAAATTAAGTTAAACTGTTGAAAATCGAATTCCCTGAGAAGTGCAATAAAATAATGAATACACTATTTTTTTCAGACACAGAGTTCTTATAACCGACTGACTCAGACTGAAATGAAAATAATAGGGAAAAACTAGCCGTTTTCGGTAGCATTTTCAGTATTTCCACCAAAATTTTCACAACTGGCCGACGGATTTGTTAAATCATCATTCAATTTCAATTTTTCCTCGATACAGTGAAGCAATGCTTCTTTCCAAATCGCATAATCCGAAATGGAAAATCCATATCTGATTATCTAAAATTCTTCAACTCAAATAATTGTTAATCATCTAGGCGGTTTTACATAGTTCTTATGCTTTCTCGCGAATATGTGCGTTCCCAGCGAGACAGCATCCGAGAAACAGTTTGGTCTGAGTCCGCATGGTTTACAAGTGGCCTTAAATGGACATTACCGTAATTTTAAAAGCAATTGCAACCTTCTCATTAATCTCATAAATGGATACGCCATGTTTTTTCCATGTCGTAGCGTCGACCGAATTCCAGAAAAATTCGAGTTCGTCAATTAATCTTTTCCGCATATTTTCTATATTAAATTTAGAAACATTCAATAATTTTTGATAGAATACCTGGAACTGCCAATTCCGGCGAACACGAATCAATAAGTGGCAATCGCGGATCATTTTTTTCAGCCAAGAAAGTTTCATTGCGTTCTTCTGCAAACAATTGAGTAATTAGAAAGGTTGTACGGTAAACGCTCCGTGTATGCACACATACCAAACTTCACGCGCATATGCAGACTGTAGCTAGTTGGATAATTTTTTTTTCATAATCATCTAGGCGGCAAAAGAGACGCTGTTTTTTTTCTGTCGTTCAATCGTGGATTATTCACTATTGGCCGATTCAGTGTGGAAATAGTCATTTTTTTGATCCATTAATAGGCTTGTCGCTTCGGAGCCGGGCCGAAACGACAAGCCTATCCACATATTTTCGGCTTAAAAGCTTACCTTTTGGTCGAGAAACCTGTGGTAGAATATTGATGATTTCAAGCAATCCTGAAATAAAATCTGTAGGTGGGAAGTCGAGACTATTTTTTTTCTCAGACACACCAGATCTTATAGTCGACTGATTCAGACTGAAATGAAAATAATAGGGAAAAAAACTAGCCATTTTTGTCAACTTCACCATTCGCAGTTTGGCTGGAATCTTCGCTCTCTCCAGGTGGTTCTGATGAAGCTGAAGATTTTCAGTTTCGCGGAAATATTCAGAATACTCAAGGCTACCTGGAATTTCAAAAACAGAATTTTTCGTCTCGTCGATTACTACAGATTTTCTTCGGCTTGTTAATTCCTCATCGGAAGAGAACTCAAAAGAAGAATCCGATTCATTCCCAACCGAAACCTTCAAAAATCAATTACAAATTTCTCTAAAATTGTTTTTCCTCACTTTTCTTCTCCGAAATGGGTATTCCGGACCATATAATTCGATAAGTGTGCCTAAATATGGATTTCGATAATTTTTCAGCCAAATTCGGTCAAACATACTCAATTTATATGTAGTCCATGATCCATTATTCAACCAATCAATCCCAATTATATCATCGTCTCCAATTCCACCACATTCGTACAAATCTTCAAGTAAATCTCGACTACATTCTCTGAAAATTCAATTTTTAACATTTTTTCACAAATTTGATACCATTTGTTTCGGTATATAAACGTGAGAATATAAAAAATATTATTCGTCTTATTATTAACTTACTTATTACGAAATCGATAATTTGCATCCATATGTTTATAAGTTGAAAATAGATTTTTTTTTTTGATATGAGAAAATTTTTTCTGGCAATAAAACGATGCAGCCTACATACGTTATCACACCCCCAATATGCGTTATCATTAATTCATGTGTGTAATCGGAGTATTCACAATTTGTGTAAAATTGTTGAAATTTGAAAAATTAAAGATTTTTTAAGAAAGCGTTTCATAAATTTACTGGCAACTGTAAAATACGTAGAATATATAGGAGAACATGTTTGAACCTTTTTTTTTTGTATTTTTCCAAAAGAAATCCATTCTCCGCAGTAATTCGATCATGATTTTGGAAATTACAGTCAAGGGATGTCTCAGATTTTTCTTTAAAAAAATTCCCACATATTAAAAAAATTACAGATGAAGCTGAAAATGTTCAGAAACCAGCCGTTTGCCGACGGCGCCGAATTGCCGAATGTTTTATATTTATTGAATTGCCGAATATTTTCTTTGCCAATTTGAAGTTGGAAAATAGATCGACAAAAAACAGGCATTTTATTTGAATGTTTTTGTAAAATGAAATTTATTTCACGATTACTCGTTCCCATCGAAAGTATCAAAGGCTAACAAGTCTGCTCCTTTGAACGAGAAAATGATACGGTAATTGTTTATCGAAATTTATTTTTCTATTCTTTCTGTTTTTCTTTTAATATTTATTCTTTTCCGTTTCTCTCTCTCTCTCGTTTTTAAAAATCGTTTTCAGAGGTTTGTGTTTCGTATAAAATAGAGATAATTTTGTGTCACACAACTTTTTTGCGAAATGCGTTTTTTTTTTGTAATTTTGGGACTGACTGAATTCAAGAGTTTTTTATGGACCCATTCATGCAATGAAAAAAAATTTAAAAAAATCAATTTTTTTCATTTGAATTCCCTATGCACCCACGTCGAAAATCACAAAAAAAATGACGCGATATATCGTAATCTCCGCGATTTATTTTTAAAGGCGCACGCGAAAAGTTGGCGCGGGTCACGTCGCGAAGTCGGTACTGTAATTTTTTAATGGCTGTTTTTTTCGAATTTTATATTTTTTGAGCGTTTAAAACGTTTTTTTTGTTCCGTTTAACTATGATTTCTGAATTTGATTCGTGCCTATCGCATTGTTTGAGTGTCGTTGCAAGACCCGAGCCACCACGATTACGGTAGTTTTTTTTGGAACCGAACAACTCGAATATCAATCAATTTTTTGTTTATCAACAATTTTAAACTGATTATTGATAAGAATTTAATTTGACCATTTTTTCAAAACTAAATATGGAACCAATATTCAGGTTTCGAGACCGGTAAGTTCATCTTTTTCAATACGAAAAGCCTACAGTACTCTTAGGTTACGGTAATAGTAGTAGTCGGCCGCCTGCGAGTGATGTAGATTTACGCGGTGCGAATTGCGAAATAGGTCTCGCCACGTGTATTTTAAAATTTTCACACGAATTGTTTCATCGTTCTTGATAATTTTGCTATTTCCTCGAATTACTAACATCATTCAAACTAAAAAACTATCAAGCTCACCATTAAAATGCAAAATAACAAGAATAATAAACTCTAATGGACTTATTTTTTTCATTTGAATTCGCTATACACGTCGAAAACTTAAAAAAAAATTGACGCGATAATTCTCTGCTATTTATTTTCAAAGGCGCACGCGAAAAGTTGCGCGGGGTCACGAAGCGAAGTCTGATGAATCTCAAAATAATTTATTCGATTTGTCGTTTCAAAGCCGAGTATTCAAATTCGCGCGCGTTGCGTATGCGTCGCGGTCGGCCTAGGTTTAAAATAAAATTGAAACAAATTGCAGTAAACCGTTCTTTTTTTTGCTGTTCAGAAATTTACCATGGATTTTTTAATGGTTTTAATTTTTTCTTGTTCTAAAATATATCATAAATGAGTAATTATGCTATTAATGCGAATGGCTCGTTTTTTTGTGATAGAACATATTTGATTATAATTGATAATGGGACAAAAATGACGCGGTCGAAACGACAAGTCTCGAAATATTCAGTAACATTTTGAGGCAATACTTGTGATGACGACAAAATTTCAATATCGAAACAAGTGAGCACCGAATTTGTATTTAAACAAAGTGAATTTTAAAAAATTGAATTTTCAGAGAATGTAGTCGAGATTTACTTGAAGATTTGTACGAATGTGGTGGAATTGGAGACGATGATATAATTGGGATTGATTGGTTGAATAATGAATCATGGACTACATATAAATTGAGTATGTTTGACCGAATCTGAATGAAAAATTATCGAAATCCATATTTAGGCACACTTATCGAATTATATGGTCCGGAATACCCATTTCGGAGAAGAAAAGTGAGAAAAAACTATTTTAGAGAAATTTGTAATTGATTTTTGAAGGTTTCGGTTGGGAATGAATCGGATTCTTCTTTTGAATTCTCTTCCGATGAGGAATTAACAAGCCGAAGAAAATCTGTAGTAATCGACGAGACGAAAAATTCTGTGTTTGAAATTCCAGGTAGCCTTGAGTATTCTGAATATTTTCGCAAAGCTAAAAAATCTTCAGCTTTATCAGAACCCCCTGTAGAAGATAAATTCTCTATTTCATTAGAAGACGAAGAGCCCCATGCTGAAGCAATTAAAGATTATTATACGCTTGAAGGTCGTTTGCCGAATTGATTTTTTTCAGAAATATTTCAAAATTTTTTAGAATATTGTCCAATTTTTTTTCGACCTGCCTACGAATTTGCCGAATGCCAACTTCCGATCGATGAAAAATTCATCGAGTTGCCGCTTTTCTCAGAAAACTTTCGAAACGACTCGACGATTCTTGAAGGTGGGTACCGAATTCGAGTCGATTTTTCAATTCTTTTTTTTTCAAATTGCAGGACACGCGATTCGCCAAGCGATATCTCTTCTTAAATCGAAAATCGACGCACAAAACCATTATTTTGTGTCGATATTGAAAGCAAACGTAGAATTTTTAGACGGGTTCTTGGATTTTTAGCAATTTCAGGTGTTTTGTCGCCTTTGTCGCTTGCCGATTCTCGACAACTCGCAAATTTTCAATCATTTGTTCAGCGAGAAACATGTGGAAAATGTGAGTACCGTAACGTGTTGCAAGACCAGCGCCATCTGTAGCCATGTACCTTTAACATCTACAGTATCCCGTCTTTTCTTTTTTCAATTGTTCCTATTTAAAATTTAATTGTTTAGCTTTGTTTGCTGAAAATCCCGCGCAAATCATTTTTCTTCTGGAGTCGAGATGTCAAAAATGCAATATTCGGACCGATTGAAGAGAATGAATCAAATTCGATAACCGCAAATGGTCTACGACCCAAAATCCCGTTGTTCAATTTCTTCGGAAATGGGAAAAGTAAGCATTCAATTTGAATAGAAATGGAAATTTTCTTGAATTTTCAGAAGATCCCGAATTTGAGAAGGAATACGATGCACTTGCGAAGAGATTTTCGAATATTCCCATAAAATGTGTTGCAACTGTCAATACTAGCAAAGTATTTAATTTTTTTTGAAATTGAATATATCATTTTTTTCAGTTGAGTGAAATGATATGCGAAAGTTGTTTGAAAACAACTGGAATATCAAAAAAATGCCAAAATTATCAGTCGATCGCTTCGCACGTCTTCTCGAAAACGCATGGCGAAATTCTCAAAAAAGACTGTAAAGTGGCAATAAGCGATCTCGAATATTGGAGAAAATTCATTGAAAAAGCTGAAAATATTATGAATAAAGGTAAATTTCGAATTATTTTAAATCTATGCAATAAATCTAGGCCCGAAATATCCGCTGTTCAACTCATTTGGATCAACTAATAAATTGCCATGTGAGACCAATTTTAAAGGCGCATTTAATTAATCGCATTTTTTTTGAAGAAGCTGAATTTTTTGAGGAATATGACAAACTGCGCAAACAATTTAATCGTATTCCGGCAAAAATAATTGCAAAAACACCTGTGCAAAATGTATTTTGGTATAGTCGGCGTCCGGCGAGTGCTGTACGCGGGTAGATTTACGCGCATGCGCTTTGAAAAGGTCTCGCCATGCGTGAATGCTTATTTTGCTGTTTTCACGTGAACTGCTTCATTTTTCTTGATGAGTTTCGCATTTCCTTGAATTTCCAACGACAATCGATTAAAAAATTATCGAAACGGTCCATAAAATTTGAAATAACTTGTTAGTCCGTGCGAGACCAAGAGAAAGACGCATTTCCGTAAATCTACCCGCGTACAGCAGTCGCCGGACGCCGACTATATAAACAATTGATTCATTCAAATCTTCATCAAATTTCAGCTAGACCTTACTTGTGATTTCTGTAAATGCCGAATTTACTCATTCTCTTTACTGGCTTATCATGTATTCTCAAAGGGTCATTCTAAAAAAATTAAAAAGAAATGCGAAGGAACGAAAGAGGCTTTTGAATATTGGAAGACGTTTATAAAAGAAGCACAAGCCGCAACGGACATTGCCTTTGGAAATGCGAAAGAAGAAATCCCGTTGTTCAATTTCTTCGGAAATGGGAAAAGTAAGCATTCAATTTGAATAAAAATGGAAATTTTTTTTGGAATTTTTAGAAGATCCCGAATTTGAGAAGGAATATGATGCACTTGCGAAGAGATTTTCGAACATTCCCCTAACATATGTTGCTAAAATTAATACTGAAGAGGTGTTTACTCAAATTTATGGTTGAAATTCTATTTTTTTTCAGTTTGAATATGTGCTTTGTGAAATTTGTTTGAAAAGAAAAGGAAAATTTGTTTATTGCATGAATCTTCAATCAATCGCTTCGCACGTCTTCGCGAAAATCCATGGCGAAATTCTCAAAAAAGACTATAAAGTGGCAATAAGCGATCTCGAATATTGGAGAAAATTCATTGAAAAAGCCGAACAAATTGAAAATGATGGTAATTTCTTAAATAAATGAAAGATTTTGGTGAGAATCATGTTTTCTTCGGGTTTTGCAGTTCACTATCAGAGTTGGCGGTGGTATTCCGGTTTGAACCCAAAATTTGCCGACCGGAAAACCGCTGATAAGTGACGTCAAAAGTAAATCTAGAAAGATGGGAATTTTAAAATCGAGCTATATGGAAGCATAAAAGTATTTCAGTGTGTGTCTCATGTGGAATTAGCCTTGTTCTTCGATCCACAGTCCTAACTCAGGTATATGAAAATCAATCGGATTCGAAAATAATTTCGTTTTCAATCGAAATCGAATATAAATTAATATGTTTCGAATTATTCCAGAGTTTCAATCGAATTCGATTTCAAAATTGAAATTGAGAAATAAATCAATCGATTTCGAAGATTTTTGAAGCGAAACCAAATTTTCAAATCGAATTTCAATTATTTTTTAATCGAATTAGGTTAATTTATATTTCATTTTTCTTCGAATCCTTTTGATTTTCATTCACCTTAGAATCCACAGTCAGTGAGAATCTGATTATGTTTCCATATATGTAGAGGTTATATGCTTCCGTTTTACGCATTTCCTACGATGCTTTCGAAAAAGAAAAATCCGCCATCAATATTAAAAACCGACAACCAAAGAAATGGTCCCGAATTCATTTTCGATTGCCCACACTTCCCTTCACTAATGGATGTCGGGGTTATTCTGAGAATGTGGTGCCATTCCCTTAGTTGTTGGAATCTTAAAAAAAAAAAGAAGTGAGATTTCCACCTTAAATCTCTATTTTCTTGATCACATTCTCGTTTCCATAAATTTCTGACAGAAACGAAAGAATAGTTGTGCAAAAAAAACCGCACTTTGTGTCCACGAGGTCTCGAAGCGAAAATGTTCAATTTTCAGCGCAAAAACCAGTTCCAGTTCTTTCAACGCCATCGAAGTCCGCTATTTCGAACTACGGTAAATTCATATTCAACAAATCATAATGTCGAAGTCGCGCGACTGCAATTGGCGCGCTTCACTCTAGATTTGGGTCTCGCAACAAGAGTGTCGATTTACGCGCGGAAATTTTTACGCTGTGTTGCTAAATGGTGCGCTGTACGTGTTGAGTACACCAAACGCCTATCGTCTGCTCGAGACCATTTTTGGCATTTATCCAATTTGTTGGATTCGCGCGATTTCGAAATTGAAAGTTTCTCCATGTTTCCTTTTTCATTTTTGCATTTCTCTATTAAAAACGCCTTCCATTCCTTTTACAGTTCCAATTCCGCTATTCGATCGAAGAATACAAACACAAGAAAGGAATTTAATTGATCCGGATCAATTAAATAACCTAATCGCAAGATTGAATTACTTGAATACGAAATGCGCGAAGCACGAGGCTAATAAAACGAAGGTAAATCCCGGAAGAAACCGCCCAGTTTTTTTTTTTAAATGTTACTAATACTATTTGAAAACACCTTATCAAAAACAAATAGCGTTGAAAGACGCATAGTTCATTATTTTCTATTATTTTCTATACATTTATTTCTATTGAAAAATAGAAATAAATGGGACCCGTTTATATTCGACCGCTTTCGGTTGCTTCTCTGATTATTATGTTATCGCTGTTTTTGCACACATTGTCGCGCGCTACCGTAATTTGCCAAATTATTAAAGGTTCATCCTGCTCGTTGTTGCGGTTTTTGCGCCAATTCGCCACCATTCGCCACATTCGTCGATGTCTTCAATCACATCAAGAGCCAACACCATATGATAAGCCTCAGATCATCTCGGAATATCGAAAAATGCGATTTGGACTTCTGGAAGAGATTCGCCGAGAGGTGCGAGCAAATCCAAAGTACATAAAAAATGTTGAAATTTAATAAAAAAGAAATAACAACCAAATTTGCAGTCTCGTATCCATTGATGAGTAATACGCCTAAGAAAGGGAATAGCAAGGCAAGCTTTTTTTTTATGATTTTTGCTTTTTTTGCTAGAAACCGCAATGAAAAACAATTTTTTGATTTCGCTAAAGATCCGTTTGAATCCTTTTTTTAATTGGATTTTCATTTAACCTACAGTGTTTAAAGGGGGAGAGGTAACCACAAAAATTCAAATGACGTTATTTATTGGTTTTTAAGCTTACCCCTCCCGTACCTCAAAATCCATCGAATTCTTCAAAATTCGGCTACCGAATTTATCGGATCCGATTTGTTTTTAATTTTCAATTCAAATCGGATCCGGCAATTTTTCAATATTATCCCTAGAATTATCCAATCGGATAAGATTGATTCCAAAGCCAAATTTTGTCGCGTCCGTTTGGCAAATTTGACTTATGTGCTTGAAGGGCTTGGTGCTTCTGAACATGGTCAAGTGCTTCGCGAAACGACACGAATCGGTGCGCCTAGAATTCATTGAGGTGGGTTTCGGCACGAATTCGCCATCATAATCCCTTCGCATCTTGCAGACGTTTTGCTACGTCTGCGACACGGTCGTGCTCAATGCCATCGAGCACATTTGCAGCCATGACCATATTAGGCATCTCTCCGCGATTGGCGCCACTATCAGCGATTTCGATTTCTGGGAGTTGGTGATTCGTCAAAAATGCCATCATTCAACGACGCGTCGAATTTACGGCTTCTGCTTAGGTGTTTATGATAAATCGCTGCCCGTGCTCGACTTGCCGTTGTTCGCCGAGTATCCGGACCACAAAACAATTATAGGTAAGATCTCGACGCGATTTTCTCGAATTGGTTTTCTTCGTAGCTGGACCCACTCAACGTGAAATCGATTATATTCGTGAATGCTTCACAATGCTATCGAATGGAAATTTTGCATTTGCGGATGAGGTAGTTTTTTTATCTAGAAAATTATCCTAAACCGGCAATCTCTCAACGCGTTTGCCATGAGATATCGTTGTTGTCGTTTTATTTTATTTTTTTTTCAGAAAATTTGCGCAATTTGCGAAAAATCGGTTTTTTTCGATACAGATATCGATATTGCCTACCACGCGATCTCGTTTCAGCACCTATTTTTGGTAAGTTCTATTAATTTGCCGCCTCATGACAGAACTCGGTTCGATATCACTTTCGAATGGAATTTTGGTGGAATTTATGAATTTGCGCCAATTATAATTTCGAATTTTGATACCGATCCGAATGAGTTGAGACAATCGCGGCGAGACCCAGAACGATAATATTTCAAGGTGAGAAAAGCTGGTTATTCCCTATGCAAAGAGGCGATTGATTATTGGCTTGACGCTTGCGAGATGACGGACCTAACAGAGAGACCGATTCGGTATCCCAATGAATCGGAAGTTGTCGTGTCGAATAGATGGATAATCGCGCCAATGTTCGATCTCAAAATGTCGCATGATCGACAAATTTCCATCGGCAAATCAATTCAAAAGCTTTTCGAAAATCTCGACGAAGGCAAATTCCTCGAATTATACCAGTCAAAGCGTCTCGGACCGAATGAGGCATGTTGTGAACAGCTTCTTTTGAAATAACAAATCCTCATTTATAAAGGGCGTCTGTCGTTTCTGCAATTGCTGGCTGAAATCGCCGATGAAAATTGTGCGACACGCGTTCACCGATAGCCATATAAACACGGTAAGCGATTTTATACAATGGACCAATTCATGCAATAAAAAAATTTACGCATTTTTCCAATGCAGGGTTGTAAAGGAATGCAAATTTAATGCAATTTTTTAAAACTTTTTTTGTAAAAAAAAAAAGAAAAATTTCATGAATGGGTCCATAAAGATTTGCTGAAGAACATTTCGTAATTTTTCTTTTCGATTTGGTGTAACAAAAAATTCAAATCAACACGAGACCTCCTTTTTTGATCACTATTTTTCAGGTCGCTGCTTCGTTATATAAAATCACGCAAAAAGACATTGATTATTGGAAAAACGAACTGGAGGAATGCCAAAAACCTGGATTTGGGCTTCTTACAACGATTGCTTTGCTCACGACCACCTCTCTAATCGTGCATTTTATTGCTAGATGACATTTTCACGAAATTTCAAAAACGCTTGAATATTTTTTTCAAAAAATAATTTGTATAAAACTATTAGCTTAATCCTTGCTGACGCTGATTTCTATATAACATGTTATGAATGTAGGTAACTTGCTTCATGCAAATTCACATATTCCAGTTCAAAATGAAAAACCCATCGCAACGACACTCCAAATTTACGAAGTAGCCTACTATTTAGCGTAATGATCGTTTCTAATGGAAATTTTTAAACAAAAAAGTGGTTTTATTTTCAAACACATCATTTTTTTTCGCCGAAATTCGCAAAATCATTTACCAACGCGTTTTTACATCGTGACTCTCTTTTCGAGCTCACAAAATTCAACTTACATTTTGATTAACCCGGTCAAATACGAACTCGAAAATCGATGAAATACACCAACCTGATTCGGAAGACGATCTAAAGAGAATATTGGGAATCCCGCTTTCACGGGGACGTCCACAATCAAAAACTCTTCAAGCAAGCGTTTTCCGGACGTTTGTTTTTTTTTCTTTTCTGCAGGCCTCAGCATCCTCCGTTTTGGCAAGACATCTAAATTAATGGAAAATTTAGGCTAGAATCCAAAAATCAATTTATTGTCGGTTTCAAACGGCGAATCGAAATTTTAAAAAATGACTATGTGCCGTAGTATTTTATTTACCCATATTTTATTTTTTTTTTATTTATTTATTTACCCCCCTATTTTTTTTTTACTATTTACCCAACTTAGCAATTCGTATGGTAGAACCAGCGGATCGTTTTTTTCTACCATTAAAGTCCAGAAGAAAACTCAACTGTTTGTCCAGCACGGAGTCATAAATTTACACTGATTTCATCAGAATGAAGCCTCCTTTCGATCAGTCGTTTGAAACCAACCGACATTACCTTTCGATTGCCTTCAAAAATGAGTTGTTCCTCGAAATGTTGTCTCTTTTTGATGGTTTTCACTGCATCTGAAAATAATTGAAATTGATAAAGAGTAAAAAAAACAATAGTCAAACGGTAGTATCGATGGCTATTGGCGCAAAATGAAGACCGGAGAAGAGATTCTGAAAATTCAATTTCAATGAGAACAAATCTCAAAGTCAAACTTGTCGCCAAAGCCTTCAGTGTGTGTGCGAGAGCATGATGGGTCGAAAAGAGAATTGTAGATAACTAATCTGAAATTAAGAAAATTCAAATTGAAACTGAATGAGCAAACAAATCAAAGTTTTCACACGATTCAGCTTCAATTTGCTCTCAAATCTGAAATTAAATATTGAGAAAATGATGAAAACGTTGAAAATTGCCAACAAATTCACATCGATTTCAGCAATTCTTCGTGTCGATCCATCATCCTTCATTTATTGTCCGTAAAGATATAAAATTTAAACATTTTAGAAAGAAATAATAATATGGAATTTTCTAGAAATGTAATCGTTTTTTTGTTTGCGCATTCCGTCCAAAAAATATGACAATTTCCAAAAATAATTGCCAATTCGGCAAGTCTCCACAACGAAGTGCCTCGATGGTCCCTACGCCACTCCACCGTGTGCGCCTAGACTTCCCCAGGCATTGCCCTCCTGGGTCCGACCCTATGGGGTCACCGATGCGGGGTGTTGGTCCGCGTCTCGTGGCACGAGAAGCGCGGCACCCGTGCGGGCTCTCTCAGATCCGACTCAACGAATGTTCTCGAGACACGCTCACAGTGGTCCGAGACGCGTTCGTTGCGGAGACCACAGAAAGCGCAATGATCAAAACAATTCAAAAATTTAGAAACTTTTGTGAGAAACGATATAATTCTTAGAAAAACCTACACGATATTGAGGAAGTTTTTTGTCGAAATATTTTTGATTTCGATTTCAACCTGCAAAATATCAATAAAAATTATTTCTTATAATTCAAAATAAACAATTATGAAAAAAAACCAAAAATGATTTTTTTTTATTAAATCGAACAACATGAAAAATACGTTCGCCACGTGGCAGACTGATTACTGTAGAAATAATTGTTTTCATACAATTGAACTGACGACATAATACAGATTTGTTTGGAATATCAATTTCTGCCTTCACCACTGTTTCTCAAAGGAAACAATTTTTAAAAATTGGATCATTTTTGCTATGAATAATTAAAATGTTCGATTTCTTGCTTTGAATTCGAGTTTCTTTTGGCATTTTTGGTTAAGGATCAATGCAGAAAAACATAGTAAAAAATGGAAAAAAATGTTTCTATAAATAACTTACATAATCATTTTAAAATCAAATTTTTTCAGAATTTCTCGGCAATCCAATACGATGAAAAAAAAACAATAAAAATAAGGAAAATGAATAAAAGTGGGTTATGGTGATTTGGAAAATTGAAATATTCACGTGATTCCAAAATATTTTGCTGTTGAATGAAATTAATCATAGAATTTAATCGCCGTCATTTGGTAGTGGATTTCAAAATCCATACGATTGAAGAAAATTCTAAGAAAAGAAAAGCATAATTATAGTAAATAATAGGAAATAATTCATATTTCGAAGGTCCCATTTAAAATCTGTGATAAGAAATCGATTATTGGTTTCCATGCGATTCTAACTTTCATTAATGCCAAAGGAAATCAAAGAATTTTCTAAATATTTCTGTTTTTTTCGAAATTTCAACAAATAATTACCACTTTCTGCAATTTGTTCAGCTTTTTCAATGAAGTTTCGCCAATATTCGACGTCAGTTTTCGACACCAACATTCGTTTTTTGAGCATCTCGCCGTGCTTTCTCGAGAATACGTGTTGAGCGATTAAGTGATAGCTATTATACGTAACCATCTTTCCGCATTTATTAATACAATATTCGCAATTCAGTCGAAGGCGCTGAAAACGAAATTCAAATTAAAGTATCTCGAAGGAATACCTTTTCAGTATTGACTTTTGCAATATAATTTAGACGAATATTCGATAATCTTTTGGCCAGTTTATCATATTCCTTCTCAAATTCCCAATCATCTAAAAACCAAATAAAACATTTGAAAATACTTAAATTCATACTTTCTCCTGGCCGAATATCGGCGAGATAATTGAACAACGGAATTTCGACCTTCGCAATCTTAAAGGACCTTGCTTCTTCTATGAACCTCTTCCAATATTCTAAATCTTCTTTCGACGCCTCACAGGTTTCCTTGAGTATTGCTCCGTGAGCCCTCGAAAAGACGTGAGAAGCAAGAGATGAATGCGTTTTGATTCGACACTTACAGAAATCACAGGCAAGATACAACTGAAAAAAAGAAAACATTTCAATTTTTTGCCAATTCTGTACAAATCTACTTTTTGCTTATTTAATTGACCAATTACTCTTGGCGTAATTCCATTAAATTGTTCGCACAATTTGTCATATTCCTCAATAAATTCAGCTTCTTCAAAAAACAAATGCGATTGATTGAATGCGCCTTTAAAATTGGTCTCACTTGGCAATTTATTAGTTGATCCAAATGAGTTGAACAGCGGATATTTCGGACCATTCTCCTTTTTTGAAGTTTTTTTGATGCAAAGAAGCAAAATTCGTCTCCAAATCGCAGAATCAGTGAGCAGAAATCCATTTTCGATCATCTGAAATCGTTGTAGCAAAAAAAAGAAATCTAGGTGGGCCTACATAATTCATATGTTTCGGAGTGAATATGTGAGCACCCAGTGCAATAGGGTCCGAAAAACTGTACGGTCCGAGGGCGCATGGTTCACAAGTGGCCTTAAATAAAAATTTGACAGGATTAGAAAGGACCACCTCAACTTTCTTGTTAATCTCATAGATGCGTTTGCCGTAAATTTCCCACATCGAACTTTCCACGGATTTCCAGAAAAATTCCAGCTCATCAATTAATCTTTTCCGCATGTATTCTTTAAAAATGTATGAAAATTTTTAAAATTCAGGCTTGTCGTTCTGAAATCGAGCGGATCGAATAAAAAATTAGATAGAAAAAAAGGAAAGTATTTAAGAATTGATTTAACTTGATATAATTTTGGCTTATTTGGTCAAATACAAGAAAAATCGGGACTCATCGATAACTCTTTTCAGCCTCAACATTTTCAATTCTGCTTGAATAATTCAAATCCTGAGAGTATTCCCAAAGATCTTTAGAAAAAAACATGGAAAGCATGAATTTTTTATTGATCACATTTCAGCATTTGTGCATCTTCTTGCAGATGTCCTTTGGTGGGACGTCCTTCTTGAGATCGGAGATGATCAATTCGACCTCTTTGTCGCCGTACGACTCGCAGTATTTCTCGGCGGCTGGCACCGGAGCAACATCGTGGCAGATCGCCTTCACTTCCTGAAAAGACTCGCTTCAGCTCGTCGATGCGCCTTTAAAGTGCCGCCATTGAAAAAGAATGAAGGAAATCCTAAATCGATTCCACCCAATATAAATGAACCTTCAAATTACCGCCCAATTGTTCTTTCCTATGGATTCGCGCCGGGACCATCGACAGCTCAATGACGGCTACAGTAACCCCATAAGGGGGGGGGGTGATCTACGATACCTTCTCGCCGATCTCGTCTCCCTCGTTGAAGACCTTCGCCTCGACACCTTTGACGGTGGCGACGCACGTGATGCATTCGAGGCTCGCCTGCATCGGCGGCACGATGGCGGCGAAGGCGACCGACGAAGCGATGAGAAGGACCAACAACGAGCGCATCTTAACTATATCATATAATTTATGGTAGGGGGAGAATTTTTTGCATTGGCCTTTATTGATAACACCGACATTTTATAGTGAAAACCGGCGTGCTGATAAGAAGGCGACGGATGAAGCTGATCGACGCCAAACATCAATCGTGCCACGGTTCTCTCGACGAAGAGCAGTGTTGCCAAACGCGCTCCATTGACAACTCGTAGAACAGTTGAAAATAAATTACAGCCAATTTTCGAATTGAAACAGAACATTTGAAATTATTCGGATCATTCCACATTTCGCGTTGAGACCTTGATTCTACGTTAATGCGCCTTTAAGTTTTCAAAACCATTATCAACACTCATCATTTCAAAGCCACTAAATTTAAATCTATCTGCCGACATCCGTCGAGGCCCCATAATTGATCATTTCCTTTTCGGAAATCATGCGATTCCCGATAAACGTTATCAAACAGAGTTTCGATTTATCACGAGTTTCGGTGCAAGCCAGGTTCGATCAATTTTTGATCGAGAAAAACGCCCGGCGTTTGATTAATGTCGCAATCGCGTTCGACGGCAAACAAAATAATTTCGGGGAGAAAAAATCACTTTGTTAGAAAATTATCAAACATTTTCAACAATTATTACGAGAAAAAAAACAATATGGATATATCTATAAATGGAATGAATTATTGATGTAGAAAGACAGGATCTGCTTTATAAGCAAACTCATCATTAGCTTCTCCTTCTTCGACAAGAACCTCGTCCGTCTGAAACTCGGCTCAATTTGCAAATCTCCAATAAATCTGATTTTTATTTTCAAAAATTTCGATGAAGAACCTCAATTTTCTAAAATCATGAACATTTCCTCAGATTTCATCAAAAACTAAAAATTTCGCTTCAAGACCATTGCACAAAAAATCATCATGTTCCTTTAATAACCTTTCGCATGCCACAAATTGAAACTCAAAATTTCAGGTAAATCAAAAAGACGACAAAAAAAGTACCAAATATTCATCGTCCTCTTCTTCCTCCTCATCCTCAAAATAGTCCTCTCCTTCCTCCGAATCATTCGACTCATCATAGTTGATATTGACGACGCGTCCCTCCATACACTTCGCTTCGTGATATCGCTGATTGTGGGCGCTGGAGAACACGCGACCGCAGCCGCGTATACAAGCGTACCTAAAAAAAAAAAAGAAAATAGCACACATCAATGCGCCTTTAAATCTCCGCCGACACCACCCACTTCTTCTTATTCATATGTTTGCGTTCAACGTGATTCTTGAGCAGGGTTCCCGACACGAATCGCTCGTTGCATCCCTCCATTAGGCATTCGTATCTGCAACGAAATTGAGGTCAACGATTTCCAGCCAAAAAAAAGAAAGAAAGAACGAAAATGTCGGACTCACGGCTTCTGATCAAAATGTCGTCGGAGGTGTAGACGAAGCGGCGTCCGCTGGGCGAACGCCATTCCGCAAATCTCGCATTTGAACGGCTTCTCGCCAGTATGAGTCCGCATATGCGCCTTTAAAATAGACTAATATTGCAGCGAGTCCCAAATTTCGTCTTAATCGAGAACCCCCCCCCACGGCCCAAAAATCTCGTAAATCGACACCAACGATGATCGCAGCGAGACTAATTTTCCAGATCGTCGATAATCGACAACAGAACGTGGCAAGAATGTTTTTTTTTTCAGAAACAATTCGCGACGGGACCCAGCGTGTGTGTGTGTTACCTGAATTTTGCTCGGATACTTGTCGACTTTGCCGCAAAATTGGCACGTGTGAACCGTCGGCTTTTTTCGATGATGCGGACTCGCCGCGTTCACGTCGATGCCGCGCGCGACCGCGTCGATGATCCAATCCAAATTGCGCGCCGATTTCGTCGGTTTTCGCTTTTTCGACGACAACGAGAAGCCTTGCCGCAAATGGCGTACCGGCGCCGCCATTTCGAGTGTCGATGCGTCGACGACCATTTCTTGAAGGACGGCGCCCTAGAATGCAAAACGATGAAACGATTATTCGAGTTCGAGTTGGAATTCTCCTCCCACCTCTTCTTCCCATCCCGCATTCTTTTTAGTTCCGCGTTTCGGCGGCAAAGGATTGACAAGTATCCGAACGTGCTCATCACCTTCATCACCAACAACTTGAACTCTGCAAACAAAGTTCGAAATGAGAATTTCAAATCGACATCAATGGTATACCCATCATCGACAATGATTTGTCCAAAATGGTGTTCCGATTCGAAGTTGGATTCCGCCGACGTCGTCGCAACGTCCTCTTCGGCGATGCATTCCATTTCTTCGACAATTTCGCCGGGAATCCCTTCTTCATATATTATTTCATCGATTAGTTCTTCGTTGACGGGTATCTGAAAAGCCAAACAAAAAAAAAGATGGCTTCGAAACTCGCGGCGGGACCACGTCCGCAAATCTTCAAAATATAGACGCAAAAATAAAAATCTAAACTAATTGCACATTTCAAAACTGTCGTCGAATAAAATGCATTAGTCCGCAGCGCCGTTTTCAGCGATTTTTAACTCTGAGCTTATCACGGCTTGAAAACGATTTTTCAGTGTCAAAAATTCAAAAATTGAGGGCCAATTTTTGCAGTTCGATTTTAAAAAGTGGCGCGACTACAGTGCGTTGCATAATTATAAGGCCACCCCCAAATTTGAGCGCCGCGCAATGATTTCGATACTTTGAGACTAACCAGTGTTAAAATCGTGTTCAGCATGAAAAATAACCTATATGTACCTATTTTTATGTTAGTATCTTCAAAAGTAACCGCGCAGTGGTCCAAAACCGTTTTTTCAAGCGGTGCAGAATTATAAAGCCACCCCCATGAAACTAACTTCTTCGCATTTTTTTGAAACTTTGGCGGGACCAGTGTGCATAAAAATAGTTGTGTGACTTTGAGAACCTACCGTGGTTCTTATTCTTCTCTTTTTGAATCATTTTGAAATGCCACGTGGTCGCTGTCTTAGTGTTTCTGAGCAATCTCAGATTCTTGCATCCAAAACAGCAGGATGGTCGAACCGTCGGGTTGCGAAGAATTTAAATGGTCCGAAAACATTCGTAGACATCTTTGTGAAGGATCCAACTCGTGTCAACATGTCGCAAAAGTCAGGCGGCAGAGGAAAACTGGACTATCTCGCTAATCGAGCATTGATTCAAGCAGCTTCGAGCAGTATGAAGTCTACATATGACACCAAGAAGAAGCTAAACTTCGACAAAAGCAAGTGGACAGTTTGGGGAACCATCAAGAATAACCCCAACGTCGCTAGAGAAAAAATGAAGCCGGCCCCGCGACTCACAGGGGACCATAAAATTCGACGCCTTGAGTTCGCATTCAAAAACATGAATACGGATTGGAACAAGGTGTTTATATTCGAGAATATTGTGAATAATAGCCATTCAAACTTCAATAGGTTATTTTTTCCGATGAAAAACAATTTAATTTGGATGGCCCAGACTGCTATAACAGTTGCTGGCACAATTTACGGAAGAATCGCCTCCTGCTTTTAAAACTCAATTTTAGAGGAGGAAACGTGATAGTATGGGGAGCTTTTTCGGCGGCCTGGTTTCTGGAAATTGCTTTTCTGACGAGTAAGGTGGACTCTTCGGACTATCAAAATGATCTTGAGAGCCATCTTCTTCCATTCCGACGTCACCATTGTCGTTTTTCAACAGAAAAATGCGGTCATTCATGTGAGTCGGTCTACTTTGGACTAGCTTCAGTCTCACAGTGTAGACGTTCTCGACTGGCCAGCATGTTCTCTTTTTTGGAGTAACATGGAGAACGTTTGGGGAGAGTTAGTACGGCGTCTCTATGGCCAAGGAAGGAATTTCGGGGAGTTGGAGAGCTCAAAACCGAAATCGTAGTCGAGTGGAAGATGTTAGAGCAGAAATTCAAATCTAAATCGACCCAATCTGTTTAAAACCTTCTCAAATCTATACCAGACCGTTTTTCTGACATAATTACCTCGAATGGAGGTGCCACTAAACATTAAACTGTCGTTATTTTTGAGTTTATAACTTGTTTTATGGGGGTGGCTTTATAATTCTGCACCGCTTGAAAAAACTGTTTTGGACCACAGCGCGGTTACTTTTGAAGATACTAACATAAAAATTGGTACATATAGGTTATTTGTCATGCTGAACACGATTTTCACACTGGTTGGTCTCAAAATATCGAAATCATTGCGCGGCGCTTAAATTTGGGGGTGGCCTTATAATTCTGCAACGCACTGTATCGAAGCGCCGCCGAATTTCGAAACCCCCACCAACCTCAACTTGTGCCAACGGCTGCGCGGATTCGTCGCGCTCCTCGCGCTCACCCTCGACGAATCCCTCTCTCATCTCCTTGTCGAAGAACACCGTGGGCTTTTTGATGATCGCTGTCGCCGTCGACGACGGCGGCGCGACGAACTCATCGCTCGGCTCCTCGAAATACTCGAACTCGTTGAACATCGCTTCGTCGCATTCGAATTCCTTCTAAACGCCCGACACATTCATGTCGGCATTTTTGTTTTTGAATCGTTGAACTGATCTACCTTATATTGGGTGGGTGTGGCCGAATTCCCGAACAGTTTCGTCTCAAGATCCTGCCATTCCTCATTCGGCGACGCTTCAATCGATTCTTGCGCCACTTCATCCTCCCAGCAGACGTTCTCATGGCATTCAGCAATATGGCAAAGGACCTTGAAAACGAAAAGATAAATGAAACATCGCTTGAATGGTCCCATGTAGAGCTACCGAATTCTCATCGCTTTGAAACCCACAATTCAGCGGGCATTCGAAAATGCTGAAAAGACGCGCGGTACTCGTCGATGGCGCATCGTTCGCACTTTCCTCGAACACCTCATGCGCGGCCGTTTCGTCGTCATCGAAATGTGTCTGAAAGCCGTCGTTTAAGCATTCGTTTAAGCATCCCCCCCCAATTCCTACGACCAATCTCGACATACCTTCTCATGTTCGGATCTCAGCTGAACCGTTTTGAACGATAAACTACAATAGGCGCATTTGAACGCCTTCTCTTTTGTGTGAGCCATCAAATGGCTTTTGAGTGTGTGCGCTTGGGTGAAGCCCTGTCCGCAAAATGAGCACGTGAATGGGCGCTCACCTAAACCAAAAAAAATTATTCGCGTTGAGACCCAACACTTCTATTTGCTCGGCGAAGCCTCAATTTTGTGCTTTAAATAAATGAAATTTAAAAACCCCACATAGGCATTGTTTTTCCGCGTTAGAGCCCAATTTAAAGGCGCATGTCGTCAACGCCTTTGAAATCGGCAATTTTGTTGCTAGAAAAATAAAATCGGAGAATTTCGCTGGTTTTCTCACAAATAAAATTCGAGTTCCAGCAACAAAAAAAAGGAAAATTTTTGGTAAAAAGTCATTTTTCGATGCGGGACCCAAAAATGTTGCAATTTTCTGGGTGAAACGCGAACGAACCCGTGTGTTTCCTAATATGCTCGCTTATTTTCGACGGATACTTGATACTTTTGTTGCACAATTTGCAATAATAAATCTGCGCCGGCGTTCGTTTCATCATCCGATATTCGCGGCCCGATTGTTGTTGCGGCGGCGCCGATTGGGCACCACGCGAGCCACTCGCCGCCCCATTTTTGCCGTTCGCGCTCGTGCTCCGCGAATGCGCCTGCAACAACAACAACAAAATGCACCAATTGCACCAATTTGGTGTCGGGCGAAGACAATGTCGAACCTCGATGAATCGCGTGTAATCGAATCGGATCGCTTTGGCGGGTTGCCGAATCCCGGGCTCATCCGTCATTAATTTTATTGCTGAAAACCTATTTTTCTCAAAAATTTTCCAAAAAAAGCGATAAATTCAGATAAAAACGTCTGGCTAAAAACCAATTAAAAAAAAACCATTTTTTTTTTGAAAAATTTATCATTTATTTCGGGTCCAATGCAGAATAATTTAAATTCTCGGCTTCCACAAATTCTTCCTCGTCGTACTCGTCGTTGGGTTGAAGGATTTCCATGAGCTCCTGTAAATTTCGACTATTTTTCAGCCAGAAAATCCGTCCACATTTTTTTTGGCGATTTTTGGTCCAAAATGGGTGGTCGGCACGAAAATAGAATGTTTTGAATATAAATTGAATAGAATGCATCATGAAAATTCCACTATCACAAAACTCTTTTTGAATAAATTTAAACAATTAATTTCAAAATTAAAAATTGGCTCGCCGTCAAACGGCTTAAACGAAATTTGAAGAAAAAGGGACCCCTTCTAAAAACGCAAAATTCAAATTTCACAAGGTCGCTCATTCTTTTGAGCCATTGGCTCTCTCTATAATTTTGCTCATTCAATATGCACAAAATTCCCTAAAGTCTGGTGGTTTTTTTTTCAGCAATCTGTGCGTACGTCGTCTAGAATTCTGAAATTTTTCGGTCTCAAATTTAACTAGAATTTCGGTAGAAACTTCGATGACTCTTACGTTTTTTTTTCTCGAGATTGCAGAATGCGTCGTCAAAATTTCAGACTTCTCGACAACTTCAGATATGAGCAAATTAGAAGAACAAATTTCACCCAAAAAAAATGAGCTCCCTGGTTAGCGCAGTGGTTAACGTCGAAAATGTTCGAACATTTCCCAATACCAATGGTCTCGTGTCGATTTACGAGTTACGCAGCGTTGTTTTGGCATATATTGCCACAGACTTCTCGTTGGTGGCAGCCACCAAAAAATTAAAACTAAATTCTCAAATTATCGACGGCTTCGGGCCGCCGCCGTTGGATAAACGAGCATGCGCATTTCGCAGTGGGCTCCGGTTCACATATAAATTCTCACACTCAACGCTGATTTCGAAACAATGTTGAACTCGTTGCGTGCAACACGCCGATAAAAAAAACGTTAACCGATAAACGCAAATAATTCGTCATTTTATTAGATTTGGGTTTAAAATCTGCGAATTTTCCAGATTTTTTTTCAAACATACTGGTTTTTGAATAAAATCCTACCCCGAATGCCGGTTTTCCATCATTCTCAAGCATTATAATACTCGGCGGCATTTGCTCGCCGACCAGATCGGCCGCCTCTTGCTCGGCAACCTCTTCAGGATCGAAAATCTGCGTGAACACCTCACCATGCACGTTGGCGCGGTGTCTCATCAAATAAGATCGTCGGGAAAATGTCTCGCGGCATCCTGAAACGAAATTTTCAAGCAAAACTTTTTTCAAATCCAATTCATTTACCATCTAGAAGGCATTCATAGCGCTTATAACCCGAATGCACAATTTTTTGGTGCTCATTTCGACACGCTTCCGAAACAAAACTCATTCCGCATTCCCATTCGCATTCAAACGGCTTTTCCACTATAAAATTTCGAAATATCATTTTTCGTTTTTTTGTTGTTGCGATACATGTGTGCTTCCTTCTGATGTGAATCTTTAGCGACGTCGATTTCGTCAAGAAAAGCCCGCATTCGCCGCATTGATACGGCTTTTCGCCAGTATGCGTTCGCACATGGGCTTGAATTTTACTTGGATGTTTAATCATTATTCCGCAGATCTTGCATTGGGCGATGGTAGTGGGACGACGAGCGAGATAGGGTCGCTTCAACATTTCATGCTTCTTCTCATCAACGCTTGGCGCCGTCAATAAGCATTTCGAAAGAACCGAGTCGATAACCTCATCGATTCTGGAAAAAATGCGCATATTATGGAAAAAAAAATTCATAAAATAAAAAAATAGTCGCAATTTCACTCTTCGGTGTTTGCGTACTTTTCCGGACTACAGTACCCAACCTTTTATTTGTTTCCACCAATCTGTCCCGTTTTGTCTCCGAATTCTCCGGTTTTTTCGATGAAATGCTTTCAGCCTCCTGTCTCTCTAATTCGTCGGTAATTACAATATCTTCAAAATTAGCTACGGCGGAATTTGGAAGATTGGGATCACGCGGCTCATCCGGCACCAAATTTGGGCAAATTAGTCGCCTCGGCGGCTTTAGATGTGGCCTAGGGGGTCCCTGGCGCGTCTAAAAAAATGAAATTGATATAATAAAAGAAAATTAGGCAATTAACCAGGCCGATGTGGCGCAACTCGTGTGCATTCTTTCTCGCATTATTTACAAACCGTTTACCGCACCCGAAACTGCATTGATATGGAAAATCACCCATATGTTTGCGAAAATGATTTATCTGCAATTATCTATGAGTAATTAACTAAATACCGCTAATTACCATTGGAGATCGTTGTGAAAAACAAAGGCCGCAAATATCGCAACGGAATGGCTTCTCACCGGTATGAGTTCTCATGTGTTCCCGAATTTTCGATGGATATTTTAGAACGATTCCGCAAATTTCGCACGTCGAAATCGTTTTTGGCCTATTATTACCTCGTCTGAAAATTGAAATTGTCAATATTTCATATTTCATTCGCTGTCACTTTTTGACTCGTTTAAAATCTACAGATTTTTCCGGCTCCTCGCGCACGTATTTCGCCGAGATGCTCGTTGACGGCTCATTTTGACTCGAAGTCCAATCATCTTCCTCGAGTTCCTCGAATTCTTTAAAATTGTCGTTCTGAAATCGAGAAATCATTTTTTTTGAATAAAAAAAATTTAAAATCACTGTTGCGCTTGATCCAAGGACTTCGTCGCTCGCTATGACTTCTATTTCATCATTAACTGAATCTAGTGACATTGTTAGCTGAAAGTAATTAAATTTAAAAATGTAAAAAAATGCAGAAAAAATGTCGAAAATTGGGCGAAATAAAAATGAAAGCGAATGTCGTCAATTGTGGTGTTTGCGGACATTGTGCAAACACCGACCATACAATTATTTCCGTTTTTTTTCCAATTTTCTGAAAATCGTTCTAATTTAATTAAAATAAAAAATCTACATCATTTTTAATTTTAATTATCTCAAATTTAGCAGAAATGACGGTTCTGGAAGATGAAGGGACAGGAAGTAAGCAGTGGCTCGAGGAAATCAACGATGTATCTGATTTGAAGACAGAATACCCAGTTGAATATCAAAAAGAAGTGTCTAGAATGAAATCCAGGCTGTTTCAATATATAGTAAGCATTTTCTCCTGATTAATTAATTAATTATATACTGATAATTGTAGGAGAAAAATGTTTTTATGAAGAATTTCGCCGAAGCTTCCACACCAACAACAGTTGATCCAATAATGCAGCATATATTTAATATAATTATTGCAAAAATGAATGTGGTATGTTGAACTAAAGCGTGAAATTTTATGAGAATGAATTTAGAATGAGAAAAGAACGTTTGTGAGGGAGCTGGTGAAGCTGGTGCACGGAATCGCGCTATTCCATCCAAACAATTCGTCAAAGGTGACGAAAATTGAAAAATCCGTCGATGAGTTGTTTATCGATGCACATAAAATGGGCATATTGCCAACATCGTAATTATTATTGTGCAAAAATTGAAGCCTTCTTGAATTTCTCCTTCCAGAATTTGTATCGAAGGGCTTGTAATGTCGACAGATTTCACGATGAGGAGTCGAATACGAAAAGAGAAGTGGGATTATATCAAGGAGAACGTGCCGACGATGGATTACAAGCCGATTCGGACACTTTTGCATTTTATGCTGGTCTCGCAGCTGATTCGGATACCGATGCCGTTGCCCTCGTATAAATGCGAGCAGCTGAGAGTTGTCGAAGATGTAATTTAGAAATTAATTTGAGATTTTAAAAAATATCAACCAAAAATTGGTTTTTTGTGTAGGTTCTTCTGAAAATTCTCGATCGCGAGGCGAATCTGCTACCCGCGATTTTCCCGTTCGCCGTTCTCGTCCGGAATTGCCCAAAACAGGCCTACCTGTTTCCGGTAACGTCTGCCGTCGTCATTCGTGGAGATCATCGAAAATTTCAGCGTCTCACTGAGAAATTGACGGAAATTCACACCTATTTTCGGAGCACCGCCGAGCTCACGTTCAATTGCGGCCGAACGTACATGTATCCGATACCGCAGCATCCGTGTATGCTGCCGACGCGTTCGACGTGGGAGAATGATGGATACGGAATGCATTCGAACATGTGAAACAACATTGGACGGAAAATCCGGAAATTGCGATTTTTGTTTCAGGATTGTTCACCAAACTCAACAATTATTTCCATATCGATTCGAAGTCACGTCGCCGCAAACGCATATGCTTTATATGGTGCTGCGGCAGCCATTTGGGACCGAATTGGTAAGAAAATATTTAAAAAAATTGATAGTCATCTGCAATTTGACGCCTCGGTGTTTGCGTACTTCAGTTGCCTACCGTACCCAAAAATGATTTAAAAATTAACAAATGACGATTTTCAGTTTCTCACGTACAATAAACCGGAGACAAAAGGCCATTGGGACATAATTGTCGCGATAATGATATGCGAAGCGATGCAAGAAGCTGATTTGCTGGAAGATGATGAGCCAATTCCGATATACCAATTCGAAAACATTAATAATATTATTTACTATGGGATTTCGAAGAAATTATTGTAAGAAAGAGTTTGGGCGCAAAATTTGAGCGTCGAGCACATTTTATAGGAATCCGGTGAATTTCATTCAAATGCTTCATGGGCTCATCGGAACGACGACGTTCTTGCGCGCCAGGGATGAGGTGATGTGGATAATGCTTCAGATTGTCGGATCGTTTCATACGTCGTCGTTTGTTGATGAATCGCTCGAAGCCCTTTTAGATGTTTACGCGGTGAGTTGAGCGGGAAATTCAAAAAAAAAAAGAGAAATTGGGATTTTTTAATGGTCTCCTAGCGAAATTGATGATCATTATTGGGGCCATTATATCCTTGTGTGTCTCGCAGCGAATCAAAATTCTAACAGAGATCATTTTTCATGTGATTTCCGTTTTATTTACATTTAAATGTAACTAGAGGTTTCGTAGGGAAAATGCAATTTTAAATATAGATTAGGATTAATGTTTAAAGGAGCATTTGGGTCCCGCAGAGTGTATTCATTTTTAGGTTTTTTCGTATGGGTCAAATCTAGAAAAGCAGAATCAAGATTGACTTCGAGTCTTGGAACGGCTATTCATTTGTTTTTTTTTTCTTTAGGAACTTTTTCCGGGTCCCGTCACGTGGCGTGGAGCGTCGGACCATCCGACGCTGATGGCGCGCTTCCTCGCGCCCGCTTGCATCTGGATCATACTCGACGGGCGCGAGAAGCTTCCGGCGCCGCCGCGCAACGTCGAATCGCATAAGGAGTTTGTGATGAAGGCCGCCGAGCAGCTCGAGCCCGATAACACGGCGATGCTCGCCGTTCTTGCCAACTCGTGTAAGCGTTTGCTGCTCTTTCTTTTTTTTTTTTGGTGCTCCGCACGAATTGCTCCGTTTTTTGTTTTCAGATCGATCCGAAACGAAAGTCGGCAAATGGGTTCAGGCGATGTATCAGCGCGCGTTCGAGCCGCTACGCGATGATCCCCCAACAGTGGCAATCTCCTATGGTCGAATGATCACGAATCGATTCGTCGCGTTCCCTGAAGAGGTATGCTTCTTTGAATAATAGAAATTCAACAAACTTCACTTCTAGTTTCTCGATTCGCTGACGTTTCGCTGCCGAAAATCGTTGTTGGTGTGCGCGTTGATGCATGTGCGCGGATTCACGCCGGATCGGCTGCCGAGTCCGGCGGCATTCGGTAGGAAATTTTTTTTTTGCAAAAAAACAAAATATGGGAACGACAAAATTTTGTTTTTTTTTTTCTCAGACACGATTGCCCAAATTTGTAAATCGATGGACTTTGAGATGACCGGCAAAGAAGTGTTCCAGATGGCGATACGCACGATGAACGCGATTATGGGATTGAACGACGCGGCGCGCGAGCAGTCGCCCAAAGAGCAATGCTTCTTCTTGCTTGATCTCATCTGCTATAGGTTTTTTTCTCATTTGTGACTTGCGCTTTTATTTTCGCGCTAGGACCCATTCAAATTTTCACCTTCAATTTAAGCGAACGAATTTTGTTGCAAGCAAGCAACGATTAATCAATTATGTCCTTTTTTTAAAGGCGCATTGTAGATTTAATACGAAATTCGATATTTTTCAGATTGACGAATCTACGCGAAACGATGCGCCACAATTACATCGCCTCGGCGACGACGGCGCTCGGCACATCGGCGATCAATCGCGAAGGCAATCATCAACTCTATTTGATCATTGAGCAATTCCTTTTACGGCAATGGGTTTTCGCGCCGAATCACGATATTATCGCGTCTTGTGAAACCAATTACAGTGAGTCGTTTGGCCGTGGCCGCCGAATTCTAGGCCATATTATTATTAATTTATTTGAAAACTTGAAATTTTGATTTTTGTTTTGAGCAGTTTCAGATGTAATTTATTGAAATTCAGATGAGAAACTTGGTCCGAAACCTGAGAAAATCCCGAGACTATCAAGCCCGCTGCCGGACCGTTCGCTTTATTCGACGAATTTTGTGACCGGCGATCCGAAAGCGCATCCAGTGGCACCGGAGGTACGTTTTTTAATGCTCCCGTCAAACGTGGGGAATTTTAACATGAATTCTTTTCAAGATTTATCGAATCAGCATTTTTCTGATGCTGAAATCGCTGAAAATCACAAAATATGAAGTGACGGACTGTCCGATTTTCATGAATTACGTCACCGAATTTCGATGGCCCGAAATCAAGCTGAGATATTTTCCGAAGTTCGCGCAAGACTTCGCGATGAAACGCAATTTGGAGCAACAAGAGGAAACGTTTGGCGATGTGCAGGAGATGGCGCGATGCGCCTTCAATATTCACATGGCATCCGATCCGCAGCAATTTGTGATGTCGATCGAGCAACTGCCGAAGAAGCACGCGATTCTCGCCGTCATGTATTTGTATTTGACGGAAGTCGAGAACGCGAAATTGACGAATGCGATGGAATTTTATGAGTAAGCATTTTATTTAAATTTTTTTTGGTGGAATGAAAAAGGATGAAAAGCGAGGTATTTCAGCGATCAGTCTTAAAATTTTCTATTTTTTTTGCATTTTTGAATAATTTCCAATCGATTGTTATAGGTCCCATCTTTCGCAAACTTCTAGTTATCGAGATAGGGACCATTAAAATTAGCTCCGCCCTCTTATCATGAGTTGTACGAGAAAAATTTCTGGGATGAAACGTAGAGTTTCCGATTTTCGATTTTCTATTTCCGGGTTTTTTTTTGTCAATATTTTTTCCGTATGCGCGATATTCGGCTCGAAATGTGGATTTTTTTTAAATTTTTAAAACGATTTTGCCAAATCTCGCACTTTTCAAAGTGTGTGCGCCTTTAAACTGCCCCCCCCCCCTCTTCTACAGTACTACTTTGAATGTTTCAGAGTGATGGCGAAAAAAACGCCTCGAGACCTCATCATTGCCATCAATTTTCTCACCGAATTCCTTATACGCGAAGCGACGAATCGAGAAGATCAAGAAGACGTCGTGAAAAAGGTACAACGCGCATATGCGCCTTTAAATACGGTAGTCCGGTGTTTTTTTTATTTCTTGAAGATTGGCGAGGTTTTGATGCAATTTGTGAAGCATCATTTTCTTCGAATCGATCAGATCCTCATGTCGTTGGCATTGTACCCGGATAATGATGAGCAATTGCACATTGGCTTCTTAATTATGCAGGTAACTAATTTGTTTGGCTAATTATGTAGTCTTAATTAATTAATGGGGTAATTAATTAAGGAGTTTCTGCTGCTGCCCGAAATCGCGGATCGCTTCAAATGGTATGCGCAGAATGTGAGCAAGGAGACGCCCGAGACCTACATTAATAGTATTGTGCAATTCCATCAGGTATGTTTTCGCTTCGAGACCTATTTTCGGTTATCTCGGTTATGCGTCTTTAAACGAGTACAGTAAAATGGGAGATTTTTGGGAATATTTTTTTCACAAAAATGCCTTCATCGTTTTTTTTTGGAAACATTTTTGACAAAAATGACTGGACAAATTGGTTTTTAATCGAAAAATTGCGAGTTTCAGCTTTTCCCCGAACTCGAGCTCACTGAAGCAATGCCTGGTGCGCCGGAAGAGCCGATACCGTATTTGCACCTGCCTTCCTATTATGGAAGCGTCATGGAGAGATTGATGCCGGTAAATTTTTGAGTTTCAAGAGTTTCTGGAAGAAATTTGAAATTTCACTATTTGGGTGGGCAATTTTGGCCCGATTTTCCCCATCTTCGAAAAATTTAAAAAAAATTGAGTTTTAAACCCATTTTTGGTATATATTTGAAATTTTAATGTTTTACCAAAAAGAGAAATTTCAAAAGTTTTAGTCTTTCCGCTATTAACCAAAAAAATTGGGTGGAATTTTGAAATTCTCTAGACAAAGACGAAAAATTGGAAAATTCAAGATTTCTGGAAGAAAAATGAAAAATTAGATTAAAATTGCAGAAAAATTTAAAAGTCAAAACGATTTTTTAATCGCACAAAAAAATTATCAAAAATTGTTTTGAATTGTGCGTTTTTTTCCAAGCTTTTTCCTATTTGAATCTCACTTTTTTGCATTCGGAAATTGTCAAAAATTTGCAGCTTCTCGACTTTATCATTCCGACGGCTCTCGAGAATTACAACACAAAAAATATTGATACGAACACCGATTTGAAGGAATTCGCGCCACTTTTGCCATTGTTGACGCCGCTTTTCAAATTTCATCGTATGATTTTTTTTTTCGAATCACAGTTTTCTGATATATAAGATCGTCTCAAAAAATTTTTTTTTCCAGCGTGCCCCATTCAATTTTTGTACACGACGCTGTTCCTCATGTTTGATCATCTCAAGAAGCCGCTGGATCGGATTTTTGTGAAGTTGATGAACGAGCATGGTGGGTTTTGAGTTTAAACGTTGTTGCATGCGCCTTTAAACGGAAAATAAATTGTGGCTTTTTGAATTGACGATTTTCGGGACAAAAAAAAATGTTAGAAATTTGAAAAATTCGATTAATCAATATTTTTCTTTCATTAAAAAAAATGAGAATAAAAATTTGTTTGCTCATCCAAACAATTTCCAGTTGGCGACATCCATTTGACGGTGGAATTTGAGAAATACAATCACCAATCGGGCAATCTCGAGCTCATCGTGACCGAATTGATCGCAAGAATCTGCAAATCGCTCGAATTCGTCATCATGTCAGTGCAATTTTCTTCTTCTTTTTTGTTTTTTTTTTGAGCTTCATCGTTTGAGCAATTTTCAGACCGCCACCGTTCGTCTCGCCGTGCTTCAAAAGTGCCGAGTTGACGCCGGCGGCGCAGACGATTCATTTGACGTGCATTGAGATAATGGCGAGCCCTCATTCGCCGAAGGTAGTTGAATTTGATTTTATTTTTTTGAGCGCCAATTTCCCGTGAGAACACTTTCAAATTTGGAGAAATGGCGAATTTTATTTTTGACGAAAATCAAATATTGAATTATGAGAAAATTTATGGAAATTGTGAGATTTTGTGTGGATTTTTTTTTTTGAAGAACCCCAAAAGAAATTACGAATTGATTTTTCGAAGAGCTAAAAATTCTCAAATGAAAGCCTGAAATATTTTCAGAACACAAAAATTTCGTTGCGTCGACAAAGAGTAGAAAAATTTGGGAATTTTCGTCAAATTTAATGCATTTCTGAGCTTGACAGGCATTTTTTTAGTCGAAAAAATCTGAAATTGAAGCGCGAAGAGGCGGCGTGATTGCACAAAATGCATTAAATTTGACGACAATTTTAAAGCACGCGATTTTTCCACGCGAATTCCCAATATTTGGAGAGCAAAAATTGCGTTAAATTTGACGACAATTTGCAGACGAATGAAAAAAAAATTTGTTTGCAGATGATCGTAAAAGCGTTCATCAATTATTTGGTCGATTTCCAACAACCGCATCCCTACAACGTCGTGAATTTGACCGCCCATTTGCTGACGGCGCTTCCGGACGTTTTTGTGCATTGTATGCAGGACGAGATGCTCGAAATGATTGTCGAGAATGAGACGTCGAAAATCTTGTTCGAGGACATCGTGTTCGACACATTCGAGGAGACCAAAATACTCATGATGGCGTCGAGGCCGATGGTTGTCAATGTCATTTTGCAGGCATATTGGACGCACGCGCATTTGGTTCGTTTTTTTTTTGTTTCTTGGAAATTTTATTGTTTTTTGGTTTAGTTTGGGATGAGAATTTGCAAAAAAAAATGAAATATTGATTGAAAAAATTGAAATCACTTTTAAAAAATTCGATTTTTAATAAGAAAAATTCAATTTTGATGAGGCTTATCGTTTAGAAGTGTCATTTTTTTCCAATCTTAATCAAATATTGGACGATTTCTATATTCAAGATTATTATATTTAAAAAAAAGAGCACATGTGCTTTTAAAAAATGTTTCCAATTTTTTTTTCGTTTTTAGAATTGCATAATTGCCCATTTCTGTTCTATTTTCTATCTAAAATGACAAAAAATCTTTTTAAAAAAGCACGTGGTCAATTTTGAACAGAAAAAACCGATTGTATTCAATTCCTACGCATTTTTATTTAAAACTGACGCCGACCGCGACGCATACGCAACGCGTCAGGTCCTTAGCGCGCGAATTTGAATACTCGATTTCGAAACGACAATAATGGTTTAATTGTCGACGTCAAATGACTGAAGGGAGGCGGGGCTTTCAAATTTGCGAAATTAGTGTAGATTTCAATTAATCGTTGACTGAATATTAAATGCGCGTACGGTATAATGCAATGTACGCAATCTCGCGTAATTCTCGCTGCCTTGAGACACATTGGCACATAGCCAATACGTTTTTTTTTAATTTAGTTTTTTGACGCTGACAAAAAAAATAAATTATGAATTTTTGTTTTATTCTGGCAGCAATTGTGACGTGGCTTAAAAAAGAAAATTGAAAATTTACGATTGACGCAAATGATGTTGCAAATTGCAAATTATTCCAATTTTTTTCCGAGGCCTGAAATTCTCGAAACTTAAAAAAAATTAATGGAGTTCAAAGTATTCAACGATTTTCTTTTTTATTCACGCAAAATTCAAAAAAAATCCCTCACTTTTTTAATTTTAGCTGAAAATTGGATGAGATTGGGATTTTGCGGAAAATTTCGATTTTTTTAAGGCTTTACCCTATTTTTTTCTCTTTTTTCCCCCAATTTTTCTCATTGAAATACATTGAAATCGGAATGTTCGGTTTTTTTTGTGATTTTTAGAACGCCAAAAAACTGAATATTTTTGAATTCTTGAGTTTTTCTTTTCATATAAAAAAAATGCGGAACAATTTTCAGTTTTGAAGAATGCCATTTAAAAAATCTCTGAAAATTTCAGAATGTCGTCGAAGATTTTGTGAACAATGAGATGGTGACGCTCCTCGACGCCGTCAAAACCGAGAAGGACCTCTGGTACGTGCTCCGTCTGATTGTGCCGCTCATTCGGAAGGTGCTCGATCAGCAGAAGGAGAAGTTCAAGAACGACAAGAAGCAGCACGAAGAGCCGTTCAATTCGGCGTCAAGTCTCAAGATCAACGAGGAGCGCGCCTTTAAACAGGTACAGTAATCTGGTCTTGTGTTTTTTTTTTGAAATATCGATTTCAGCCGCTTTTCATCGTGAAAAAAATTCTGGAGCGCGTCGGAATCTTGTCGGAAAATGGTGTCGTTTTTAAACGAGAGGTTCGCTCAATTGTCCTTTTTTGGTTTTTGCATTTCAATTGTTTTTTCAGCATCAAATTTGCGATTTGTTCTATAGTTTCAAGTACGCGTTTGTTGGCGATTTTCTCAAAGAAGCCTCGTCCGATTTTGCCAAGTGAGCTTTTCGGTTTTTTTTTTGAATTTTCAGCCAACCGATTTTCAGATTCTCGCCATCAATGAGAGAATATATGAAGTTTTTTGTTCAAACCGAGCCGAATGCGAAAGTTGAGGAGACTAGCAAAAATATGGCGCTGATGGACATTGAAGCGGCACAAGAGGATGAGGAAGCCAAAGAGGCCGAACGACAGCTTCAATTGCAGCAGATGCAACAGCAGCAGCAGCAGGAGATGCTGAAACAGCAGCAAATTCAACAGCAGTTGATGTTGGAGCAGGAGCAGCAGCAGCAGCAGCAGCAGCAGGAGATACTCCGACAGCAGCAACAACAGCAGGAGATGCTGAGGCAACAGCAGCAGCAGCAGGAGATGCTCAGGCAGCAACAGCAGCAGCAGCAGCAGCAGCAGCAGGAGATGCTCAGACAGCAGCAACAGCAACAGCAGCAAGAGATGCTCCGACAGCAGCAGGAGATGATGAGGCAGCAGGAGATGTTGAGGCAGCAGGAGATGGAGAGGATTCAGATGCAACAGCAACAGCAAATGCAGATGGAGATGGGAATGCACGCGGGAATGCATCATCTTGGCGGAATGCCGCCGCCACCGCCGACGTCGCAAATGATGCATCATATGGGGATGATGGCGCCGACGGCGACGCCGACCGCCCAACAACAACAACAGCAGCAGCAGCAGCAGCAGCAGATGAATCCGTATATGATGCAGCATCATCAAATGCAATCCCATTATGGAATGCCGCCGCATATGTGAAGTACCGCAAAAATTCGATGTTCACTTTTCGTTTTTTTTTGCAATTTTGAGAATTTCCAGTTTTCTCTCAAATTTCTCAATGAAATTCGAAATTTCACGGTTTCTTTTTTTTTCCAAATATGTCCTTTTATTTTGTCATCTCGGGTTCCAATTTTTGTATGGTCTCGATTGGAATTTGCTTCTATCCTATGAAATATTGTTGTTGGTTATTTATTATTTTTTTCTTTGCGATGGAGCGCATTTGTACATTGTGATCTCAATGCGTCCGCCCGTTTTGTTGTGCGGGTCCCGCCACGATTCCGGGCGCTTCTAAAAATCAACCGTCGCCAGCATGGAAATCCAGGCGGGACCCGGTCCGACACTCAGGATTCGATTATAATTACTATCAACAAATCATCCATTTAATTAATTAATTAATTACTAATTACGGTTTTTTTTGATTGCTTTAATTGTGTTGCTCAGTTTCTTGTGAATATGTAAAAATTTTTTAAATTTTGCTGTTTGTTATTTTTTTTGTTCAAAAGTTTTTACAACTTCAAAATATCTTCGAATTATAATTTTCCAAGCATTTATTTTTTTTAGCCATTATGAAATTTTAGAATGTCGCTATCGGAATTGTACGATTTTGGATGGTAGGAATCGTTTTTCTTTTTTTGACCGCTGCCCTCACGATTTTTTTTTCTTCAACTTGTAGGTATTGGGGCGACCTTGAATGGAAATGGGCGGAGCGATTGCTTCTGATGTGTCCCGATGGTTATTATTTGGTGCGTGATAGCCGAAGCGAGTCGCATTTGTTCTCGGTCTCGTATAAATTTGAAGGTTCGTCATTTTAAAGGCGCATCGATTCGAGTGGAATTGAGATGAGAAGATTGCAATTCGACTGTTTTTTTTTTATTGCAATTAATTTGAGCACTCGATTTTCAGGCAAAGTGCTTCACACGCGGATATCGTTCGAACGATCGCAATTCCATCTCGGCCGTCAGCAGCCGTTCCTTTTTAATGATTATCAAAGGCTCGGCCAACTGATTCAGGATTCGGTTGAGGTAGTCGCTTGGTTTTTGCGTCATTTTGAAATTGAACCGGAATTGTTTGACGATTTTCCGGCGAAAAAAATGTGTCAATGTTGAAAATTGTGGCAACGCTGAAAATTGGTTCATTTGATTTTTTTTTTTTGAGATCACCCGAAACGGCCACCACGAGATGCTTGTCCATCGACGCGGCGGCGAAGCGGAAGCGTCGCGTCTGAAATTCACGAATCCGCTGATGCGTCGCGACCTTCTCCCGTCGCTACAGTACCTGTGTCGATTCGCGATCCGCACGAGACTCGCCGCCAATCAACTTGACACACTGCCCCAAATGCCGCCGGCTGTGCTGAAATATGTCAAGGATCCGAAATGGATCATACCCGATTTGGAGGCGTGCGAACAAGTGCTCGAGCAGCGCAATCGCAATTTGTGACCCATCTCGCGTTTCTTAACTATATATATATAATGTATATAATAAATTATGTGTATAAATAAATTAGAGATATTCAAACGGTTGCCTGTTCGCGCCTTCAATTTTTTGCCAATTGATTTGTTTTGGAAGAGAGAAAAAAATTTATTTTAGATGAGCTCCACGATTTTTGCGCTTTCGTCGGGCTCTTTACCATCGGCAATTGCCGTATTTCGGATTTCAGGTGGGCGCGTGGCCGAGGTTTTGGTGACCGTGAATTTTTCGCGGTCACCGGCCATCATTTTGAATTGTAAAAAAATTTTTTTTTCCTACTTTGGTAACTCGATTCGAATCGAATACGAATTGAACGCGTATTACAAACGTATACACAAAATTTCGAATATATGATTGACAGTAAAACCGAAACGAATACGATAATTTCACAACCTAATACGACAAATTTTGAGCCTAATTAGGTCGCTTTTGGAGCCAAAATTTGTCGTATTCGATTCGAAATGAGTAGTTTTGACCATTAAAAGTAATTTTTGATTGATTCACCGTTTCAGGACCCAAAAGCCTTCCAGTGTTGCAGCAGCTGAGTCGAAAATCGAAATGGCCGCCGAGAATGATGAAATTCACGCCAATCTACAACCAAAACGGCGTGATCGATGAAGCGATGGCCGTGTTTTTGCCGGGACCCAAATCGTTCACCGGCGAGGACACCGCCGAGCTTTTCGTGCACGGCAGTCCGGCGGTGGCGCGAGAGTTGGCGTACACATTGGCGCGGGTGGAGGGTGTGCGCGAAGCGAGACGCGGCGAATTCACGCGAAGGTACATTAGGCGAATTGGCGGCAATTTGGCGAATATCCACCAATTTCTAGAGCGTTCTTCAACGGAAAAATGAGTCTGAACGAGGCCGACGGATTGCGACGATTGATCGAGTCGAGAACGGAAACCGAGCGACGGTATGCGTTCGGCCAAATGCGAGGCGGATCGAAGGCGTTGGAAATTCGGTGCGATTGTGTGAGAAATGAACGAGCCAATAATTGCAATTCGAATTTAGAGAGAAATTCGCGCAAATTATTTCCCAATTATACGTTATTATGGATTTTGGCGAGCATGTGCACTTGATTTTGGATGATGCCAAGTACGATGAGTATTTAAACCAATCATATAGAATTTTTTGTGAATTTTCAGGCAAAATATAAGCAATGTGTTGGCCGAAATTGAGGCGATGATTCGGAATTGGAGGAATGTTGAGCGAATCCAGCGCGGACTCGACATTGTGCTCTACGGGCGGCCGAATTCGGGCAAGAGCAGCATTCTGAATCGGCTCGCCAGCGATGAGGTCGCGATTGTCAGCCCGATTGCCGGAACGACGAGAGACGCGATTGAAGTGGGCAAATATTGAAGGAAATGAAAAATTTGAATGAATTGGACGCATTATTGGCGGCTGCGTGTTTGCACACGCCGCCTACAGTAGTCGAAATTAATTTGATTTGCATTTTTTTCCTCTTCAAAATTTTTTTTTGCTTTAATTGTTCTTATTTTTTGAGATTTCTGTTGAAATTGGCGGCGTTCGGTGTCGCCTCACGGATACCGCCGGAATTCGCAGCGAGACGAGCGATGGAATCGAGAAAGAGGGAATCCGACGGGCGAATTTAAGGTTTTATGACACCGATTGGGCCGCCATAAAATTGAGGCAAAATTGCAGGCTGTCGACGGCTGACATTGTGCTGATTGTTGTTGACCCAGAAACGAGTCAAGACGAGCTCGACGGCATGCTCAAAACTATCAGGGTTTTTTTTTTCGAGAAGTGAAATGAGTTTCCGAAAATTTACAGCAAATCGCCAATTCTGAGGCTCGATTGATCGGCATTCGCAGTAAATCCGACCTGAATTCCGGCTATCCGAAAATGGGCATCGAATTTGTCGACACTTCCACAATCGACGAGAATGGTGGCAATTTTGCGCGGGGCCAAAAAAGTGTTGATGGTGAAATTCGGAAATTTCAGGAATCCATTCGCTTCGTCGCCATCTTGAAGGAATCGTCGAAGCGATTTGTCCAGAAGTCACGTATCTTCTCGACGTCAACATTCTACAGTAACATTGAATTGAAAATTTCGCATTTCGACGTTGTCGAAAATTGCAGAGAATGCGCTGAAACGCTCAACGAATCGCTGGAATGCGACGACGCGGCACGAATCTGCGCGAGAATCGAACAATGCGGCGAGCTCATCGGCGAACTCACGTCGACTCTCGTGTCGGAAGACGTGCTGGATAATATTTTCAGCAAATTCTGCATTGGCAAATAATATTTATTTTTGATTTTAAAATGTTTCCCACCAATGTTATCGAGTTGAGTCATACGAGCGAAAACATTTCTGATTCATTGAGGAGGGGGGCTGGCTGGCTGGCGAGTGGGTCTCGCGTGGAAATCCCTTATATAATATTAATTTGGCGCCGCCGGCGGCTTGACAGAAGAGGAGCATTCATTGTTGAGCAAACCCAATAACCGGAGTTTCCCTTCTTCTTCTTCTTCTACATTCTGTATCCGTGTGCTCTGCTCTGCTGCTGCTCTGCTGCTGCTGCTGTGTGTGTGTGCGCATGCGTTATATACGTGTGCGTGCCGCCGCCGCCGCCGACGACGCCGTTATTTCTATCTCTCTGCCTCTCTAGGCCGACCCTCCGACAAGCCACGCCCACAAATTCGCAGTTGCTCCGTCGTCTTTTCGTTTTGCCGCTGCCGCTGACCGCGACGCATAGAGAAATAAAAAAGAAAGAAGACGCGCCGAGGACGACATCATCAGCAGCAGCAGCAGCAGCAGCAGCAGCAGCAGCAACGACGCCGAACAAGAAGCTTCAGTAGGGCGGCGAATCGATGAGGCCGCTGACGGCCGCCTCAACGACGACGACAGTCCTGGTTCTGTTGACAGTGCTCGGCGGCGGCGGCGCGGCGAGCTCATCGGTGACCGAAGGCGGGCAGGCGCTCAGCGAGCTGCTCAGCTATTTGGATCAGCCCTATCCGTGCGGTCACGTCATCGAAGCCGAACACTTTCTCGCCACCGCCGTCGGCCTCAAATTCCCGCGCCTCATCCAATTGGCGCACTTTTTCGCCAACCACTCGGCCAACTTCGATCCGTCGCTCATCGACAAATCGGCGTTCGTCGCGACGCCGCCGTTCGACGTCTCATTTGCGCGTCGAACCCACTTCTACGGACTACAGCTCAATTGCACCAACAATAATCACAGGTTTGTCGGCTTTTCCATTTCTTTTTTTTTCTTTTTTTGCAACACAACCAAAACCAAACGCGTCGTATTTTGTGAGAAATCTCGTGCCCATCGTTGTTGTTTGATTTGAGCGTCATTATTATGCAATTTATGCGTCGGCTTGGACGCCCATTTTTGGGTGAGAACAAAAAAAATTCGAAATTGGATGAAAGACGAGAGAGAGAGAGAGGACCACTGAAATGAAATTTGGCCCGACGAAAATCGAATCAAACTCATGTGAAAGGTCAGAGTTGTCCAAAAAAAAAGAAATAATTATTGGCGTCCAAATTTGGAAATCAGTGCGTCACCCAACCAATTAACATTTTGATCACATTCAATATTCTGACGGCATTCTCGTCGCCCCCCCCCCCTCCCCCAATTCTCCATCGATGTTGGATGGAATTTTTGTGCACACACACACACACACACACACATACTCGATGAGCCAAAAATGAGAGAAGAGGAGACGGCCGCCGGTTGGGCGAGGCGCGCGCGCGCGTGGCGCAGGCAACGAGGAGTCGTTTAGACCGCCGGACAAGAAAAAAAAAACACACGGGGGGGGGACCCATGAATCTTTTGGTTTCTGCGCGAGCACATTAAATCCGGCTTTCGCGTGAATGCGTTTCGACATTAAAAAAAAGCGGCGCGCGAGAATAATCTGTTGCGTGCATATTATAGGATTTCTTATTCGTTTTACTTCTTTTTTGCCTTTTTTCAGGTGGCTTCCTCGATTGGTGTTCGTCTCGCATGATCCGATCCAGCCTGAGAAGAAAGCCTACCTTACGATCCAATTGGATCAGTTCGAGATCGATCTTTGCTCGGCGGTCGATTGTCACACCAAGGTTGGTTTGTTATGGTTTTTCTGGCGCCTAGCTTTTATATGCAGTGCCACCCCTCCATCACCGTGTGATTGAATAGCAAAGTGGTAGTGCGTTGCGCGCGCAGCGATGGGTGCGACGAGTTCAAGCCCACCCTGTACCCAACGCGTTTTTCTTTTCCTCGCACATGTTTATCTCGACGAATAAATCGTCCCATGAGACGGCTTCTCCTCCAACCCCACCGCACCCGCCATTTATCATTGGCACTCTTTTATCGAGTTGTACACAAAAACACATCGAGCGCACAAATGTTCGAATTGGCACCAATTTCTGGCGTGTTTCCTCAACTCAACTCGACGCCACGAATTTTGTGATGATCGATGCCAATTTGACGAAGGGCGGCCAAATTCGGAAATTGTTCGGTTTTTCGTTTTTCGGCAAACAAAAGTGTAATACAGTAACCCAAATTGAAAAAAAAAATAATTGTAGCCACTTTCAAACCGTTGTTTTTTACGTCATGGTGTTTGCACAATGTTCAAATTAGCTACCGTACACCCCCTTTAAAGATTTTTTTTGTGAATTTTCTGCGCCCTACAGTAATCCGCTAATCATAATGGCGTGTGGTAGCACAGATTTAAAATTTTTGAAAAATGTGTATTTTCGCGTCACGGTGTTCACACCAATTACAGTAACCCATCATTTATTTTTTGGTTAATAAAGAGATGCTGCAGCTTCTTCTTGTTCGTGTCGAGGAGGAGGAGGAGGAGAAGCTTAACATTTGATTTGACAGCTTCAACCCAGGGGCCCGCGCGCGCACACACACACAAAAAAACGTGTGGAGCCGAAGAAGCGGCCAGCAAGGAAGGACCCTGAGGGGCACGGGGACCCCCTCCCAACTGAGCTTCTCCTTCGTCTTCTTCTCCCCCACGTTTTTTTTTTTGTGTGCCTCGCCGTCGTCGAAATCTCGTCGAGGTGGTGCGGTGGCTCGCGCGGCGAGCTGGAGCAGCAGCAGGAGCAGGAGCAGGAGCACATATCCAAATATGTATATGTATATATATAAAAAAAATGCTCGGGCCGTTGTGTGTTGTCGAGGGTCCGATGACTCTCTCTCTCTCACTATCTCGAAGAGCACACACACACACATCCACAAAAAAAGGACATCGAGCATTGAAGCCAAATATATCAATTACCATTAATGGCATGGGGGGTTGAATCGCTGCGAGACCTCTTTTTGGAGGAAGCGCTAGGCACAAAAAAAATAGTCAAAGGAAAAAAAATTTCAATCTTCGAAATTGGCATTTTTAAAGTACATTGTAGTTTGATCAAATTCATTTTTTTGCTAAATAATTTAAACGTTGCGTTTGGGGGCTTCATTTCAATTTGGTGGTTGCTCTCTGAGCGAAACCAATTGCGAAGGTCCGGCTTTTAACAATGAGATTTGACACAAGGATTTCGATGGTCCCCTGAAATTGATGAATTTGATTATTTCAGTGCACATGGACGGTGCACGGCGGTCTGCGTGTGTCGGCGAAGGCGTGCTGCGAGCACGCCAACATTCGAATGTGTCGGACCGATGCCGAACGAGGTTCGTTTATAAGTACGTTTCAATTACTTCTACCCGAATGGCATAATCTCTCTATCGTCGCAAGACCCGCAGGGAGGTAAGGTCGTGTCGAGACCTTTTTAAAGGCGCTTCGTCAGACCGAAATCACTATTGTTTTTTCTTCATTTTTTTTATATTTGGGTCTCGCCGCGATTCGAATTAAAGGGTCGGTGGTTACTGTAGGGTTCAATTCGCGATGAGGGACCTCTCAAATTACCCGCAACGGACCAATTTCTTCCACACGACATTTGCAGGCCGCCACATGCTGCTCGCGTTCAACTCGGTGTGCGCGTTCGTCTGCCTCGCGATGATCCCGATCGTGTGCTACCAGCGGAAGCGGCAACACGAAGTTCGCGGTTGGGCGCTCATGGAGCTTTTCCTCCTCGGCGCCTCAATATTGTACTCGATTGTCAGTCGCTCGTTGATATTCGGTGCTTCATTTTTCGTCGTTTCAGCTTTTCCTTGACTGGTTCGCACCGCCCGAAGCCGGCTGCTGTGTGGCGGTGTGGCTTCGACAAATCGGCTTCTCAATATTCTACGGTTCGATTGTTCTCAAAATTTATAGGTAATCGTCTTTTCATTTTTTTTTTTTTTTGAAATTAAAAATTCCCGATTTTTTTGTTGAGATTGGAAAAAAAACATTTTTTTAGTTTTCCAAAAAAATCACAAATTTTGCTGAATAATTTTTTCCGAAATCCATTTTTTTTTGCAAAATTCGATTTTATGAGCAACCAAAGAACCCTAGGCATTTGTGGACCATCGCATTTTGTCGAGGCGGTAATTCAAATTTTTGAATTAAACAACAAATGATACTGTAGTAAATTTTTTTATTTGAATCGCCGCCGTTGGGTCTCACATGGAAAACCGGTAGTGGAAGTTTTTTTTTCTTCACAAAATCGTCAAATGATTGAAGCATCATCGTGACGGGACCAATTTTCACGGCGAATGTCTCAAAATCTCGAGAAACCCAGACGAATTGGAGATTTCCAAAAAAACCAAAACCCAAACCAAAAAAGAAAAACGTGTTGCAGAAATTTGCAAGAGTACCGCGTGCGAAAAGCGCAACACGTGTCGGTTCGCGAGCAGGACATGCTCAAATATCTCGCGGCGATGCTCGCGTTGACCGTCACCGGCCTGATGGCGTGGACCGTCGGCTCGTGGGGCGACGCGGCGCTGTGGCGAACCGCGTGGCCGCAGTGCCAAATGCAGGGATGGCACGTCATCTGGCACGGCTACGAGCTGCTCTTCCTCCTCTACGCCGTCCGCTTGTGCTACAAGGCGCGCAACAGCGACTGGCTCGAGCGTTGGCAGTTCACCGTCGCCGTGTGCTTGGAAGCGATCATCACCCTCATGGCCAACCTTATTAGGTAGTCGCGTTGCGCCCGTAACACCAACGCCAATATCGCTATTGTCAGGTATTCAATTCGAAATTCCGGACGCGCCGACACGCTGTTCATCGTCTCGTTCGTCCATTTGCAACTCACCGTCTCCGTCAACATTGTGATAATCGTCGCGCCGAAATTCTACTTGGTATCGAGCAGCTGTGTGATCGGCCAGAAAAAAATGCAATTCACATTTTTTGCAGTCCAACGGCGAGCCGAGTCGAAGATCGATGACACTCGGCGGTCATTCGGGTCGTGCTCATCCGTCACTCGCCAAACTTCGCGATAACATTCTTAATGGGACCATCGACTTCGCCGAGGTCCCAATTGTCGATATGAATCCCGAAGATATTCGAGTAATTCACAATTCCATTACTTTCTTTTACCTCAACTTTCCCCTGATTTAGGCCGAACTAAAACGAGTCTACACACAACTTCGAATGTATAAGCTCAAGAATTTATATCAAGACAATCCGCATATTTCGAAAAAACGCGGTGGCAAGAAATGGAGCGATAAGAATACGAAGGCGAGAAGGATATCAATACCGACTTGCTCGCCACAGGCCAAACGAATAGAAGAAGACGAGAAAAGCGATCTGACTGTAGAATCTGCTCCGCATAATGTATACTTAAGCACTTACAAAATGCAAATGGAACAGAACCATTCCGTGCGGGTTTAGCAATCACTTAACATTAATATTTTTTCATTGTTTCTGTTAATACGTTGTCTAATTAATAAATTATTTTCTGTTTTATCCAACTTCCGTCACGCAGAGAATTGTAACAATCATTTATAATTTCAAAAAACAAACAACGGCTTAGACACGTGGTCCGGCAGCTCCTGGACGGGCTTGAGCGGTACGCTGTCCGAAACGTGGTGGTGGGTTGCGGTCACGGCGGGCCTCTCTCGATCGGTTTCTAACGACCTTGCTGTGGATTGCGCAGGCAATGCAGTAGTGAAGCTTATGGTAAAGCTTCGGGAGGGCGTACTCTGAAAATTAATAGGTTAAAACATACGCATTAATCTAAATGTCGATTTAGCATTATCATGACATTTATAAATAAAATGATTTTGATGATATCAGTTTAATGAAAAAAGCGAGAGCATTGCATTAAAAATATTTTTCAAGCATTTTTTTCGCAAAATGGCAAACTTTACCATTTTCTCATGAATTCCTTTTATAGACCTATTCATGAAAATTAACGAAAAATGTAACAAATTATAACAATTGAAAAAAAAAACACACCCTGCGTAAGTTTACGGTGCAGCAGAATATCAGTAGTTCGGTACACTAATTTAAACTATAAAAATCGAAAGCAGAATTATCGCATTGGAATAATTTGAATTAAAAAAAAAACCTTTATTCCATCAATAGGCCCACTATTAGTTATAAATGAAAATTTGAGACAAAAATTTTCGTTTGTACAATATTTGGAAACTGGCGCTCAATTCAAATTCTCATAATAAATACGCTTGCGCACAATTTTAAAATTTCTAAACTGTTTGTGTAAGTGAAGAGACTAAATGGTCAATAGAGAAAAAATTATGGTTTTTTTTATTTTCTCCTATTTAAATATTCTCCCTTCGTTTCTTTTTGTTTTCTCTACATTTCTGTATAAACTCTGATCGATGGCGGAAAACTTCAATCACGCAAAATCGGTGCATATTAACATTGACTGGATATTAAATGCGTTCACGCCAAAATTCGAGATGCAGTCTCCTTCACTTCTCCTTGCATCGACAACTTGGTAAATGTTTAAAGACAAATTTTGATCAATTTTAATCGATGCATTCGGGCTTATTTGGTTTCTCAACATTTTTTAAAGAAAAATTTAAATTTTAGGAGATTTAAAAAAAAAACTCACGCTGGTAAGCAGACGCGTCTCCAATATCGCGGACAGCAGCAGCTTCGACGATGTTGCGGACCACGAATTTCTTGATTGCCTTATCCTTCGGGCAGCAACGACCGCAGTTCGTGCATCGGATGAATCCGACGTGTCCACGGTTCTTCTTGTTTCTTCCGTGGTTTCTTCTCTTGAATGTCATTGTACCCTGCAAAAAAAACGGAAAATTTCCAGTGAAAAACGACGGAAACAATTAAAATAGGGAAAATCCTAAATTTTCAAAAATTGTATGGATTTTTTAAATTTCGAAACATAAATTCTAAACACGAAAGCCACGCCTAATTTTTTAAGACTATTATCGACAAGATTGGAAAAGAAAAAGCCGGTGAAAAAAAGAAAAATCCTTTAGGACACTCAAAAATCGAAAGAAATTGAGGGAGTCGACGAGCGAGGCGATTACGGTACCTGCACATCAAACTAATGCGCCTTGAGTTTCTGCTTCTCTGCGTCTCTCATGCCGACCACACTGTCTCGCAAAAAATTTTCCATTTTTTTTTGCGGAATTTTCGCGTTTTCGTCGGAATTCGGCGAAAATAATGTGAAAATTGTTGAATTTCCATGAAAAAATCGAAGAAATCATCGAAAACTCGATGGAAATGCGAAAATTTCGCCAAATAATGAGGATTTCTTGTTGCCATAGCAACAAAATGCCAAGCGGCGAGTTTCCTGAAAATTTCACGCAATGTATTCGCGAACGGACACGATAACAAAGTATTTTCTATGCTTATTCGGACATTTTTGCATCGTTTTCCTAACGTTTGGACAGGTAGTTGAGTTTTTGCACAAAAAAATAGCAAAATCTTTTTTTTAGAACAAAATTCTTGAATGGTCCGTTTCCAGAAGAGGAATAATCGGAGAAGAGGTCCGAATTCAGTTCGTTGTCTGCTTGGTCCTCACCATCGTCGCCATATTGGCGGAATTCGCCATTATATGCACCCATCCAATATCTATTGAAGTTTCGCTTTACTCCCAAATCTCTCACACCTTGGCCACCTGTCTCAATTTGCTTTTCATCTACGATTCCCACCCGCCTTCCCATTTCTGGCTATTATTCTTCTTCTTCTCAATTCCTCCTTCAATTTTCTCATTAGCCCAATACTTGCAAACCAGGCCATTCAATAAGAAGCTCTAATAGTAGGACATTTATTCAATGAATATATATATATGGGATAAAGTTCAAATAATAAAACACTGGATTATACAATAAAGTTCACACGAACCCTATGCTGCGGAATTCGAGACCATTCGAAGGTTGTGGGGGAAGAGGAGGGAGGGGGGGGGGTGCTACAATGAAGAAAACGAAAAAAGAAATAATAAAAAATGATACAACACAAAAAACGGAAAAACGAGGAACACATGGAAAAAAAGAATCCTGAGATTCATCTAAATGTCTAATTAATTAAAGTAATTCGCATATAAACCACCCATCATGTATCTCACAAGAAAATTGACAATTTTTCTGAAAGAGGGGCAACAATAAATGGAATTGAAAAAAAAATGGTGATATTTTCAATGAACGACACTTTTCACGTTTAAGACTGCTGACATTGGACACCGGGTCCGGCACGATGGCCATATTCCTCGTGCGCGCCGTTTCGCCGCCGGTTTGGATCAATGTAAACCAATTCGACGGTTTCAGCATCTTCATCAATAATCTCGCATGCTGAAACGCGACAATTTTGAAATTTCTCTGCCAACGGCTTCCTACATTTTCCGGGCAGAATATCGGCGATTCGTTTGCACGCTTCGAGGCTTAATTTCTTCGGGAACTCGACTTGGAATTGAATTAGAAGATCGCCTTTTTCGGATGGTGTGCGCGACATTGGCATTCCTTCGCCGTGAATCACCTAGAAATTCCATTTTTTTTTCTTGCCACAAATTTTATTAAAATTTGAATTACTTTAATTGTTCCGTGCGCGATAACCTCTCCTGGCAAGAGTCTGTAGAATAACGTACGCTCATCGAGTGTCTTTATCGCTTTTGTGCAACCGCAAAGAGCTTCGGAGAGCTGAGAAAAAATTGTAAAATTTTGAAATAATACAATTTTCCTACCAATATCTTTTGCTCCATTATCAAATTATCGTCCTTTCTGACAAATGTGTTGTGCTCCTGAAGAATCAAATAATTAATCCTCACACTTGAATGTTATATCCTTACCATTTCATCAATCATGATAATAACGTCTCCGGGCTGATCAACTTCTAACGATTGATCTCCTTTGCCTTCAAACACGATTTTCTCGCCATCGCGAGTTCCCGGCTTGATAACAACTTCGATAATTTCCTCTTCTTTCGCCCATTTTTTGCCGTTGCATCCTTGACATCTGTCTTTCTCCGGGATAATGGATCCCTCGCCTTCACAAGACCTGCAGTGTTGTTGAATCTGTTGAATCATTGGTCCCATGCGGATCGTCCTGATAGTCACACCACTGCCGTGGCATTCGCCGCAATCTTTAACAGCTCCTTCAGGTCCTCCTTTTCCTTTGCATTTTTTGCAAATCGCAGTGCGAGAAATCTTTAAAAATTTGAATTAAGCATAATAATACAATTTTACAAGCATACTTTAAGCTTCTTTGTGACACCCGTATACAATTTTTCCAAAGGAACGCGTATTTGATGAACGGTCGGCTTAACGCGCGGCTGTCCGCGTCCCCGCGAGCCGCCGAAGAACATATCGAAGATGTCGAACGGATTGTGGGCTTCTCCACCGCCGCCGCCTTGTAAAGCTTCCTCGCCACCTTGATCGTAAATCTTGCGCTTCTTCTCATCCGACAAAACCTCATACGCCTAAAAATCGATAAGGTCAATGTTTCGCCAAAAAAAAAATCAATATGCAAACCTGCGAGATTTTCTTGAATTGCTCGGCACCATCGGGATTCTTGTCCGGATGGAATTTCAGCGCCAATTTGCGATACGCTTTTTTCAGTTCGCTGTCCGACGCGTCAGGCTTAACGCCAAGTACGTCGTAGTAGCCGGTTTCCTTGACCATTTTCTGCGACACTGCAATAACGAAGCGATGCTGATGCGATTGGCGAGAAACGCGAAAATTTTAATACGAACGCGACGCGATCAAAATGGAAATGAGCGCGTCACGCGAAATTGTGCGAGCCGAAAATTCGGAATGCTTCGTGAAAATTCTACGAGATTTCGCAATGGAGCGCGTTTGCCGTCCATCGAATTTTCTCGGCCATGCCAAAAATAAAACTCGGCCATCTCTCGACTACTAGAATAGAATAGAAGAAAACATACAATTTCAAGCAACGACTTTCCAAATAGAAATGAATCAGCGGAAAAATATAAAATCAATAATATATTGTTCGACAATTTTGCAACCAAATTTTCCCGTCGGTCGCTCTTATCGAGAAGCGACGCGTTATCATTGTGCACATTGCGCTATTCATGTTGCTTCTATCAATATTCTGCATAGGTTTTGCCAATGGTCTCACCACGAAATCAAGAATTGGCGATGATTCACAGGTGAAAATTGTTTCAATTAAAAAAGAAATGCAAATAAGTAAAAAAAGTAGGTTGGGCGAATTGTGACATTTGTCGTCGAATCCAAATTGACGTGCTTTTATGAGCCATTGGATGCTGGAATGAATCTCGTCCTATCAATGAGGGTAATTAACAACCCTAATTAGGCCCAATAATTAACTATTCAATTTATGTAGCCGACTTATGCCACCAATTTTCCAATGCAATTTCGGCTAACATCGCCAAGCGGCGATTTTAGCGACTGGGCGAATGGGAACGAAGAAGCCGACATGGAGCACAACGCCACCGAGACTGGCATGTCCCTTTAAATTGCAAAAATAGTTTGATGAACAATTTTGAAGGCGACTATGAGATTTGCCTTTACTCGCCGAGGCCGATCAAAGTGAATTTGATGATCCAATTCCATGATCCGGTGAAAGTCGAGAGTTCGATTAAGAAATATGTCGATGGTAAACATTTAAGCGCTGAAATTCATGTGAGTTTGAGTTGAAACAATGCTGGAAACAATTGAGATTTTTTAGAATTCGGTGATGACTTCAACAAATTGCATTTATAAAATTTATTATTCGCTCAAATTTTATAATCAGGTGAGTGTTTGGAAACATTTTGAATTTCGCGCCTTTTTTAACACACTTTTTTAAAAATTTATTCTATTTCACGGGTAAATTTATTGCGGAAAAACTCGGCTTCGATGAGTTGTTCCACACGAGACCCGCGGCGGGAATTCAAAAAAAATTTTTTTGCAAGGCTGGTTCGAGTCCCCGCCATCACAATTCATTTTTGCTCAAACCAATTTCGCCGAATTTCAGATGGTCGTTCGCGACGAGGCGCTTCAAATCAAAAACTCCGATTACATTCAGAATTATAGCATTGTTTTTTGCATATTCTCGATTTTAATCTCATTATCTCAGGTGTTTTATGTTCGAAAATTGTTCTATGTGGACCCGAAAAAAATTAGAATATAAGGCTGAAATTAGTGAAATTCAAAAAATAAAAAAGAATCGAATAAACCAAATTTTCCATTCGACACTCGTTTTGTGTGAAACGTGATGACCCTACACCAAATTCGTTTTTGGCATTGGCGATGAGTCTTCATCGAATCGAGCTGGACGAAATGACGAGTCGTCGCAAGGTTCGTCGGCCTACCGTATCCACGCGATTACTGTAATTTCAGCGAGGTGCCAACGGGAGAAGAAGCGCGGAATTTCGCGAAGGCCAAAACTCGGAGAAGTTTGCGGTTTGGCAATTTCTTTTTTTTATGCTTCTCATCGCAAATTTTCAGCGCGGCTCATTTCTGATTCGAAAAGAGGACATCGACGACGACAGCGATGAGATCAAATGCATATGGAGCGTCGAGAATCATTTTCTAATCGTCAAATGGGTTCCCGTCAATGGCGGCTATCAGGTCACGAATCGCGTGCGTTTCAATTTCGATTTTGTCGAAATTGTGGTGCGGACATCTCGCGGGTTTCGCCCCCCGCAATTGTCCGCAGCACGATTTTTATAAGGCGCCGATAGCCTTCCACTTTTGAAATTCAAATTTTTGAGCAAAGCTCAAAAATTTGAATTCGAAAAAATAAGTGCGATGGTCCACAATTGCTAGTTTTTTTTCCAGTACAATTTATATAATAGCGAGCGACCGGAAAAATATTTGATCATCGACAGCCTCGACCAACACGAGCATCGCGGGGTACCTTTGATTACCGTACGACCGCCAAAAAATTTTCCAATTATTTGCAGTTTATCAAAATCGCCAAAATTTCGGCGAACGATCGCAACAATTTATTCACAGCCCACTAGATTTGCCTTTCTGTTTTTGCGTTGTTGATAATGAAAAATAAATGGTTTCGGAGTACGGTAGCAATTGTTCACGTGTGTCAGGAAATTCCAAAAAAACACATTCATAGCAAAAATGGAATAATTATGATGAAACGAAGACGAATTTTAAATTGAGATCAATTGATTATACACTGTTGCCATAGGGAACATGAATAAAAAAAGGGGCACACAAAAATCTAAGCACAATTTCCTACCACAATTAATTACAGTTTTGGGATTTTAAGCGCTAAAATCGTCGGATGGTGTGAGTCGAATGGTTGGAAGCGATTGTCGAGTGGTCAGCATGAGTTTGCGCTGAAAATACCCTTTGATTTTTTCAGAAAATTTTCTTTTTTTTTTTTGAATTTTCGCGCGTAAACAACGGAGCGTCGTAAACGCCCTCGTTTTATTTCGACTCATTTTCGCTCATCCTCTGAGTTTTTAATTTACTTTTACATTAAAAATGATTTCACCTGATCACGTGGAACTTACAATTGAGCCCGAATTTGTGATAATGAAAAAAAAATTTTTTCCATAATTTTCACAAAAATAGATATTCAGCAGCGTTCATTTTTTAAAAATTAATATAGTCGGGCGTCCGCGGGTAGATTTACGCGCATGCGCCTTGAAAAAGGTCTCGCCACGCCTGAATACTTATTTTGTTGTTTTCACGTGAACTGCTTCATTTTTCTTAATGAGTTTTGCATTTCCTTGAATTTCCAACCTCATTCGATTAAAAAATTATCGAATCGGTCCAAAAAATTTGAAATAATCTGTTAGTCGGTGCGAGACCAAGAGAAAGACGCATGCGCGTAAATCTACCCGCGTACCGCAGTCGCCGACTATATGTTCGGATAAAATTGCAATTTTTTTCCACAAAATTCACATTTTATGTTCGGCGGCTTTTTCTGAAAGTTAATTGAAAAAAAAGGCGGTCCCGATTTTGACAAGCCTGATTATAAAATATATGAAAGGTCCGATTGTCCGTCGGTTTTATTTCTCTTTTTGTGTTCTATTTTTTCCGTATTTTTCGAAAACTTTGAAGAGGAAATGTATAACGGATGGAAGAACGAGGTGAAAAAACCAATAATTGGTATAATTACTTCTAATTCGACAATATTAGTCTATATTTCGTCATTTAGATTCTAATTATCATGTGAAATTGAAATCTTTGTGCTGATTTGATGCAGACTTTGCTCGATGTCGCTTCTAATGAACCTTTAGTGTTGATTAAACAAGATACTTTTATAGATTTAAAAAAAAAAACGTTTTAAATTCTCAAAAAATAAAAAAATTCGAAAAAAAAAAACAGCCATTAAAAATTACAGTACCGACTTCGCGACGTGACCCCGCGCCAACTTTTCGCGTGCGCCTTTAAAAATAAATAGCGGAGAATTACGATATATCGCGTCATTTTTTTGTGATTTTCGACGTGCACAGGGAATTAAAAAAAATTGATTTTTTTCATTGCATGAATAGGTCCATTACGAGGCAAAATCTGCAAAAAATTTTGGAAAAAGTGGTCCCAAAGAGTAAAACCTCATTTTTTTCATTTTTTTTTAAACTTCCAGTTTTCCGCATTACTTCCTTCTTGCAAATTATCGAGCTCAAAATTACGCATAAAATGATGTACTATGCATATAATTTGCATAGAAATTACGGCGATGATAATTAATTCAAAAATTTCAATTTTTGGTCGCCAAGTTTTTTTTCCTCTTTTTTTGAGTTGCCTTCTCTTTGCTGAAAAAATCACCTGCTCATGATGTCCGGCTTTGATCTTCTCGATCATGAACGCGACGATCAGCGCCCACGCTTTTCGCACCGTCTCGCTTCGACACCGCCGATCGCCCCATTCCAGTGTGCAGTCGATGATCGTCTCGGCGACCGTGTTCCACAGTTTGCCGGTCAGCTCGCCGCGAAGCACTTTCGAGTGCGCTCGTCCGATGCGCATCAGCTCCGACGAGACGTTGTCGAGATTGTCGAGACTCTCGACGACCTGATCGATGAGCTCCGCCATCGCTTTGCAGTGCGCTTTGATGAAATTGTCGCGATTTTGGAATTTTGGCGGCAACTCGACTTGTTTCATTTGCTCTTTTACCTACAAATTCTCATGGTCCCTAAAGATCATATGGGGGGGGAGGTGGGCGCAACCCGGAAAATGTCCGCAGATGAGATATTCAAAAAGCATGGACCCGCAATTTCGCAGAAAACTCAATATAAATAAATTGATGGCAGTTGTCGTCTCACATGATTGTTGTTTTAAAGGCGCATGACGCCAAAAACAGAAAATTCAAATTGTGCTTCACGCGATATACATATAATGATTCAATAATTTTTTTGATTGGAAATTTTCTGGAAATAATTCAAGCCCGCGCATTTCTCGCGTGATGCGCCTTTAAAATTGTGTCAAACCATCAAATTTTTGAAGCACAATCGATGATAAACGCTGGCGCCGATGACGGTGGGACCCTTGGTGGTGTAGACTTGGCGCCAAAGCGCTCGCACCAAATGAATCTGGGCGCACGTCAACGGAATCAGCGTCGTCGACGTCGTCCGTCCGCTCATGTTGTGCACGAGCTGCACATTGCTCTGGCGACGTTGCGCGATCGCCGTCTGACGGGCGCGCTCGCTCGCCGACAATCGTCGAGCGCTTATCGAGACGTCGTCGTCGAAGCACAACATCTGCAAATCGACATGGCGAATATTGCATACTCGAACGCACCGGCTCGACGTCGTTCGACGCCATCTCGATCGGTTGGCTCCAATCGATTTCGGGCGGCGGCACCAGCGTTGAGACCTCGAATTTGACGCGACGCGGCTCGCTCGATTCGAATGACACTTGCACCTGGAAAAATTGAATGGGACTACTTGAATGCTGGCGAGGCGGACCATTAAATTTGGAATATCTATCGCACACTCTCTTTGATGTGTTTTCGACTCGGAGTGGTGGAATTCTCGTGAATTATTCAGTGGGTGTCGAAACCACCCCCCCCCCCTTTAAACAATTTTTGACTTTTAAATTTTTTTTTTGATAAATTGAGCATTTTCGCGTAACCCCCTTTAAACTGTTTTTGACTTTTGAAATTTTTTTGATTAAATTTGAATTTTTGATTTTTTTTGTAACCCAACCCCCTTTAAGTAATTTTTAACTTCAAAAATTTTTTTTTTGATAAATTGTGCATTTTCGCGTAACCCCCTTTAAGCAATATTTAACTTCAAAAATATTTTTTTGATAAATTCTGCATTTTTGCGTAACGCCACCCCTACCCCTTTAAACAACTTGAATTTGATCTCGAAATTTTTCGAATTAATTTTTTTCGACTGCCTAAGTCCAAAACGAGACAAGCAAATTTTCCAAAGTGTGCATTTGTGCGTCGCAGGGTTACTGTAGACTACACTCACTCTTTTTTTTTTTAATTCAAGGCTGAAAAAAGAACTGAAAATCGAAAGAAATATGGTTTTGAGCTTTTTCACAAATTTTGCCTACCCCTTTAAGATTTTCAATTTGGCACTTCTAATGGCTACCGTAACCAAATGAGTTAAGCTCATAAAATTATGGTCATGCTAAAAAAATTTTTCTCGTTTAAAGGGGGTTGCCATCGATTACGGTAGATAGGAAAATTTCCAAATTTCGAACAAACGAAACCTGATATTCAAAAAAAATTCCAATCCACCCCCTTTAAACAGGAAAATACCAAATAGTGCAATTTTGCGTCGCGCCAGTCAAATTGTTTAAAGGAACATTATTCCGAAATGTTTCGTGGTGTCTTGATCTACCGTAATTCTTGGTAACCCCCTTTAAGCAAAAACTTTTTTTTACTTTCAGAAAAAAAAATTCAATAAGAAATCGCAAAGTTACGGTAGCCAATTTGAAATGCCATAAATGGAAGTGAGAGCATCTTAAAGGGGTTGTCGTGGAGGCTACAGTAATCCGATGGGGGGGGGGGCGCAAAAGCTCGCCAAACACGCGATTTTTCCGCAAATTGATGGGGTGAATGGATGTGGCCAGTTTGTGGCCATAAATGGCGGAAAATCCATAAAACGCAAAAAATGAAGTGCGCGGATTAATGGAAGAAGAAGCCCCCGCTCAAACACTACTCGGATTAATGTATTCAATGAAGGAAAGAGAGAGAGAGAGAGAGAGAGAGGAGAAGGGCAAAAAATGGGAATTAATGAGAGTTTCGGTCTAGTTGAGAAACAAAAAACAACCAAGTTTACGACAAATTGCGGACTTTCACCATTGTTTCACAAATGTCCGCATTTTTGCGTCAATTAATGCACTTTGAAACAATTTCGACATTTTTGCCTAAAAAAATACCGCCTCAAAAAATTTACGCAAATTGTCGTCAAATATTGAGTATTGGAGAAAATTCACAATTTTCGGGTTTCAATTTTTCGAATGAAAATTTGATGATTGACACTTGCGCTATAGTCTACGACATATTGCGGACTTGTGAAATAGTGACGCGAAATTCACATGATTCTAAAAAACTTTTTTTGGCGACTTTTAAAATTACTACAAATAGCGAAATTTGACAACTATGTCCGCATTTTGTCGTCAAATATTGTGTTTTTAAAATTTTGTCATTTTTTGTTGGGAAAATTGAATGAATTGTTGAAAAAAAAATGGCGCGAAATTTGAATGTTTTTAAAATTGAATTTTTCGAGCCCAAATGAAAAACACAACACATGACGATATATTGCGGACTTTTCAAAAATTGATTTTTTTCGATTCCAAATAAAACACCACAAATGACGATAAATTGCGACTTTTCAAAAAAATGATTTTTTCGATTCCAAATGAAACACCACAAATGACGATATATTGCGGACTTTTCAAAAATTGATTTTTTTCGATCCCAAATAAAACACCACAAATGACGATAAAATGCGACTTTTCAAAAAAAAAAGATTTTTTCGATTCCAAATGAAACACCACAAATGACGATAAATTGCGGACTTTTCAAAAAATGATTTTTTCGATTCCAAATGAAAAACACCACAAATGACGATAGATTGCGGACTTTTGCGAAATTCAAAAATTTTGCAAAGAAAATACGTCGTCAACCAAAACACAATAAACGACGACACATTGCGGACCGACCTCGGGAATTTCGAACCTCAACTGTTTTCGAATTGTGCTCGGCGTCGATTTCGGCGTGACGCGTGGCGATCGTCTAAAAAAATGATGGTAGATCAAAAAAAAAATTTTTTTTCAACTCCAACTTGTGCTCGACGATCGTTTCGACGTCGGGCGGTGCGACGGGAAACACGTCGGCCGACGTCGAATGCCTCAAAAACGATTCGCGGCGCGTCTGAAATGATCGTCGTCACTGGGGGACCATCGACGAACTCGCCTCAAGAAGATGCTTGACTTGCGGCTCGTCGAAGAACGTCTCGAAGTCGGCGATCTTCTTCGACGACGCGCTCAGACTGCCCGTCGAATGCGATTTTTTCTTGCGCGATTTGAACGCGCCGCCGTTGTCGGGACCATTGTCGTCGGCGTCTCGCGCCGTTCGGACCATCGACGATCGCCATTTGCGTAGTGTGTTCGTCTTCTTGTCGACGATCCACTCCCAGATTTTTTGCATTCTTCTCGCGCGCCTCTGAATGAAGCTCGATATCAAAATAATCCGGCAAATCATATTTCAATTTAAAGGCGCATACCAAATTGATTTTTTTCTTGAATGGTATGGCGCCTTTAAATTTCGATAAAATGATCCATTCGGACCAATGTGGTCGGACCCAAAAATTAAAATTGCGATTCGCGTCATGCTCCTTTAAACTCGCCAGAATTCGAAAATCCAAAAATTCTCGCTCAAAAGCGATAGCAAAACAAATACAAATCATTGCAATCGCGTCGGGACCATTGAAAATTGATGGCGATCGGCCCCCGACCGATTAATTAATTTCGAGCGAAGACAAAAAAAAACGACTCGGTCGGGACCCGTTGTAATGTCCGCAGCACGACGCAATCATGAAAAATGAGTGATTTCGGCATTTTGGGGACCACGAGGAGAACAAAGAAGAAGGAGAAAAAAAATAAGAACACGTCGATCGGAGCGAACTAACCACATGTGTCGCAAAAAATGTCAAAATCGAATAAATCACAGAAGAATGAGTTGAGGAGGAGCCGGAGGTCGAGAAGGCTTCAGGTAGGTTAAGTAGGTAGAGTGTTATGGAATGGGGGGCCAGCGAGCAGCAGCAGCTGCTGCTCGCTATTGCTCTGATTTGACATCCGCGAACACTTGGCCGGCTGAGCATCACCACCTCCTCTTCGAACAGCCACTATCGATTGTGACGAGGAGAAATATGAGTGAGGCTCGACGGCTCCGAGCACGAGGTCAAATAACAGCTTTTTGTTGTTTTTCTGTGTACTCGAAACAAAAAGGTGTCTATATCGCAAGCCTTCTTCTCTTCAACGGATAGTTTGTGAGCTCAGTGACGAAAAAAAAATTTTTTTTGAAAATTTTCGACTCGAAAATTTGAAGTTGCCCCACCAAAAATGTGATTTTTTTCAAAAATTCAATAAAAATAATTTTTTCGAGGCCTAAAATTGCACAAATCGGCATTTTTTGATAAGTTTTTTGAATTGAAAAATGAAAAAATTGAAATTTTGGCTCAAAATTATCTAAAAATCATTTTTAATTGCACAAATCGGCAGTTTTTAGAAGCTTTTAAGATTCAAAATGTGATTTTTGTCAAAAATTCGCTAAAAATAATTTTTTCGATGCTTAAAAATGCTCAAATCTGCAGTTTTAGAAGCTTTCTCGTTTTGAAAATCAAAAATGTGATTTTTTCCAAAAATTCAAAAAAATAATTTTTTCGAGGCTTAAAATTGCACAAATCGGGATTTCATAATAAGTTTTTTGAATTGAAAAATTAAAAAAATTGAAATTTTGGCTCAAAATTATTAAAAAATCATTTTTAATTGCATAAATCAGTAGTTTTTAGAAGCTTTTAAAATTCAACAATGAAAAATGTGATTTTTTTGCACAAATTTATTTTAAAGCATTTTTCAATGCTTAAAAATGCTCAAATCTGCAGTTTTTAGAAGCTTTTAAGATTCGAAAATCAAAAATGTGATTTTTTCGCCCAAAATTTACTAAAAATAATTTTTGGAGAATAAAAATTGCCTAAATCGGCATTTCTTGATGACTTTTTACGATTTAAAAATCAAAAATTAAATTTTTTTGTCAAAAATTATCTAAAAATCATTTTCGGTGCTAAAAATGTTCAAATCTGCAGTTTTTAGAAGCTTTTAATATTCAAATAAATAAAAATTGAGGATTTCGCCCAAAATTAAATGATTTTCCAAAAAAAAAAATGGAAAATTGTTCAAAACGGTTCAAAAATAATGTATAAAACAAAAATAGTTTGTAATTTTCCACAAAAAATCCAAAAAAATTGGCATATTTGTCAGTTTTGCACAAAAAAAATGAAATTTGAAGCAACGAGAATGAGAATAAATTAAACAACGCCATAAATGGCGTCATCAAATCTCATTTTCGAAAAAAAAAATGAGCGCATTTTTATGTGGAGGATGCGCAAAACCGATCGCCAATGAGGATATTTCAAAAGTTGTTCGAATCGATTCGGTTTGACGCGAGAAAATCGAAATTCCAGAAAAAAGTCGTTTGGCTGCTGAATCGTTTGTGGCATTTTGAGCATCTCAAATGCATTTTTTGCAAGGTTTTTTTGCTCGTTACCTCGGCTTCATCTGAAAATGAAGAATTTCTAGGCGAATTTGAAGGCGAATCGCGTTTTTCAATCCAATGTCGATCGATTTGAGCCGTGCTGCTTTGATTGCCATATGCAGACGAGGCATCCAGCGTGTGCCGGTTGGAAATCCGCTGAAATATTGCAATTTTTTTTAAATCAAATAATATTTCCTAAAATCAATGGATCAAAATTGCGCAGAAATACCACAAAAACGCGTCCCAAAAAATTTTCGAAAAAATTGGTGCAACATGCTTGCTCGGTGTTTGCACCAGCCTTCACTACAGTAACAAAAAAAATAGAAACTTTTTGAAATTAAAATTCTTTGGAACTTTTTCCCAAAAAAAAGCGCGCAAATGCAAAAAAAATTGGTGCAACATGTCGCATCGGTGTCTACACCAAATCCCAATACAGTACCCAAAAAAAGCAATAACAAAATCAAGCCTAAAAATTGAAATTTCATTTCCAGAATGCTGCGAGCCGCTGTTCGAGTCCGGCTATCGCGCCGTCGGTCGCTATTTCCATCGAAAGTGTTTCAAGTGTGTCGCCTGCTCGAAACCCGTCGCCAAAGGTGGTCGTTGTATATTTTGCCATTTCTCCACCCTTTAGTACCTCTAAAAATGCACCAAAAGGTCATCAGTCCATCATGACAAATTTCCGTCCCTTTCGGGACCTTCTTTGGTGGGTAGAAAGAGGTTTCAGATCCCTGGGCCTTCATCGCCGAAGCTCCAATTTTTCCGTTTCATTATTTTTTATTTTCCAGGCGGCTTCTACCTAAAGGACAATTTCGTGTTCGACCAAACCTGCTATTTTTTGCACTGCCGCGAAAATCGCACATAAATCAATAATACATTTATTGCGTCAACGAAAAATCGTCGCAACGAGAGAGAGAGAGAGAAAAAAAGAACCAAACGAATTGATTGAAAATTGTTCGCCAAAAATCACAAATCTCGTCGGAATCGTGTGTCGTGTGTGTGTGTGCAAAACGCATTATTTGACGTATCTGAACAGACAATAAAATAATCATTCGTTTTTTTTATCAAAAAAATTTTTTTTTAATGTTGATCACGAAAAATCTAAAAATCGAATTTTCGCAATTGCATAACAAAAAAAAATTTGAAAATTTTGACGTTTAACAACCACTTTTTTTTGTCGGCTCGAAATATTAATAAAAAATTCTGCAAAAATTTCATTTTCTCTCACTTGGCAGCCCAATCGATTCGACCCGCATTCGTCAACTTCGTCGCACTGTTACCACTATTGTTGGTGTGCGTCGGATTCGGATTGCGCGTGCCGAAGTTTGGCACGTACCCTGCAAATCACATACACACACATATGTCATCAAATTGGGCGGCAAAATGAATGAACCAATCGCTTCAAGACCCAGCTATGAGCACGCGTCGCGGACGCGTTGCGTGCTCTTAAATATAGCTCCCATTTAAACGCTAGGTTTCAAAAAAGGAATCATCATTGTTTAAAGGCGCATAACATAATTAGTTGGTCTCGACGCGAGTGATGTTTGAAGGCGCACAACGCGGGGTTTCCGGTAACGATAGTGTTCATTTTTATTGTTTAAAGGCGCGTGCTAAAAGAAAAAAATCGAAAAATTCAATTTTCGCTTTCGGTCTCGAAGCGTAATCTCCAATTCTAGAGGATTACGGTATTCTAATAACGCGTTTTGAAATCATCGACAAAAGAAAAAAATAATTGCGGCCTCATCGAGTTTCAGAATGGTCCCGCCCCGTTTAAAAGCGCACGAGACGGTCTTGAAGCGACGATAAAACCGAACGCAACCAAAATCGAGAGAAAGAGGGAAAATAGCGAAAGAGAGAGAGAGAGAGAGAGAAAAAAACCAGACGGTCGGACATGCGTCGCAGATGCGAAACTCGAGCAGGCGATGAAATGAAAGAGGCAAAAAAACTGAAAAAAAAAATCCGGCGACGAAAACGACGAACCGTACGCGTACTCGAACCTTGTCTGCACCGCGTTTCGGCCTTCCTTCTTCGCGCTGAACGTCGTCGTCTTCGTCGTGCCCGTCACACCATTATTCGTCATGATTTGGCCCTCTTTCGTCATTTGGCCTGCAAATTTTTCATTTTTTTTGACAAAAAAAATTTTTAAGCGACCAAGGTTTTCATGGCCGTGGCCGTAAAAAAATTAGGTCACAATAACGAACCGACAAAGTGACTAACTAAGGGCAAGTGAATGTAAATGTTTTCAATTATGCTTAAAGGCGCACATAATAAAATTTATTTGTTTCTTGAATCGATTAAAAAGAAATGATGGTACTGTAGCCATCGAAAAAAAATTTTTGTTAAAAATTTGCCTTGCGATTTTTAGGGGTTTTTGAACCAAGTTTTTTGCACGCTGTTAAAATTCTCGAATTCAATTTCAGCTTCATTTTTCTTTTCAAAAAAAAATCATCAGCAACTACCTGGCACATATTTGGACTTTGACAAGTACAAATCTTTGGCGGTCTGCTTCGGCTCGTGCGGTTTCGGCGCCAACGGTTTCGAATCGTTTCTGGAGAAAAATGAAAAATGAAATGGCATTTTTTTAGTCGCACTTTTCGAAAAGATTCGCCTTATTCAATGAAATGTTGCGATTGGCATGCCGTTCGATGATTTTCGGCGGCGGTTGAGGCGAAACGTTCTCCGAATCGGCAAAGTCTTTCTGTAAAATCGAATGAGAGGGTCTCGACGCGAAACGCTTCGCGCGGCAATCAATTCGTTTTTGGGTGCGGTCGCGAAAAAAATAAACAAATGATTTTGCATAAAAATTCGACTTGTTGGGTCTCGCGGCGAAAACGACACACAGTAATTCGACACCAACTCGTAAGCGCAAAAAAATCATCAATTCACCTTGGAGGTTTTCGCGGTGAACGCTTTCGTGTCGCTTTTCGTCGAGCCGGCGCTCGTCTTTCGATGGCTTCCCGGCGCCGGCTGGCTGACAACCGGCGCGCCAAGTTTTTCGCCAACCTGAAAACGAAAACTCGTTGAACATCGACAGAAAACCAAAAATTTTAAAAAAAAAATAAACAATTAAGCGACCTGAAAATATTTGTATCTCAACGATTGATTGGCGTTTGGACGTTTCTCGGGATTCCACAACATCATGTCCATCATCAACTTCATGCCCTCTTTCGATATCGTGTTGACGACCTGCTCCATCGGCGTCGCGACAACCTGCTGGAATCGAAAGTTCATCGCCGACGCCAATTGATAGCCTTCAGGCCATTCGTACTAAAACAATTTGCGCAATTTCCGCCTCTAATTGGCAATTAATTACCTTCGTCGGTGTGCCTAATATCGAAATAATTTTGAATAATTGATCCATTTCGGAAGTGCCGGGAAATAGCGGCCGCAACATGTATAATTCGGCCATAATGCAACCTGAAAACAATAATTTTTTTGTCGTTTTGAATAAAAATTCAAAAATTTCCAAAACCTAATGCCCAAATATCGATTGGCGAATTGTAGGAAGTCGATCTGAGCAGAATTTCCGGTGCGCGATACCTCAAAAAACATTTTTCTTCCAATTTTCCACTTGTTTTCAAATTATGATACCATCTCGTCGACACATAGTCCGTATATGGCGGCTTCGAGCGAATTTCACGCGCCAGTCCGAAATCGGCGATTTTCACGAGTTCCGTTCCATTGCACATGATGTTTTCCGGTTTCATGTCGCGATGGAAAAATCCTAAAAAAAACATTCGTTCATATTTCGCACCAATTTTTGATATATACCATTTTTGTGCATAAAAGCTAGTCCCTGGAGTACTTGATAAATAATATTTCGAATTACACTTTCCGGAAAGTAGCGATCTCTGAAAAAAAAAGAAAAAAAAAATGAGTTTCGAAAATCAAATTCAAATAATTCCGCAATGCGACGCGTCGGTGAATGCACACTATTCGCTACAGTACCCTCAAAAATAAATATTAAATTCACCTGTCCTTCATCAATTCGTAGAGGTTCTCCTGCATAAACTCAAAAATGAAATACAATATGTCATTCTCCCTAATCACTTCGCGAAGTTTGATTATATTCGGATGGTTGAGCTTCTTGAGCGATTTCACCTCGCGCAGCGCCATCGCCTCCTCCCAACTATAGAATTTCTTTTTCATTCGTTTGATGGCGACGACGTCGCCAGTGTCGATTTTTTTGGCGAGCATGACTTCACCAAAGGTTCCATCACCAAGTCGCTTCGTCATTAGGTATCTAAAAATATAGATTTCCTCTTTTTTCGGATCTCCTTGTTAAAGGCGCACAGCAATTTTGAATTGTGGTCTCGCAGGGAAAAGCGCGATATTTCCCACGTCTTTTTTAATGAAAATATTACAGAAGAGCAATTTAAAGGCGCACAGAGAAATGAATGATACCTATCGGCCAACTTCACAGCTCCCGCCATAATTTGTTGTTCAGTACTACCCGTCCGGCGGAAACCTGCAACGCGAAAAATTAATCGCAATAAATCACCATCGAATTCGATTTGCGCGGCCCGAAATTTTGGCACAAATATCGATTTCGGATGCCAAAATATGGGGAAGGGGAAGAATTTTTGGAAAAAGATCGAATAGAAATGCAATTGCGCGAAACCCGGACACATGTCCGCAGCATGATGTGGTTATGTGGCGAAAAAAAATTGAAAACGACACGAGAGGTACGCGAGCACGAAAAAATCGTCGAGATTCGCCAAACTCCGTCGAGGTGAAAGAATTGCGAAGAGAGAGAGAGAGAGAGGGCGTCGAGAGACGAACGGTCGCCATGCCAACCAAATAGGGACATTGAGAAAAACAAGAAAGCGAACGGAGATGAAGAAGCCGGTTGCCACAGCTGCCATTCCAAACAACAAGCTAATTATTCAAATCGTCTCATATTGGCAAATGGGGATATTGGCGGGGAGTTGTGTGCGAACACCGAGACGCAAAATTGCACCAACCTCCCCTTTGTGGATATTCGACCAATCTACACACGCGTCACGGGAAAATTCCATCGACGGTGGGAATTCTGAGTCATTCGAACACCTCGAGTCTAAAAATCACCGGAAATTATGTGTGTGTGTGTGTGTGTGTGCACAACGACGCAAAATTGCACACAACAAACGCATGGCGATGGGTCCCGACGCGAAAACCAAACAACAACAAAAAAAGCAAGATTCATTTAATTTTTTGCATCGCCGAATTCGGCTGCAAGTCTTTCGACTCGATCGCTCCGAGAATCTCGGCCATCGTCGCGTGCCACGTGGCAGCTTCATCGCCAAACTTCAACACCGCTTCCGCGTGTTTCGGCTTGTCCTCGTTCATCAGCTTCGCAATGAAGTCCATCATCTGAAAATCGAGAAAACTCTTTTTTTTAAATTTTATTTGACCGCATTTTAAAGGCGCATGCCGAAACAAAAATTGCCCCCTGTGGTGGGCACACAATTAAAATGAGAATGCAAAGGGGTCTCGTAGCGAACCCAATTTAAAGGCGCATAGCGATGACACACCAAAACCCGCAATATTACATAGAACGCGTATGGCGCGGGTGTGTGTTGTCGATTTACGCCCCCCTCCCACACTGTGGATTGTCCGTGCGGAGTACACAACGCGCGTCTCAACACCAATCCAATTCGTCGGAATTTCGACGAAAACGCCAACCGCCTCGGGTTTTTGGCTATGTCGCATTCGTGCTGCGGACATCGTCGCCACCACCTTGGTCTTCGATTCATTGCGAACCGCTTGCGCGCGAATCGTCTGCTTCTCCGTCTCCTCGGTGCGCTCTTTGCTGTGCACCGTCAGCGAGTTGTCGTAGCTGGCGAGCGCGTCCCAGTAGACTGAAAACACAATGATCCGGATCGAGATCGGATCGGATCGGATCGAGACCTTTACGAAGTCGCGCGTACTCCCAATAATCCTCGCCGATGAATTTTCGAAGCGGTTTGAGCACCTCCAACTGATGCTTGATGTACTTCTCGTTCTCGTCTTGAAGGCTCTTCAGCGTTTTGATCGTCGTCTCAAGGCTCTTCAACAATTCGCCATGCGAGTCGCCAAATCACCACCCATCCACCAACCTCATAGTTGCCTTTTCGTCCCTGCTTCTGAATCTTCTCGAAACTCTTGAGAAACTCGGCGGCCGCGCCGTACACTCGATCATAGTCGATTCGCGTCGGAATCTCGTTCGTCGCCAACTGCAAAACTCGCCCAATTAAACAGACACCAATTCGGCGCCAACATTCTTCGATAGGCTCGCATTCTCGACGAGTAGAAACATCAACGCTTGATACAATTTGTCAGAGCTGTTCTGCAAAAAAAAAATAAAAAAAATGAAATGCCCGTTTTTGCATTTTTCAACATTTATTCTATATAAAAAAATAAAAATAAAAGTTTTTTCAAATTTCAAACCGCGTTTCGTTCATTATTCAATACCTGCAATTCTTTTGGGGAAAAACGCAACATAAAAAAACGAGGCAGCAAACACGCTCTAGTGCACTTGGCGAAATCGCCACGCTTTTCGATTTTTTTTCCAACAAAATGCGTTAATAATACGATTCTGATAAAGAGTATTATTGCTTGAAAAGGTAATGAAGGCTTCGAATTCTATTTTTTCGCGTCGAAACCCTTGCCTGAGCTTGAAACTCCGTAAATCGCCTCGTTTTTATTTCGCCACTGTGATAAAATAGTGAGTTTCTCAAAGGAAACGCGGCTGATTCGCTTCAAGACCTTTTTTTTCGAAAGATTGTCCGCGAAAATCGAAAATCACCCAAAAACCTAACGGCACTATGCAGATTGCCGACCAAGAAAAACTCGGCCACGGCCACGTTGTCCGAAGCCACAATTTTGCTCATCAATCCAATTCTATTCTGTGCGTCTTTAAGCACAATAAAAAATTCTCATGATTCTTCAGGGATTAAATGGGAGAAAACAAAATAACGGGATTTAGTGTAGTGGTGTCGAAAACGTGGCCGTGGCCGTGGCCGAGTTTTTTTTTTGCGCACACAATTTTGCCTCCACACCTTATACGATTCGAGCTGCTTACACGCCGGCTTGCATTCTTCGGCCATCGCCAATTTGCGGCCTTTCCGTTTGATGAGCGATGAGAAGATGCCGATGTTGGGATGATCGGCGAGCCCGTAGAAGCGTTTGCCGCCCGGCTCTTTGCACGTCGATTGTTGGTCTTCGCTCATGCTTTTCACCTGTCGAAATTTCGTTTGTCATTTTTTTGATCACCGAGGTTTGAGGCGTTTGCTCTAAGCTCAAGGGTCTCGTGTGGAAAATTTCACAGTTGCCAACCCTCTTTTTTTTCGGGCTCGTTATGTCTTGAAAAAACTCGACCATCGCAATTATTGCCCAAAATAAAACAACAATCATCTGCGGACATTTTTGCAGTCTTACGCAATTGGCGGCAATTCAAACGTCATCCATCCTCACTCTCCCAATTAGAAACCACTGTCAACAATTTTATTTTCCATACGAGACCCAGAGAAGAAGAAAAAAATGCATATGGCACACTGTACACTTTAAAGGCGCACACCACTGGGAGAAAAATAATATCTCATTTCTTGCTCTCTCATAAAATTCCGGACCATAATTGGCATGCACAAAAGTTTTGTGGGGGCCATTCGAAAATTTCGCCTTCCAAATTTGGAATCCACTCACATTTGCCGTATGCGACGTCGTGCTGCTCGTCATTATTTTGGAATCGTCGAAAAATGAAAATGCAAATTCCATTTTTTCTTATTTCTAGTCGAGATGGGCTCACGCGAGCGTTTTAACCAACAAAAAAAAATTTCGGTTTAAAGGCGCATGCTCCCTTTAAGGCACAACCTTGAGACCACGCTTAAAGGCCCACAAATATTTAGGTATAATTAAAGAGATAGATTGGTCTCAACGCGACATCTCACAGGGTCTCGTCAAGACGTTTCCAGTTTAAAGGCGCATTCGAACTTTGATGATCGACAACAACTGATCCAATTGATTTCCGCAATTTGATAACCACCCCCCCCCCCTATCAACAGTGCCCAACCATTTTTATCATCATTCTGATAACACTCGACTCGGGGTCATTCCATTCGTCGTTCAGCAACCCCCCCAAACCCTTCGCAATGAGGTTTGCCAATTATTCAATGTCGCCCGACGCGTTGCAGATCGCGCGCGGCTTGAAGCCCTTCGCTCCCTCCCTTAAATTCCGAATTCCAGCCACGACGACAACTTCGATTGGCCGCCGGCGACGAACGAGGCGCGCGTGCGTCTCGGCGACGCCGCGTTCGATCGTCTGCGCGTCGAGACGCGTTTGGCGGCGTCGCACGCGCAACCGCTCGCCGCCGCCGATCCCGTCGTGACGCCGATCTACCACTCGAGCACCTATCGCTTCAAATCGATCGCCCAATTCAACGACGACAATCACGGCGCGAATTTCGTGTATCGCCGATGCGGCAATCCGACGAGCGAGACCGTCGAGGTGATGCTCAACGAGCTCGAGGGCGGCGCCGGCGCGCTCTCCTACAATTCGGGTCTCGCCGCGGTCAGCGCCGTCCTCCTCGAGTTTCTCGCCGCCGGCTCGCACTTGCTCGTGATGTATCCGATCTACAGCGGCACCTATTCATTCATCACCGAAACGTTGAAGCGTTTCGGCGTCGACGTGACGTTCGTCAACGCCGACACCGAGCGCGACTTCGCCGCCGCCGTCGAGAGTAGTTTGAAGCCGACGACGAAACTCATTTATATCGAGACGGTCGCGAATCCGTCGATGGCGGTGCCCGACATCCTTGGGACGATTCGAATCGCCAACAAGCATAAGGTGGGGTGGGTCTCGTCGCGAATATGATGAACAATTTGAAAACCCTACAGATTCGCGTGTGCGTCGACGCCACCTTCTCGAGTCCGTTCAACATCCAACCGATCAAACTTGGCGCCGACATTTCGCTTCATAGCTGGTTCGAATCCCCATCTCCAACACCAGCAGCCATTCGATTTTTTCAGCTCCAAGTACATCGGCGGCCACACCGACGTGATCGCCGGCGTTGTGACGCTGAAGTGCTACGACGATTGGAAGCGCCTCAAATTGCAGCAATTGACGACGGGCAGCGCGATGAGCCCGTTCGACGCGGCGCTCGTCACGCGCGGCCTGAAAACGCTGGCGATTCGAATGGAGCGGATTTCGGCGAACGCGTTGCGCGTCGCGCGATTCCTCGAGTCGCACGACAAAGTCGCCGGCGTCTTCTATCCGGGCCTCGAGTCGCATCCGCAGCACGAGCACGCGAAAGCGGTGATGACGCGCTTCGCGGGAATGATCGCGTTCGACGTCGGCACCAAACAGAACGCCATTCAATTTGTCGAGGTATACTTTTTTTTTGGGCAATCGCCGCCCCCTCCATTGTCACCAGTGTTGGAAATCAAAATCCCGGGCTCACGGGGAAAAAGTCCGCAAACACCGCGCGCGCGCGCTGCACAATTTTCGAATATTGCGTATTTCTTGCTTTTTTTCGAAATTTGATGAATCGCGAGCCAAACTCGACATCGCCAAGATTCGCCTTTCCAAATAGGCGCTTCACTCGATCCTCTTTTGAAGCTGAGAGATACTCTGGTAACTCAGAACCAATCGGATCGGATCCGGCAAAATTCGGCTCCGGAATCAAGAAAATAAGAAAATTTATTAAATTTCGACAAAAAAAAGAAAACAAGAATTTGCAATATTCGAAAAGTGTGCATTTTCGCGCGCGCGGTGTTTGCAGACTTTCGCCCGGGAAACCTCGTCGCTACACTGATCGCCGCCAATTTTTGCAGAACCTTCGAATTGTGATCCACGCGGTCTCGTTGGGCGGCACCGAGAGCCTCATCGAGCATCCGCTATCGATGTCGCACGGCGAGGAGCTGCTGCGCGATTGCAACGCTCCGCCGGTCGCGCCGGGCCTTCTTCGATTCAGCGTCGGCATCGAGCACGTCGACGACATCATCGACGATTTGAGGCAGGCGCTGGAGAAACTTTGATTTTTTTGCCACAACAACAACAAAACTTGAATAATAAAGAATTTCGTAGGAATCGATTGAAAATGAAATTCCGAATATGGCGAGAAATAGTGCAATTGATTGGCAAAACAAAATTCTAAAAGTGTGGGTACTGTAGAGTTGGGTGTCGATTTACGCAACATTGTCATACAAAAAAAATCGAAAATATGAAAAAAACCAAAAAAAAACGCCAAAAAAATGGAGTTTTGTGGAAATTTTCACTTTTTCGTGAAAATGACGAAATTTTTTTCAATTGTTATTTTTTGTTGAATTTCGTGAATGTAATATGAAACTAATAATAAATGCGCATATTTTTTTAATTGAAACCATTTCTGAAGGTATTCGCGTTTTCGAGTTATTCGATAAAATTTGGGTGGCTGTATAGCGGATTGTCCGTGTGGAGTACACAACTCGCGCCGTCTCGAGACCCTCTATTAAATTGATCGGAATGCACAAGAATCGATGATCACGCGGTTACCAATCAGTTCAACCGATTCCATTTCTGGCATTCAGTCAATTTGTGATAGCCACTCAGATTCCCATTGTTTAAAGGGGGGGGGTGTTAGCAACCTTTAAAAGTAAAAGAAATATGATGGAAAATTGGAAAAAATCAAAAATAGCACGAAAATTTTTCGAAATCGATCGCCAAGTAAACCTTGTCGTCAAATATAATGCACAAGTCCGCAATGACTTCGATTTCGCTTATTTTCGAAATTGTTGGAAAATTTGTCATCGATGCTCATTTCTGAGAATCACGTCTTCAAATTGTCAGCCTATTAAGCAGAGTTGAGCCGAATTCCGACGCAGCCTCTGAAAATTTGCGTCAAATTCGCTGTTTTGACGTACATTTGCAAATTTCGAAGTTTTCCTTCGACGGAATTCCGCATTCCGCTCATCAAGGAATGTCTGTGTTGTGGTCCGTCGAAAAATATTAACCAATTAGAAAATTCCAAATCGACGCAAACTACTAGTCATCGAGATAGGGACCATCAAAATTAGATACTCCATCTAGTTAGGAATTCGAATTGAGTCACGTTTCTTCGATGAAGATATTCCATGGAATGCGCCTTTAAAAATTTGTACGCTTTTGACGATTATTATTCAAAGATGGAAATTTTCGAGAATGTCATAATTCAATTCCGCCCACGCAATAAGTGCCTTATATAGGCAGTCTTGATTTTAAACTTGATAGCGCATTTCAAGGCCGCCACAAATTGGCGAGATTTGCCAATTTTTTTTAAAGAGATGATTGATGAATTTTGAAAAATTTCCAACTTTTTGAAAACTTCAAAATTATAGTTTCTTTTTGGAAAAGATGAAAATACCGTAATCAGTCAAGACCCAACTCATTTTCCGCATTATAGTCCCTTTTTTTAAAAATATATTTCTTTCGCTATAAAATTTCGTTTGTACTGAGTTTTCATAAATTTTCATTGTATTCGAATATCAAAAAATTGAAAATTGGAGGAATTGTAAAATTTCGAAAATTTTTTTGTTCTTTTCATTTTTTTTTTCGATACTCGAAGTTAATGAAAATTCAGCACAAACGTTATTTAATAGCATAATCAATAAATTTGTTACAAAATTAAATAATTGATTAAAGGCTCATTTAGCGAAAAATGGGTTGGGTCTTGCGGCGACTGATTACGGTAATGTTCTTTTTTTTGAAAAAGAAACAAAATAGTCTCGTAGCGTCCCATCTATGATTTTTCTCCTCGCAAAAAATGCAGTGAGTTTGATTCGCAGGTTATCCGTAGTACGGTATTCAATGTCCCACTTTTATAATTGAAGTTCGAATAACCACTGGGATTCTCTTTTATTGGAGCGATCCCATAGCGGAAAATCTGTTTTGTTAATATTAAGGAACAATCCTAGCTTCTCCGATTTTTTCATTTGAGATCCAATTTTGAAAACCATTTGACAAATTTGAGCATTTCTGAATGACAAACTCTATCGTAGTAATTAAGCAGTCTAATTTATATTGGAAGCTCGTCGATAAGATATTTTCGGTACGAGATTCAAGGCGGAAATCAAAATATGCTTAAAAATTGCACTTTCCCAAATCAGAACCCTCAAAACAAAACGTTCTTCGAAAATAACCTACCGTGTTCCATAATCATTGAATTCAATAAATCTGAAATTCCCATAAAAAACGAGAAACGATTAAAAAAATGAACCATATTCGCCAAGCTTTGGTAACCTAGCTTTATGAAACATACCAATTCTGATCATACAGCTGAATCACCAAAGATCGGCACGTAATGGTTTCAATCAACAAACCTTTCGCAATTCGGAATAATAATAGGAATAGGTTGATTCGTTGAGGCGAGAATCAACTCGGAATGATTAGGTGTCTTCATGTTTCGTCTCGTCGATGAGAGAGAGAGAGAGAGAGGGAGGGAGGGAGATGGGCGGGTTTCGGACGGCGGCCGGCCTACTCGCGGTGGCGGCGTCGGCGGGCCGAGATAGCGATCCGAATCAATCAGGAATCGTCCCCAAAAACAAGGTCATGCGGGGTGGAGAGGCGAAAGACCTGCGACGGGCGCCTGAATGTTTACGATGGGTATCGAACGAGAAGATATTATCACAAGAGGCCGATGCGGACGACGATATTCACGGCGCCGAAGAATTCCATCTTCGGTCGTCCTAATTTGCCCCCCCCCCCCCTCAATCCCAATCGAATTGCGGTTATCAGTCGAGGCGGACGGAATGAACGATCCGGATGCGGGGGGGGGAGAAAACGAGAATTGCGACTAACGTTTTTGCATGCGCCTTTAAACTATCACGCTTTCTTTTTTTTCATTTAAATGTTTAATTGTAGTCATTTACGGTGCTATGCAGATTTCGCAAAAAAAGCAACTTTAAAACGCGATGCATTTTGCGAAAAAATCGAGTTTTCTTCCAATAATCTGCATAGCAAAATTACCTGCTTTCAATAATCCGAAAAGTTTTTTTTAATCGAGCTTCTGTACAACATCAAACGGTAAATGTCAATATCGAATCTTCAACACCATATTGAAAAGTGTATTCTGAAAATTAAATGTTTTAAATAATCAATCAAAAGCACTGAGAAGAATTTGGGTCTCGTGTCGAACAGGAGAACAGAAGAATGAAAAATATAGTGAGCTGTTTGAAAATCGACTTAAAATAGAAACGAGCTGATGGCTGATGGTCACGATTGTCGAGTGCGCGCGCGCGCTTTTCGAAAATGAGCACCTTTTGTTTCGTTTGCACAAGCACTCGGCGCCGCGCACAACATTTATTTAACTAATATTTATCAGCAGCAAGACGGGCGAGGACGACGGCGACGAGGAGAAGGGTCTTGAAGCGAAACGCGCCACATCGCGTAGCATGGCAACCAGAAACAGCACTGCAATTTCTTTTTTTTGCTGCTGCTGGCTCTCACCGCGCGTCGGTGTCAATTTGTGACGCGCAACACAAATTATAGGGCTCGTCGCGCCCATCGGCGAACCGACGACGATGAGCTTCTCAAACGCACGTCGCCAATTTCGCATACCTATCAATTGTAGTCAAAAAAAAAATAAAGTGAACGTTTGGAAAAAAAATAAATGGCGAGAAAATTGCGAATTTGCGCAAACAAAAAACAAACACGGGAGTACGCAGTACACGGCGACGCGAAATCGCACACAACCACCTACCGTAACGCGTTGAGGAAAAATGATGGTCGATTATTTTTAAGCCCTCAAAAGCTCAAAAAATCCCATTTCGCAAAAAATAAAAGAAAGCGACCCATTACACTGAGCTCGAGACGAACAAAGCAAAGCCGCCGCTGCAGCTGCAGGAGCTGGACGAGATGATGATGATGATGATGAAGCTAGTGAGCGCCAGCGAGAGCGAAACAACAAAAAAAAAACAAACGCAAAAATGCTCAAAGAGACGCCAGGCGACTAGACTTCGCGTGCGAGTTTTTCGTACAAAAACTTTATTCGGAATGCATTTAAAACACGATCGATTTCTTGCAAAGCGAACAATAAACAAGATTACAGGGGGGAAGGGGGGGAGGGGAAGGGAAAGGAAGGGGAAGGGATGATAGGTGACTTGGGGCAAAAAAAAAGTTTCAAAACTTTTGGGACCAAAAAACGAATCACCGGGTGATCTGGAAAAAAAAAAACGGGAACAGTTTGAAATTGATGGGAATTGGGCGGGGGAAGGAGGGGGCAGGGGAACGTGACAACTTAACAAAACGAAAAGAACAGAAAAAAACCTTACATAGAGGCATGCAATAAAACATCGTGTGTGGGTGTCCATATAAATATGATATATCTTTTTCACATTTTCCAATATGGGATAGGAGAGGGGGGGGGGCACAAATAGCATATTGGGATATAGAATAATTATAATAAAAAAATATATATTGGTTTTTGTTTGATGGGCGAGGCAGAACGGTTGTATCCAATGGGTTCATCTGATGAGGGTAGAACGGTTGTATAAATCAAGGGTACCAGACATATTCAAATGAAGAAAATGAAAAAAATCCGAAAGAAATGAATGACTAAAGGAGTTCTACTTATAAAGAAACAAAAAACGTGGATTCGAGACAGAGAGAATGGAACACAATCACTGGATTAGCTTATTGATTCCATTGTTTTTTTTTCTTGAGAGGGGGGCGTGGCCTAGACAAAAACAAATAAACAAACAAAAAAAAATGAAATCGAGATTGATTCAAATAAAACACCAAAAAAATTCAACGCTTCTTTTCTGGTAAAACAAGAATATATGTATAATTGGGACATTCTGTGTGTATTTGGAGGGGGGGGGGTTCGGCTTTATAACATTATTTCAAAAAAAAAACTTTTGGATCGATTTGGAGGCGATAATACTTCTAAATTTTTGTTTCACAAAAACAAAGCCTTTGGAATATACAAGAAATATTTTCCATGTGAAATTTTTTTTTTAAAGCCCATTTTGGAAATGGGCGGACGACGACTCGTCGTGGCGCAACAACGTCGGGTGGGAGTTTCGCCATGAACAAACAATTGATCGAGTTTTGATTGTTGGGCCTTTTTCACAAAAAATGTTTTCGCTTAATTTTTTGTTTTGCTTGCGCGGTGCACAAAATTCTAAAAATTTCCGCAAAAACCGGAAACGGGGAATAACTATGAAACGTTAAAAACGGACCATTTCGTCTAAATTTTTGCATTTGCTCTTCTTATTCTTCCTTTTTTTTGCTTCGTCTTACTGAGAATGGCGACGTGTGCGGCAACATTTTGGATAGGATGCGTGCAATAGAGAGAGAGAGAGAGAGAGAGAGAGAGAGAGAGAGAGAGAGAGAGATAGAAGGTGGGGTGGAAAAAATAATGATAATTGGAGGGCGGGGCGGAAAAAAAAAAGAGTTGGTAACCAAAAAAAGGGCAATTTCGAAAAATCACGTGGGCGTTTTAGAAAACGCGAATGCAATTGTTGCCGAAATCGACAACATAAATGCGACCGTCGGGTCCAACGGCCAAGTCTGTCGGACGATCGAGAAGTTGTCGCGGCGACGGCGTCAACGGTGTCGGCGTCGATGAGAACGCTGGTGCGCCGAATGGTCCGCTGAGTGGCTGCAACAAAACAAGAAGGTGAAATCGTCAAAATTCCAAATATCGCGCATGTTGCCAACTTACCGGAAATGCTGCCGATGCATCCGGCGGCATTTTGAACGCGGGTGGCGCCAGGCCAAACGAGGCGACGAATCGCATGTCATCCGAAGCGAACACCTGAAAATTGTCAAATTAGAGAGCGCTTAAAATGTTCGACAACACAAAACCTGAATCCGATTGTTTCTCGAGTCGCACACCAAAATGTTTCCTTCGGGATCAATTTTGACACCTTGCGGTCTTACAAACATCCCATCGGCGTCGCCCTCGCTTCCGTACACCTTCATCTCGTGCATATTCCGCGGCGACAACACCGCCAATCGATGATTGTTGAAATCGCTGAATTAATCACAAAAACAATATAAATATATCTTACCATCGCCAAAAAACCAAAACGAGCGCCTCGCATATAATTGTGGACCATCGCAATTTTCTCGAGGAGGCAATTCAAATTTGAATGGAAATCCGAGGAAATCAAACTCATCGTAAATCAGCGAACGGCGCTCGTTTCTTTTTTAGCGAATGAATTCTATATTCCGGATTTCAAAATCAAAAAAAAAATCTCACGTGATGAGCAATTGACCATCGGGCAAATAGCACAAACCGCGCGGCGAGTCCAAATTTTTGAAGAAATAGGCCGAATCGAAGCCGCACTTGCGCACAAATTGGCCTTGCGGTGTGAAAATCTGCACACGATGGTTGCGCGTGTCCGACACCGCTATCGCGTTGTGCGAGTTCGTCGCCACACCCCACGGATAGTTGAAGTAGCCAACGGCGCGTCCGCGATCGCCAAATTTCAGCAAAAAGTTGCCGTCCTCATCAAACACTTGAATGCGATGATTGTCTTTGTCGGCGACAACAATGTGATTCTACAAGTTAACAAAAATTGAAATCAAATTTTTAGAAAATTATTGGCTAAATGCCAAAATAATTCGAAAGCGAGGTCTCAGTGCGCCTTTAATCTATTTTTTTGGCACTGAGCCATTTGTTTTTCATGCAAATGAAAAAAAAAGCAACTCACATGCGAATTGATGGTGATTCCCGCCGGCCGATCGAATTGTCCCGGCCGTTTGCCGCTGGTGCCAAACTTCGCCAAATAGTTGCCGTCCTTGTCGAATATCTGAATGCGATTGTTGCTGCGATCGGCGACGAGCACACGACCGCGCAAATCGACACAAATGCCCCACGGCCGACACAATTCGCCGTCGCCGGTACCCTCGCGTCCGAAGCTGAACAGCGGGCCCTTGTTGCCAATCTCCTCGTAGTTGCGTCCGCGACGCACGTCGATCGTCGTCGGGCATCCGTCGATCGGCGAGCCTTTGACGAGCACGTTCAGCGTGTAGACGCCCTCGACAATCGGCACGTACGAGATCGCCACAATGCCATTTTCGCGAGCACTAAAAAATTAATTAATAATATAAATGAATTCAAAATAAACTATGATGAAAAAATTTGCTCACGTCACATTCGCCGGCACCGGGAATCCCGTCGGCGAGACGATGAACGCCTGCACCTCGCTGGCGGCGGCCGCCTGATCCAAATGCGCCGGACCCGACTGGTGCGGTAGAAGCGGCTTGGAGCCGGGCTGCGTCGATAGAAGCGACGACGACAATACTTCACCGCACGCGTCGCGCAGTTGAATATTGATCACCGACTGGCGGTCGCGAATTACCCTGAAGCAATCATTCGAATCAAGACTTATTTTAGAATCCCCCCCCCCTCCTACTTTCGGAATCCATCGCCAATGAACGTGCTGGTTCTCGCGCATGGCCCACTCTCAATATGACCGTAGTGTCGAACCCTGAACATCAATTTTTTTCGTGAAAATGAGCAACAAAAGAAAAAAGAACCAACTTTCCGAGGAAGCTTCCATCTTGCGGCGGTACAAAGATCACGCGATCGTCCTCGTTGACTTGGCACGCCAGCATCAACACATTCATATTATTATTGTGCTCGGTTCCGTCGCCGCTCATTTGGCATTCGGCCAACATCTCAAAGCATTCGTGAAGTGCCGCCTCATCGGCACTCTCATCGCCGATCACCGCCTTCGCCTTGTCGATCGCCTCTTTCAGCTCGTTCTTCTTCGCGGCCAACTTCTCCGCCTGCTCCATGAGCGACGTGATTTTCGACGTCTTCACCGTTTCGACGCGCTTCAGAAGCTCTTTGCGTCGCTCCTCGAACGCTTTCACATATTTGTCGACGAACGCGTGAATCTCGCCCTCGGCAATCGTCGCATTACTAACAACACCTTCCAGCATCCGATTGATCGTCTCGCTCGTCTTGTCGCATTGATATTCGATGAGCATACTCTCATTGTTGAGCTCGGTCACCGCCGTTCGAATATCGCTGATCGGCTGAATTCGATGTTTGCCAGTGTGCTGCGCGACGCAGATCGCGCATAGCGGCTGCGATTGTGGACAATGATCGCAGAAGCCAACGATTCGCGACTCGTGAACACCGCAAACCGACGACGATCGCGGCGACGAGTCACCACTATTCGTGTCATCGCCAACAGAGGCCAATCCTGGAAATGCGACCATCGAAACTTCAAACCAATCAACCAACGATTACCATCATTCGCGGCGTTCGACTGCTGCCCGCCCATCGGAATCGGCAAAAGCCCATTGCCAATCAAATTGTTCGGCATTAGGTTCTCCTGCTGGACGGCCAAGTGTCCCTGAAACTGAAAACTCTCAGTGTAAAAACAGTGTAAACGCGGGAAGCGCCATCGCTTACAAGCTGCGCGATTTGCGCCAGCGCCGCAATCCGATGCGCTTTCGTGGCTCGAACGCGCTGATGCGCGTTGACGCAATTCTCGCACAACATCTCCTGACACTGAAGGCAATAGGCCAACGCCATGTTGTTCTCCAGACAACCGCTACAATTCCAAATCGGCATTCTCGGCATTTCGGGCTGCTGCTGCTGCTGCGGCTGCTGTTGTTGTTGTTGGAGAAAATTCTGGAACGGCATCGGCGTGAAAGGAATCGCCGGCGATTGCTGCTGCTGCTGAAATTGCGAACTCGACGAGGAGCGCGACGGCGGCGCCACCGCGCCCGCATGCTTCATCGGCGATTGCTCATGACTCGACATCATTCCAATGTTCGACGTGTTCGTCGGCGATAGCGGCGAGAACACCGGCGTGTCGTCGTTCTGCAAAAAAAAAAACAAACCGTACATATGTCAAGTTCTCAATTCCAATTACCACCGTCAGCGAATCGAAATTCGCGCCGACGCCGCCGCCACCGCTCATCGGCGATTGTTGTTGTTGCTGTTGCACTTTGCGTAGAACGTGCGAGTGGACGAGCGGCGACCACATCGACGACGGCTCCGAGATGTTGCTCTTATGCTGCGAATGTTGCTGTTGCTGCTGCTGCTGCTGATGGTTTTGCGGCGGTGTGAGCGAGAACGAGAAAGCGCGAGCCGATTGTTCAGGTGTCACTGAAAATTGACATTTCAAAAATAAAAAATAAAAATTAAAAATACTAACAAGGAAGTCTCGCGTTCGGATTCACTCCCAAAATGCTCGGCGTCGTGTTATGCGACGACAATATCGAGTTGTCGAGCAAATCTACAACACACCATCATTTTCAATTTGCAGCGTCCCCATTTGAAGAAAAAAAAGCAACACGCCTACCAAGACTTTTGTTCGGCGAAACCGCGTCGAGCAAAAATCCGCCGTGCGGCGACGTCGTCGGCGACAAAAACATTTGCGGCGGTAGATTCGCCGAGTTGGCGACACCCGAACCGCACGAAGGGCATTCTGAATAGTGCACATTTTTCAAGACTGTCTCAATTGTTCGTTTCTCGTCCTTACGCTGTTGCGACGTCGGATATTGGCCGAGAACCTGCGAGCACGTCAAGCAATGCCTTTAAAAAAAGAAACATCAAATTTGAGAAAAAAAAAGAACGAGTAAAAATGGGAGGTGGCCGCGAGAAAAATTCTAGGCCATCAACTAATCGATACTTACTTGTGAGCGCACGTGAACTTCAGAACACCGTGATGACCGATTTTGTTGCACATGGCGCATCGGAATGACGGTGGTCGTCCTGCAAGGAAGAAAACTATTTTGAAAAAAAAATGAATAATACGAACCGACATATCCAAAACTCTCGCTGGCGAACATATCATACTGCGGCGATTGCAATATCGATTGCGGTGTGTCGAAAAGCGATGCGCCCTGAAAGCCAAAAAAACATTAGGTTTTCATTTCTTCAATCAATTGATATTACATTAAATGGATGATCGTTGGAATCGAACGCGCCAACGCTGGCCGCCGACGGTAGAATGCTTTCCAATTGTTGGCCCGGCGATAGATTATTGGCATGCTGATGGTGGTGGTGCGATGATCCGCCTATTGGCAAAAAGAAAAAATAGATGAAATAATAATGGAGCCGTTGACGGCTATCGACTCACTGCTACCCATTGATAGCTCATTGCCGCTGTCATTCGAGCCAGTCTCAACTTCAGTGTGCTGTTGCTGCTGCTGCTGCTGATGGTCCGCTGACGCAGAAGTTACAGCCATTATAGCTGTTCGACAAGAATTACAAGGGGTTTCAAGAAAATATTAATCGAACAATTAATTCGTCGAGCGAATCGCTCGAAATCGTCAACGTTTTTGCGCGCTTTCAATATTTTGGCGGTAGGTCAAATTTTGGGAAAAGATCAAAAAAATGATTGATTGGTTTTTTTTTTTTTGAATTTTCTTTTTCAACAAAAAAAAACTCACTCACCAATTTTTGTGTTGATCGGCACTAGTGGATTCCGATCTGTAAAAATGACGAGCATTTCAATTCGTTTCCAAATTCGTAAAAAATGAGGAGGGCGAGTTCAAGGGGTACGTTTTTTTTTTTTGCTGCCCTTCCCGACGAGATCCATGCCAACGTGTTCGGCAGGGATGTAAAAAAAATTTGCAAATTTATGCAAATATATATGGGAAGCGCAGGAAAAAAAGGCAACAAAAATTAGTTGAAAATGTCAGAGGAAATTTTCGTGACGAAAAATTGTCGATTTCAATCATTTGTATTTTTTTGATTTCAGAGAATCGCCTGAAAATTCTCAAAATTCTTTTTTTTACATTTTGCCGATGGGGATTTTCTTTGATGATTTTTTCTGTCAAACTGGCCAAAACAAAATTTTGTATTTAAAAAAAGTATATGTCTGATGAATTTTCCAAATAAATTCCAAAATCATCGCACGAAAACGCTTCGTTTTCTAATGAATTATTCAGATTTCTCAAAAACTCATCAAAAAATGATGGATTTTATGGAAAAAAACGTCATTGAAAAATTTCAAAAACGTGAAATCTCTGCTTTTTTTTTCAAGAAACATTTCAAATTCTCAGAATTCAAAATTCCCCCTTTTTTTCCTCCTCAAAAACCGTTGAAATTCACAAAAAATATGGGTAAAGATGCAATTTTTCGGCAAAAAATCGGCGATCATTCAAAAATTTCAAGAATTAATTAGTCAAAAATCACAAAAAAAAAACAATTTTTTCGCCTAAAAAAGAAGAAGCGCGTAAAATTCGCCGGTTTTTTTTTGGTCAAAATGGAATTCTCCGGAAATTCTCGCGAAGGGAAAAAAATTGGCTCACGCGTCGCCGACTAAAAGGGTCCGCGCTCGGCGTAAAGTAACCCAATTAAAGGCGCAACGCGGGGGGTTACTGTAAAAGTGGAAAAGTAAACGACAACAAGGGGTCGTTATTATAATGATGTTAATTAGTTAATTAATTAATTACCTGCTTGATAAAGACGCTTCAGGTGAGCTCACGTTTGCCACGTCGCATGCCCTCCCGCCAAACGAAAAAAAAAACGTCGACAATCGCTTGAATACAACACCACCACCACCACGGCCCAAATATGGAGTCTCTCCTTTTCGTTGATAGCCTCAAGACACCACAATCTGAGGCGCGCGCGCTGAAAACGATAAGCAATTTTTTAAAGTGTCGAACTTCGACAACTAAAACAAAAAGAATGAGAGCTGAAATTTGACAAAAGAAAATCTGTTAAGATGATTGACGTTGGCGTTATCAGAGGTGAGAACAACCAGAATAGGAGAATTTCATTTTTTTCTGTAAAGAAGTTTCGTTGAGAGCGAGGCGTCGTCATAAATAATTCAGCGATTATTTTTCAAGGGGGGGGGGAGTTGAGATAGCTAGCTAGAGCTAGACGTAGCTCGAGCAGCTAGTCGGAGCCGCAGCAGGACAAGCGAAAAAAAATGATTGAGAAACACCGGCACCCGTCTCCCGGAGAGCATCGTATAGCTGATAACAAAGAGATTAGGAATGGGTATCGCAATTTAATAGGAAACATTTTTCTGGACCCCCCCCCCTCAAAAAAAAAAGAGAAATTGACGTGTTGGTACGTGAACATCGAGGTCACGCGATAAACCATCGTCACGTGACGCTGGAAAGTTTTCTTCCAGGAATTTGAAAGTCGTCGGGATTGATTCATTCCTAATGATGTTCGCTACCAGCTTCATCACCATTACACCGCGCGCATCAATATCACTGTGACTGGCAAAACCAATTAAGGGAAACTCCCCGCTTCCAAACCGGATCAATTCGCTCTGTGTGTGTTTACACAAAAATCGATTTGAGATGGTGCTCTGGCTGGAATTTGGGCAAATTAAAAAATCACAACAAAAAAAATTGGACGTCCCAAAAAAACTGGAGAAACAAAAACGCGGGCAGTCGTCGTCGTCGAAGCGAACATTGAGAACGATAAAAAAAATTGTGTTTCTCTCTACACGTCGGCGACGCTCTCCCCTAGGCATTTGGGCCGTCAGGGTGAGGCCCCGCTAGTGAGTGTGTGTATGCAATCGGTCGTCGTCGTCCCAACCAACCAACCAACCAACGCTGCGCGCTGCGTCTCTTTCGCCTATTGCCCTGGGGGTGAGCGCCGACCGATCGTGAAGAGACACCATCGAGTGTCGAGAGAGCGAAAAGGTCGATAGGCCTGGGGGACAGCGCGCGCGGGCATATAAAAAATCGCGCTCACTCACAGCACCCCCCCCCCAACCCATTTTTCTCTTCCTCTCCTCCCAACCCCTCCCTCGTCGTCGCCGGCGGCGCGCGCTCTCTCCCTCTCCTGTCGAAAAAAAAAGATATTTCGTCCATTTTTTTCCCCTCTTTTCTTTGCCCCGACCCCGGCAAACAGTGTCGACGCAAAAACCACCAACATCACCAACCTTCAGGTTTTCCTCCTCCACGCAACACATAAAGGAAAAGATGTATGTGTGGGGCGCGCTTTTTGTTATCATGAGTCAGAAAATAACAACAACAACAACAACAACAGTGGCAGCATTTAAACGAACGGTTTTTTTTTGCAAACGATTGGAAAAATCAAGCGGAAGCACAAAAATTTGAGGAAGAAAAAAAATATGTGGGAAAAACCGAAGAGAAAAACATTGCGTGCAATTGTGCGTAAAGTGCATTGCATTCGGTTGACCGTACCCTGAAAATTCGAAAAAATTCATATTTTTTAAATTCATTCTTTTTCGACAATTTATTCTATTTAAAACGGATTTGTTTCAAGATTAGGTGGGTTTGTTATCGGATTTGTCCAAAGCGCGTAGGATAATCTCCCGGATAACCTCCGTGACCTTTTCCTTTGTGCATTCCTCGCTGAAAGAAAAAAAAAACACAATTTTTTTTAGGATCTCTGTCAAATCTCACGTGAATGGCGGCACGTGCACAAAAAGCGCCTTTTTCGGGTCCTCATTAAGCGAGAGGAAGTACGAGAATCCGCACAAATATCTTCCGGGATCGTCCGATGTCGTCAAATTGATGCAAGACTCGTCAAGCGAGCAAGATTGCCGAACCGTTTCGCAAATTCGATCGCAGTCGAGCTCTGTGCACAACACCGATTCCGGACGGCAGCAGCCCGTTGAATTCGAGTCCGGTGTACATCCTAGGGAACGGGTCTTGAGTGGAAAACAATTTCTGAAATACCTTCAACGTCGCAAGCCTCGTAGCCGGCGGCGAATGCTTGCTTCTCAATTTTTATCGTGTTTGCCACCTCATGAGCACCAAGATGGACAACAAGCTGAAAGAAAACCGGATAAATGAAACGAAAAATTCGGACCTCTGGCTGGAATAAATTCCAGTAGACTTCTAGATCGTTTTTCACTTCCGCATACGCCACTCTCATTATTTTGGCCTCAAGGTTGATTCCTAAATCGGCAAGCTCATTAATTTTCGAGTCAAATCGCTGAAAATACCTGGAATCCCATTCTTCTGAAGCTCTTTGACAATTTCTGACGATGGATTTGTGGTGAAATTGCGAAACGGCCCAAATCCGGTGAGAATGACTGTCGGCATATTCTTCAAAAAATCAATAATTCACTATGCAAACAGTTCAACTGATATCGGTGGCCGAGAAAAAATCAACGGCCATACCGGGTCAATTTCTCGATTGAAACACATCGTGAGCATGTCAGGTATGTCGGATTCCGCATATGAAGTCTGTATTCAAATTTTCCTTTTATTATTATCATTGAGATAATCTGTTTAGTGCTCGAAACAAAAAAACTTACGATCATGCTTCTCGATGAGCAACACGAACACCACTGCGGAACATTTGGCGACTAGCTGGTGTAATAATGAATTTCCTGCGACGAGAATTTCAAGGTCACTCGATTTGCAAAAACAAACCCCCCTCTCAGGGATTACTTTTTTTAAAAATCATCTGCTTTCGAAAGCTTTCAGATTCAGGCAATAACTTCATTTAAACCGACAAGCAATTAAAAACAAAAATTAAAAAAAAAATAAAAAAAATTGATATCGTAATTCAAAGGTGCATGCGAAAAACAAAGCGTGGGTCTCGTATCGTTTTGATTTATTGAAATGAATTTGAATTTTTTTTTCGAAATTATCAAAACTTCACAAAATTTGTTAAAAATGAAATTTTAAAAGCGTATCGAGACAAGGAAATTACGATACCAAATTTTTTTTGAACATTTCATTTACAAATTCAAAATGGTTTTCACGACATGTCTGATGATTTGGGCAAAGTCGACTTCGGTGCGATTCTCTCTGGAAAAAAATATATGAAATGCGCCTTTGAAACCCATTGGTCGAATTTTCCTACGTGATGGCCGGTACGTGAATGAACAACGCCTTCTGAGAATTCTTATCAAGTGAGATGAAGTACGAGAATCCGCAGAGGTATCTTCCTGGATCGTCAGAGCATACCACATCGAGGCCGTCGTATTTGGTTCCGTCGATTCCAAATTCGGCTTTCAACTTTTCGGCGAGCTCAACGCAATCGATTCCAGTTTTGAGAACATTCTCGGCTCTACAACAACCGGTGGTGTTCGACTCCGGTGTGCAGCCTGGAACCGAAACATCGTCCACTCATTTCTAGGCCGTCGACCCGCGTTCTTACCGTTCACATCGCAATGATAATATCCATTGGAAAACGCTTGCTGTTCGAGCCGGATATTCGAATCAATGTCCTGCGCGCCGATATGAATCACCAGCTGCAATCACGAACATAAGCAGAACCACACGAAATTCGCCTACATCGGGATTATGCGATTCCCATAGTTCCGGAATCGTTTTGGTGCACTCATCATAAGCCACCGACAGCTTGTGAAGCTTCAAATCGACACCTAAACATATTGGGGAAATGAATTGCCTTCGCGAAAATGTCTCACCGGGAATTCCCTCTTTTTCCAGCTCGTCGACAACCAATGACGATGGATTGTTGGCGAAATCGCGGAATGGTCCGAATCCGGTGATCACAACGGTTGGCGTGTAGTGCTGAAATTTTTATTGTGCGATTAAGCAACATTTAAAATCACCTATTTTCTTTTGGCGAGAAACTACAATAATTTTGAAAAAAATTATTTATTGAGAACTTTTGAGCATAGTTTCTCGAAAATTTCTCAAAAATGACTTTGGTCTCGCGGCGAATAATTACGGTAATAATCACATACGCAAAAAAAGAAGATTGAAAAGCACTGAATCAAAAATTTGAAAGGCGAAGCGAAATATTTGACGATACGGTATCCAAAGGCGCATGCAAAATATTGAGCTATGGTCTCAGCGCGATTATTTTAATTCACACTAAAATTCGACGAAAACTTAATGATTTCATGTTGAAAATTTTTTGTGAATGAAATTCAGAGATAAAATTTACCACGGGAAGGCAAACCGGCTCAGATACAGGCGTGCACATTGTGAGCATATCAGGAATATTGGCTTCAGGGCATCCAACCTAGAAAACAATATTTTTGAAATTTTATTTATAGATGCAACAAAAAACGAGAATCTTACCCCAATCATTTTTCAAAGCGAATAGTTCCTCGAGAAAAATTGATCTGAAAAGAAGAATGAGTTGAAGGACATTGAAAAACGAAAAAAAAGAGAGAGAGGGCGAAAAGGGCGTTCCATGGAGTGTAACGCGGAAGTTGTGCGAGACCAAAAAAAAATACGAAGAGAAAAAGGAATACATCAGAGTTTCACTCGTTCAAATGGATCCTGAGGACACAATTTTACGAAAAATGCGAAATGTCATTAATATCCGTCCATCTTTTTGGGTCGTTCGATCGATCTTTGGTTTTCAATCGAATTGAACACCCGGAAGTTGTTCATTCTATCAAATCAATATAAATTAAATGCTCCTTTAAACATGGTCTTGAATGGATATTTATTTGGAAGCTTTCAAGTCATCAAAAATTTTAAAAAGATAGACACTTGTTGGAGACAGTGAATCCCTTGCTAGAAATGTTCTCAATTTTTTTTTCAAATTCTAGGAATCGGCGTTGTGTGCCTTTAAATTGTGGTCGAGTTAAATTGTCTATCTGCATAATGGCTCCCGAGACGACTGAATATTGGCTAAATCTTGTCAGCGTCAAACGATGGAACGAAAAAAAAATATTGGCTACTGAACCTAAAGCAAAGAATGTGCGTGTGTTTGCGTACTCGGCATTTTAGCGTACGCGCAATTACTATTTAGCCCCCCCCCACCTATTCCTAGGGATCGTAGATCTACACTGAATTTGCGAAATTCAATTTCCCGCCAACAACACGTTTAAAAAAGCGTAATTTGGGAGTAAGGATACTTTAAAGGCGCACACGGTTATATTCATTTTTTGGCGATTATCCAACTTTCCGCGTACATAATAATCACGCGATGAAACTCTATAATCTGGTCATACGATTTTTAAAGGCGCATAAGTCTATCTCCAAATTGTGGAATTATTTTGAGCAAATCGGAGCTCTTCATTAAACCATTGAAAAATTGATCGAAATTGCCGTTTCAAATACAACTCAAATATAATTCAAAACTCAAATATACAATTCAAATATGTATAATTCTTTCTAGCTCGAAAATCGCGAATCCCAGCTCTAGAAACTCTCAAAACTCTGGTTCCGAAATTGTAAAATTGTCGGATCCGATTCGAATTGAAAGATTAAAACAAAACGGGTCCGACAAATTACCAATCGGATCCGAAAATTTTACAAGCTTATCCGGATCGGGGTTGATTCCGCAGCCGAATTTTGCCGGATCCGATTGGGTTTGAGTTACCCGACAATCGTGTTTGTTCCATTCCGACAATTTGCCCATTCTCAATTCTTTTCCGCCTTATCTGATGCGAGCAAAAACGTGATAAATCATACGATCGAAGGTCGTCACCATAAATTGACCGATAGTAGCTTCATAGCGATATATAGTAGTAGAAGCTCAAAGTTCAGATGACTCCAATACGTGATTTTTCTCCTGTAGAATGATGCAAAATTGTCAAGAACAAATAAATTCACAATGGTGTGAGTACACACTCACGCAATATTGCACACATTCCGACTATTGCAATAATATTGCGATGCGTTTCAAGAAGAAAAACGCGACTACCCTAATTGTTCGCTTCAAGAGCTGGGCGTAACGCTCGCGAACCGCAACGCGTCTGACGACATTGAATAATTACAATAGCCGTTTTTTTTTAATGGAAAACCATTTATAAAATGATTATTTTGCAAAATTTTCTCCACCAAATAATTTGCATTTAAGATTTTCGTTAAAAATCGACGATCTATAAAAATCGATGTTATTTTTTAATTCACTCTCAAATCCCAAAAACCATTCAAAATCGGCATTCCGTCAAGAAGCGTCTATTCTGATCTATGAAGCGTCGAAAAATTGCACAAATTTCAAAAATTTCCAGACAAACCCGACTAAGTCGTGTTATCAGCAACCACGTTTCCCATATAAAAACTGCCTGTTGCGATAGCAATTTATCATTCGTCTAATCATTCTGTCATATAATTCCATATAGTTAAGATGCGCTCGTTGTTGGTCCTTCTCATCGCTTCGTCGGTCGCCTTCGCCGCCATCGTGCCGCCGATGCAGGCGAGCCTCGAATGCATCACGTGCGTCGCCACCGTCAAAGGTGTCGAGGCCAAGGTCTTCAAAGAGGGAGACGAGATCGGCGAGAAGGTTCCAAATCCAAAAATCCACGCTTTTCAATTCAATTTTAGGAGGTCCACACCATCTGCATGGACGTCGTCCCAGTGCCAGCCGCCGAGAAATACTGCGAGTCGTACGGCGACAAAGAGGTCGAATTGATCATCTCCGATCTCAAGAAGGACGTCCCACCAAAGGACATCTGCAAGAAGATGCACAAATGCTAACTTATGCCGATAAAAATTTTCATTTTCTTCTCGATTCAAACAATTCAAACATCATAGTAGATTAGGAGATCTCATAAATCAAAAGAGGTAGGATAATTATCACTACGCGTAATCAAATAGTTATGGAATACAAAAAATCTCAATTAAAAAAAATAACCAGTTGCCTACAACTCATCGATTGGTCGTTTCGTCTCAACATTCACCGCCTCTTCAACTTCCTTATCATAATCCTGCCATTCGTCAACAATTCGCTTCGCCGACTCCAACTTCGGCTCTTTCGTCTTCGGATTATTGCACTAAACTCGCCATATCACCCCCCGTCATCTTTCGATACAGCCACCCACCAAATCAATCGTCTTCGCCGATTCTTTACTCGCATCGTCGCACCACGTCTCGCACCACAGCCAATTTTGCGGCAACGATTTGATCGGAACCATATCCACCAAACTGTTCGGTAGATCTTGATCCAAATTCGCCAAACTGTTCGGATCATGCGAGAACGCGTAGTATTGCCCTCGAATCAAATCGCCGGCGTACATTTCGCGGAATCTCTGCCAAATCAAAAATTCGAATTTGAAAAAAAACACACACAACCACACCTTCAAATCAACCACATAGAGCGCACTAATATGGTATTTCCGTCCCCGCAGCGTATTCTGCCAATATCCTTTCTTCCAGAAACGGAATCCTTCCATGTCGTCGCGACTATCGCAAAACGGAACATATCTGAACCATCATTTCCACACCAATTTTCAATTCCAGTTACCCATAAGGAGCACCCTCGAGATCAAAATCCATAAGCTCTTGCAAATCCGATCGTACGACTTGATCGGCATCAACGTAAATGATTTTCTCGACACCCAACGGGAACATTACGTCGAGGAACAAAATCTAAAATCGAATTCGAGACGAAAAACAAAAATAGCGGCATAATAATAATTATTATTATCACATACCTTATAGCCCCACATGATCCTCTGCTTCTCAGTTTGTCGCGGCAACCATTTCGGCCATTTGTACTCGACAAATTCGTACTCAAATCCATAGGTTTTCGCCAAATGCGAGATGGTGTCCTGCAAAATCGAAATGTGAACGAGAAACGCGAAAATTGAACACGAAATGGCGAGACCTTGAATCGCGGCGACAAATAATTTTTGAGCAGCCAAAATTTCACTTTGCTCTGCGTGTTCTTCGCCACCGAAACCATCATAATTCGCATGAATCGCTCATAGAGGTGTCCGGATGCCAACGAGAACACGTTGATCACCTTCCCCTTCTCCACCTCATCCTCCTCATTCGTCGGCGTCTCGGCGGTGTTCGATGAGGTAAAGAATGATGTGATTCGATTCAACACACCGCCGCCATGCGCATTCGTCGCCTTCTTCGCCGTCGCCACTCCAACATTCAAAAATTTGCCGGAAAACGAGTCTGAATTCAAACAATTGAGCAAATCTCAGCACAAATTGCATTCCACAAACCAACAACAACGTCAAATTCCGTCGCGTTCGTCCTTTTGCCGTCGACGCTCACAAATCGATGATCATCAAGCTCGTCGCGAATCTGCAACTTCCATCGGCCGGGATTCGCCTTCAATTGGAAATAGCCAAAGTTGTTCATCACAATCGTATCAAACGATTGTGTCGGCGATTTGAGAGCAAACTGCAATCCCGCCGCCGGTTGATCATCCTTCTCGACGCACGAGCCGACGAGAAGAACGTGCTCCAGCGAGTAGACCGCCTGAACGTCGCCGTCAACCTTTAAAAAAAACGTGAACATTCACAGAAACGTCTCGTCGCTACAAAATCCAACCGAGTCAAGCCTCAGATTGTCCAAATCGTGTTTCGCTTGCTTCAATTCAACCATCCATGCTTCATTGGTAATCATCGACATTGTGAAAAGTTGAGTTTTCGGCAACTTTTCGAATCTAAATGCAAACAATCAAAACATTTTTCCCAATTTTGAGCGATTTCAACAATAACAACAAAAAAGAGCACAAACCTGGCGACGACATCAGAAATTTCTCCATTCTTTTCAAATTTGAGCTCCTTGCGAATCGCATACCGATAGAATCGTTTCACCGGCTCATCGGTCACCTCGAGCAACGGATTCAAAACAATGCGAATCCTCGAATTCGTCACCGCCTCAATCATTCGAACCATCGGCGTCACGTGTTGCGCCCCATTCGAAGCCGGATTCACAACAAACGTGACAAGCAACGAAGGGCGATCCTTATGCCTCTCCTCAATAACCCAATTGTTTCTGAAAAAACGAAAATAACAATCGCGAATGTTCCGATAATCCATGACAAACCTTTCCGGCAATCCGGTGAACGCAACCCGCTCAACCTTCTCATCTCTCAAATGTTTGCCCAAAAGCGAATAAACGATGGGAGAATAATTGTTCGTCGAAAGTTCAGCAAGATTCTGCAGAAAAAAACGCACAAACACATACAATATAAAAGAGTCCAGCTCATCAGACCTTGGATCCTTTCATCTCCCAAACTCTCGCCAAAAACTTGAAATCTTCAACGCGAAGGCCGTCTGAATTGCGAATAATCAACGAATTCGAGACGATCGCATTCTCGCCGGCCGCTAATCCGCTTCTCGCGCGCACAAATCGAATTCTGTCCTTCATCGACTTCATTACAGCCATCGTATTTAACTCAATACTTAAAAATAAAAACGCATTCCAAATATGGCCAAAAAAAAATCGAACCCTTTGAATCGCGCATTCAGCTCCTCATTATCGGTGGCGTTGACAAACTTCAGCCATGACGATGGCTCGAGATGTTGACAAATCATCGACACAATCACATTCATATCGGGAATTGTCGTGTCCTGTTTGGGATTCGGAATCAACACCACATTCTCATCGCCTTCAACAGCCCCCTTCAAAGCCTCAACCGCCAACTCGATGCCGATTTTCGTTTCAAAATCGACCACAACAAAATTGGTAACACCCTGGCGAATTCAATTTTTCAAAATTGATGACCTTATTTAAAGGTTTCAAACCGCATTTCGATGCTCTTTAAAATATTTCAAATCGTCAAGGAATTCTCTCGCCGAACGATCCGTCAAATCAATAAACTCCTGCTTGTCAAATGCCTCAACAATTCTAAAAAAAAATCAACAATTAATAATTATATATTTATAATAATTGCTTAATTACCTCGGACTAATTCGCTTAACAATATTCGGATTTTTGACCCACCATTCGGCGATATTATCAGAGCTTTTAAGATGACCTAAAATTGGGGCTTATAGAATTATAATATCTATGGCCAAACCATCATGAATCGCAATTTGTAGCAATCTAATTTGGCGCCAAAGTTCGACGGCGAAATTCTGCATAAAATCTTTCGGATCGTTCTGAAATTCGTAAAATAGCCAAAATCAAAGAAAAAACCACCAAGTGTACCGCATCAATGAGATAGCCATTGAGAAGCACCGCGAATCGCCGTCCAATTCCACGCGATTCCATATAATCGTTGCCATACGCAACACTATTTACAACGTATTCTTTCGTGATTTTTGGTATCAATTTCTGAATTAGACGCCAATTCGTGTCGCTTATCGACTCATTGACATTCGAATAGAACACATAGCCGACTCTATAAAATAAAACATTATATGGAAATTTTTTAAATTCCAATTTTATGGATCCTCTACGAACCAGCATTGTATTCTTATGGAGCCATGCAGACTCAACAAAAAACATTTTTTTCAATTTTTTTTTGAAAAACGAAAATAGAAAACTTTCCCACATACTCAATACCAAAAAACAAATTTCTAGTTATTATAGTCCAAAAACTTGCCCTATAGAAATGTCTCGTTGTATACCTCGCGATCTCTCATTCTATCAATGTTTCTCGCTTTTTGTGTCTCTCAGAGATCGCAATCTTTTTCTCTACGTCTCATCTCTATCTTATTCTTTTTCTCTGTGTCTCTCATAATTCTCTATTGTTTCTACTATGATCACGGCGCACTAAACAACTGGGAAACGGGCAAAAATTGCTTTTTAAAAAGTTGATGAAAATAGGATTCTTCTATATACTCTAAACCACTTTTCATCCACTTTTAATCCAGTTTTTTTGTTTTTCTCCCAGTTGCAGTGTCTATAAGTCCGCGTTTTCTTCATTTTGGTATTCAATTCGATCAAGTCAGCTTGACCAAATCTCGTACACCGCACATCCACACCTACAAACACAAAACTAGCAATTGTACCTAATAGGGGCTCCATCGTTCAACATCGCGTGAATCTGGTGGACAATTCGAACAGTTTTACCATCCATCGCAATCGGATCGATAAATACGACCAAATTCAAAAAATTTTTCGCAATCGGCGGAATTATTCCTTAACAAAAAAATATTCGTTTTCTTTATCAAAAAAAAAATTGCTGAGAAAAATCAAACTATCTAAAATCCAAACCACTATGAGCAAACAGCAGATGATCAATATTCTTTCCCATATGCATATAAGCATAATCCTTTTCAACATTGTTGATAAACTGAAAAATAAATTTCCCGCCAAACACACTTCCTATTCTTACATATGGCTGAGCCTCAATGAAATTCAAGCCAAACTTCGGAAGCGATTTCTTTAGTGGAATCGTGGGCAGCAGCAATTCGCTTCGCTTCTAAACTCCCAATGGTGGGTCTTTAAGCTAAAGCGTCTTAAAATACCTCATCGTTGAATCCATTATCAAAAAGCGCCTTCGACAATTTCATTTCTCGTCGTATGTCTTTCATGAGCTCAAAAATGTCCAATCGCTCAATGTCAAGTTTTCTGCCATTCAAATAAAGAGCATTCGAGCCAGCGGCAACATCTGAAAAAAATGGCAAAATTCAATTTCTTTGTCATTTTTGGAAATTTTTCAAAATTCCCCCTCACCAAATTTCTCTAAATAATCATGCAAATCCGAAATTTCCTCTTTATACGCTCGTTCAACATTCTCGCGATAAGCCAAATATCTGAAAAAAAAAAAGCCAACCAAGATTAGCAAAAAACAAAAACAAACTTGAAATAACTCGGAAAATTCTGGCTGAGATGCTCGATTCTCGCCAAAATCTCCGTCTTCGTGACATTGGCTAGACTCCGTGCCGCCTAAAACGACGATGAAGCTCAGAAATGAGGCCGCCGTTCACTTACCTGCAACCCAACACCGCTGATCAGCCATTTGCTCACTTTTCCATTCGTCGCCAATTTTTGCAAATATTCTCGAAACGCTTTCAAGTCTTCGGCAAATTCCGCATGTTGATCCCTAAAACAAAATTCGAGAATGTCTTTCCCGCAATTTCCGAAATGCTCGCGCACCTCAACACATCGAAATCGAATCCATTGAGCTGATCGGCCTTCTTCGCCGAATCCATCGCATTGTATTCCGTGTTCTTTTGCGAGAGTTCAACACCATAGCCAGAAAGCGATACCGGATAGTCACGCGCCTACAAATCTCAACTGATTTTTTGAAAAACGCGCGTCGTTTTCAAAATAACCTCTGAAAAATGTCGAAAGACAAAACAAAACTCGCTGATGTTTTTCGCCGCGTTCATCATTTTCGACGTCGTCAATCGTCCGAGCTCTCCATACATCACAACAACGTCGTGCGTCTTTCGATTGCATCCATTGTCGATCACGTGCTCGTGTGTGAGCAACATCGGACTCAACGCCCCATCAACAGCAGCCAATTGGCTAATATCGCAAAGCGTTTTATTGTTGTAGATCAAAAATGGCAAACATGGAGCCGGATAGCCGTCAGCGATCTGAAACAGCCATAATGAATCAGGAATTCGAGAAGCAAATCAACACCGAAAACCATGGCCTAGCTTCGCATGCCTGTGGACGCCAATTCCTCGTCCACCACCACCTTCCCAAAACGAATCAAACTTACCGATTGGTGCACTCTCAAAATCGGCGAGAATTCGCGAATCGACGTGCTCAACTTGAGAAAATCCAACGCTTCGTCATTGCCCAAAATCTCGCTCGCCTTCGCAATTCCGTACTCGTATTTCTGACGTTGACTCCCTATTCAAAGAAAATCCATTAATTAAGCGACAAAATAAATAAAACAAGCAAGATTTAAAAAAAAATAAAGAAATAATCTCTTTTTACCAGCATTTTTTCTTTATTTATTAAGAAAATATATAGTCAACGGCCGGCGATTGTTGTAGATTTACGAGGTGCGCCTTTCGAAATGGGTCTCGCCACGTATGAGTGCTTATTTTCAAATTTCCACGAGAACAATTTACGGTGTCTTGATAAAATTGGAATTTCCTTTCAAACGTCATTCAAATGAACGATTATCGAATCGCCTTGTAAAATGCATTCCGCGTGAGACCCCCGCATCGCCGTAAATCTACCCACGTACAGCAGTCGTCGGACGCCGATTATATGAAACGATCCATACATTTGAGAAAATCCCGGTCGCCTAGCGATTTTGCGAATTTCCAAAATTGATCTTCACCATGTTGCGCGATCGCCTCACTGAAACAATAGAAAATCGAAAAAATCAGTAATTTGAAAAAAAAAACAGCAATACCCGATTTCTCCAATTATCGCGGTTTCCGTCCATGTCGCCTTCAGCCGAACGTTGACACTGGCCTGAACAGACCCAAGAATGGCTAGAAACAGCAGAAATCGCATAAAACCTGCAAAAAATCATTGGTTTGAAAAGAAATGGCAAAAAAAAGCGAAAATGACACGATATTGTGAAGAAAACAAAATTTTGAATGAAAAATTAAGAAAAAAATGTGTTTCATTTCAAGAGTGCCCATTTTGCGCCCAATATTCTTCATGCATCCTCAAAACCCATTCATCATTTCTCGCCTAAAAAATATGGGAAATTATTATTGTTTTTTCCTATAACTCTCAATATTCTCACATTTTCAATGCTTATTCATTGGGTCGGCTCGAAAACGAGAAGGCGCTTGATCAGACTCCGCGCGCCGTTCGTAACCACATCAGGAAGCTTATAATTGATCTGCAAAACAAAAGAAACGTGCCAAAACGATCTATTGCGCACAAAATGTCAAACTTTTTCGATGTTCTTCGTCGTTTCTTTCGGATCGTCGCAAGAAAACGGTGGAACGCCGACCATGAGCTCGTAGCAGAGCACACCAATCGCCCAAGCATCGATCGACATCGAGTGGTCTCGTCCAAGAACAATTTCCGGCGCCAGATAGTCTAATGTTCCGCAGAGGGTGGTCCTTCTAAAAGAGTGGTTCATTAGTATGCTCGAGTTTCTTGTTTAAAGGCGCATTCTCTTTTTTTTTGTTACCTATCCGACGGCGTATGGACACTCCAGCCAAAATCCGCAATTTTGAGTTCCATGTTGATTCCGAGCAGCAGATTCTCGGGCTTAATGTCGCGATGGATCACATTCTTCCGATGGCAGTAGCTGAGAGCGTCGCAAATCTCGAAAATGAACTGGAAAAGGTACAAGTCATTTTTTCGTGAAAATTCACTTCTTTTTTGTCAAATTGCCCACTTTTCCGACCATCACTTCGCCAAATCTGCCATCAATCTGACTGTGCATCATTTTGTAGAGTTCGCCTCTCGGCGCGTATTCCAACACCAAAAAGATTCGACGCTCATCCCAGAAATATGTGTAAAGTTGCAAAATGTTGCGATGGCGTAGATGCGTCTGAATCTCGATCTCGCGCTCGAGTAAATACGCCGATTCTTTTGCGACAAGACTCTTTTTGGAGATGACCTTGACGAAACCAATTTTTAGTAGGCGAACGACACAACTCTGCTAACTCAATACCAATCGTATTCTACAAAATTCGGCTCTGGAATTAACCTTATCCGATTGGTAATTCTACGAATAAAATTGGAAAATTGTCGAATCCGATTTGTTTTTTGGGTATTTTCAAATACGATTGGTAATTATTCGAATCCGTTTTGTTTTAATATTTCAATTCGAATCGGATTCGACGAATAACCAATCTTATCCGTAGAATTACCAATCGAATCCGGCAAAATACCAATCGTATTCGAAAATACCCAAAAAACGAATCAGATTCGACAATTTTCCAATCTTATTCGTAGAAATACCAATCGGATAAGGTTAATTTCAGAGCCGAATTTTGTCGAATCCGATTGGGTTTGAGTTACCAGAGCACACAAATTTTCAAAAAAACCTTCAACGCAACGTGGAAATGGCCATATTTGGTTCGCGCGAGGTAGACCCTTCCGAAACCGCCGCGTCCCAGCGGTCTACCAACCTCAAAATCGTTGAGATCAAGCCTTCTGAATGAAAGCGATTGGCCAGAATCTATGCGAATTGAACGCATACCCTCCTCGAGAAGGCCCATCCTCAGAAAAGCTTCTGAGATCAAAAATTTTTTTTTTTGAAAATTGCAACTTTCAGACGAAATGTTACCTGCAATCGTCTTCCTCGTCCTCGATTTCCACAATCGAGTCATTGCAAAACAAAAAATTATAGCAATTCCGCACACCACCCCCGTTTCAAATCTCCACCACTATCACACCATAGCAATAGTCCGTCTCGCTTCAGCCCCCAGTAAAGGCTAGAAGAACAATGCAATTTGGTAAAAAAAAAATCAATTCGAAACACTTATTGCGCAAAAAGTGGTATACTCTAAAAATCGGTGCGCGTCGAAAACACGAACCCGGAATCGGAAGGCGGCATCATCATCGTCGCATTTTCGATATTGTTGCAAATCGTCGAGTCTCTAAACAGAAAAAAACTATCACATTTCAAACGAGACTCGCGGAGCCAATCAAATTAACCCAGAATCAGAGAGATATATCGTCTTGTTGGGATCTGTCGGTGAAACATGACCGATTATTATAACGCTGTCGTCTTGAGAAGCAGAAGGGCTGGAAAAATAAAAATCTATTCGAAAATGTTGCAAATTTCCTACCATTCTTGAGGCTCTGTTATGACGATAACGCTGTCGTCAGGAGTCGAAGCTCTTTAAAATGAAATAATTGGCAAATGGTTTCAACAAATGTGTTTTGTCGCGCCATTCGCAAAGCGAAACCAACAACTGTGTGTACTTTGATTTTTGACAAATACTAGATGACACGTTTGGCTCAATTGTTGTAGGGCAGGTGGTCAATTTTTCATCGCAAGACATCCTGCAAGAAAAAGCAACAAGTGTGATTTTATTTTAGCGAGAATTTCCACACAAACTTTATTGAATTTTCCTTCATGACACTGCTTTCACCTCTGAATAATTTCAGTTTTCTTTTCTCATACTGTGGATGTCGTGTGACTGCCAAAAATTGTCTTCGACACAATTTCGTCAAGACTTCTTCTACAGGTTTTCTTGGAAAAATTCCCAATTTTCCGCAATCACCGACAATTTATCTCGATTTACATTTCCTGCGTGCTTAACTCTTTAAATGAATTTCGCGAAATCGAGTTTGCTGTAAATAAGCTTTCCGTTTCCTTGCAGCTAGCAGCATTTATTTCCGCTTCATTTTTTCTAAATGATTTAAATAGCAAGCAAAAAATGGGCACTTCTCAGGGATTCAATAGGGACGAACAGATGACAATCGGTGGTATTATGTAATTGGTATAAGCAGAGAGAAGCATTCACTAATAAATTGGAGTGTCGTACTGGTAGGGTTTAAAAAGTTGTGGGGCAAACCGCGAAAGTTTTCGGGAACTCCAATGTTTAAACTAAAAACCAATCGCGGTTCGTCCTTTTCGAATCGCTGAGTTATATTTATTTGACATACTCTTCACCTAATTGTCCGTATAATGCTCTCTTCGGAACGTGTCGTCGAAACGATTTCTAAAACTTTGTAAACAAACAAAAACAAACAACTACAAATTTCATTTTTTGACACCAATTGTAAACATCGCAAAAAAACGCGGGCAAAACACACAAAAATAAAAGCGGCACAAAAAAGTGCGTGTGAACACCGTGACGCAAACCTGCACCGTTTTTCCCAATTTTCTTCCAAAACACATTCTGATGGCCGAATTTCTAGACAATTCTAGATTCTAACGAGTTGCCGACGTCAATGAAACATTCTAGGCAACGTTGCTTAACATAAATCAATTGGAAAAAATAAAGAAAAAAGGGTCACGTAACAATTTTTATTTTCAACAAATCAATTATTTCGAAGCCACCCTTTCGCAATATTCGAATATTTTTCAAAAACCATCGGATCAATCGTCTTCCCCTTTCGACAAACATAGACATAAAAATGAAACGTTTCTCCAAATTCGATAACCTCAACGGACCATCCATTCGATCGCATGAGGGCTGGAACCCGGAAATGGGGTTGGGTGAACGAAACTGAGATGAAAATTCCTGGAAATATAAAATAATGGTGAATTTATGGAAATTAACAAAGAAAAGGATACCATTCTTCTTTAAAATGCGCTGAATCGCTGAAAATATGCTATCTAGTGTGTTAAGAGCTTCATCGGAAGGGTCCCAAGGGCTCTGAAGCTCAAAAATTGTCGTCCAATTTTATTATTTATCAAAATTAATTTTGTTTACCGTTTCCAGAACCAATAAAGCTTCAATTGTAGCTTTTTCGAAGACCACATCAAAACTATTCGACGGACAATTTGCTAAACTCGTAATATCGTCAACTATCCATTCCATATATGGATGGGCCCTCTTTCCATTCTCTACGAGAACCTAGCAATTTAAAATTTGATTTTTTTGAAAGTATTTTTTTAAATTTACCTCAGAGTAATCGATATTCGTGATATTCTGATATCCTAGATCAAATAATTCCTTTGAAACTTGACTTGAACCGCAGCCAATATGAGCAATTCTAAAAAAAAAGATTAAAAGATCGATTTTTTTAAAATTCATTTTTCCTTAAAAACTAAAGTAGTTGGTTTTATAAAGAATCTTTCAATGTTTTGAGTATCAGTCATCGCGAGACCCAACTGCATGCGCCTTTAAAATTGCTCTATTTAAAAATTTAATATTGAAAATTAGATGAAAAAACTGTTGAAAACAATTTTGAAAATTTTGAAGAATAATTTTGTCGGTACTATTTTAAATTCCCCGCCTCCCATTTCGATTTTCGCTTCGAGACCCACTTGTCGTTTTTCCCAATAAGCGGTTTGACGATGTGCTCAAACGCCTTCAACCCAGTCAACCATTCAAATTCATCTTCTTCTCGGAATCTCTCATCCCAATATTCTTTTTTTCTATACTGTCCATTCGATTCCATCTAGAAGCTTCGATTCTTATTTGTCTTCCATAAAAGACATCACAACAAAATATTGGCAAATAAAACCATTTCATTAATTAAATATTTCTCGAGTTAAACAATTTCCGGAACAATGTTATTATTTGCTAAGCTTATATGAGATAACATCCAAGAAAAGAAAAAATCGGAAAAAAACGGAAGAAAAAACGAAGAAGACAAATCAGCATAAGACAGATATAAATTAAAAGAAGGATAACGAGAAAAAAAAAGGGGAAAATGAATTATAAAAAGTAATAAGAATATTAAATATTAAAAGCATTAAAACGAGAATAGCGACAAAACAAGGAACAAATCGACGGGGGGTTGTGTCTTCCTAATTCTCTCTCTCGATGAGATTTGATTTCACACTAATGCAAAAAAAGAACGAAAATAAAAATAATAATAGTGGTTCACAATAAATATGGGAAAAGCGTTCCGCCACATTGAGGGGAAGTTTATTTAACAAAAATTCGCGTATTCCGACGTTTAGTATGGAGCGAATCCAGGTCTTCTTCTGGAAAAAAAGAGTTATAAATTTAAATAAAACAAAAATAGCAACTAACCTAATTCCACGTCCTCTAGTTGGACGGAATCCACCAGTGTAGACATATTTGATAACGACACCTCCGCGTCCCCTGCCACGTCCACGGAATGGCGGCCGATTCGTTGTTGAGATTCCTGGCTTGTTCGTTCTTTTTGGCTCCACCTGAAAACGCGAAAAACTCCAATCAATTTATTATGCTTCAAAATTCAAACCTTAATCGTTCTACCGCGAAGCAAGCTGTCTGTCATGGCAAGAGCGTTCTTCATTCCATCCTTCTCGGTGAACTCAACATAGGCGAAGCCTTTTGGATGGCCGCTGTACTTGTCGCAGAGTATTGTGACACGAGCCACCGAGCCACATCCGTGGAAATGCTGCTCGATATCCTCCGCCGTCGCGCCATAATCAACGTTTCCCACGTACACTGACTTCGAGTCGACTTCAGCCTTCTCCTCAGCCGACAACACTGTTGTTGAGCTGTTGCTTCCTTGTGTAAGGTTCATTTGTCCCTGAAATCGATAAATTTTTAGATTTGTACAAGAAAATTAAATTGAGAAAAACTTACCACAAGTTCACTTTGGATCGCCTTCAATTTGCGCTGCTCCTCTTCGATCTCGGCCATCTCGCCTTCAATTGCTGAAAGATCAGTGTCATCTTCAGTCATTTCCTCGTTGTTGAGAAGATCGTCTTCGGTGATCTGTGTTTCGCTCATGGTGATCTGGAAACAAAAGACGAAAATGAGGGGAATTAAAGGAAACGGCAAAAGCAAATGTAAGGATTGCGTAAAAATCATGAGAAATGGACGTTGAGCTCGGTATTTATGCAAGACGCGAATGTGACAAAAATAGGCGGTTCGATCGACGGATGCGCACCGATCCGCCCATATATAGCACATGCCACGTGAAGGTAATGTGCCAAAGATAGCACTTCCGAGTTTGAAGCGACAACTGTCAGTGCCATCTTCGCACATTTAGATCGATTTATTGATGATGCCGACAAAAATGGCCATCGTTGATGGGAATGGGGAAGTTTTCGAATGACATTGTTGCATGTGGTGCCAAATTTAGCACAATAATGATGAGATTGTGCGACGTGCAATAAAATATCACACGCACGGGTGAGGTGTTAAACCACGACGAGGATAAAAAAGAAAGTTCAAATGCACTCTGACCTAATTTCGACGATATTACCAAAAATATGGAAAATCGATAGAAGCGCTCAATTGGCTATAAAAACCACGCAGAATTTCGAAATTAAATGCACGCCTATAAGGTTGAATCAATCATTTCCTAAAAGAAATTTTAAGCGCGACAACGTTCAATGTTTAATGATGCTCTTGGGTTTATTGGCGTCTTATCAATCAAAAATTGATAAAAATCACGAAAAACCGGCGAAAAAACGGAACGGAACGCGAAAATCGTTGGAGAGTTTCGAATTTTGGCTTCGGAGGCAGTAAAGAACGACGAGAGAGTATGGAATGCGCAGAGACGCCAGAGTTTCATATTCACGCCGAGACCGATGCAAGCGTGTCGCAATGGAGCGCGTTTGCAGCGCGCCCCCGAAATGCGATTCAGTAATTTTCAAATTTTTTCTCCTCATTTTTCCCAATTGTATCATTTTTCAAGGAAATATAATTTTGAATTTTTTTGCGCATTATATCGATCACAAAGACCTTGAAATTTCAGTGAAATGCCGCCAAGATCTACGAGACGGTTGCGGGGTAGAAAGAAGGAGGATTCTGGGACACCGGATGTTACCAAAACCCCAGAGGATAATGAGGAGAAGGTGGATGAAGGGAAATCGTCTGGGCGAAATACGAAATCGCGCGAAGTCAGCGAGGATAAGTCCTCTTCCAAAAGCGGCACGAAGTCGGAGGAGTCTAGCAGCGATGATGACGATACTCCAGCGGTATTAATAGCAAATTAAACATGAAATATATAATTTTTTGAGTTTTCAGGTGCCTTTAATGGTTCACGAACGCGTAAAACGATCAACAGCAGGAAATAAAATGGCCTCTCTGCTTTCATCGGCAGAGCAAGAGGACGATTTTTATAAAACCGCTTATGGGGGTTTTGACGAGAGCACTGAAGGCGATAAAGAGTTCACGTCTCCTGTGCATTCCGATGAAGATGAAGTAGACTCGGATTTCGACAAACCGGAGGAAGAAGATGAGCCGGTTAGCGGCGAGGAGGAAGACCCGGACAAGAAGAGGAGGAAACGCAAATTTAAGGTGAATTCGATATGAAATCTCGCGAAAAATGACTATTTTCAGGAGCCTCGACGGGGTTTAAGCGCCGACGAAATCGCGAAAAACAAAAAATGGGCGATGGCGAGGCTCGCCGGCAATTCGGTGGCGGCGAATACCGTCGATGAGAAGACACAAGCGAAAATGTTGAAAGAAGCTGAAGAAACCGAGCGGATTAATGTCGAATCACTGAAAAAGTTCGGATTTTTTTTTAAATTCTCATTTTACTTGTCGAAAATTTTCCAGATACGAGGAGTTCGAGCTCGAGAAGAAGAAGAAGCGCGAAAAGGCGACGGTGCGCGTTTTCCCGCCGGGACCCCGCGAGCAAATCAAGATGACTGCTGATGGCACCACGGTGACGTTGCCCGCGATTAAGGTAAGAACATCTGGAGCCCTATTATAAAGAATTTCTGAGAGGGCTTTTGTTTATAATTTGAAGCTTCTTCATTCTTTGCCAAAAAGAAAGTGATGTCACCCCCTTTATTATATAACAAACAATACGAATCATCAACATTTCATATTTTTTCCGGTAACAAATGTTCTATTATAATATAATATACGATTTTTTCGAGTTGCCGCAAATATCAAATGTTTTTCCGCGAAATTCAACATTTCGAAATTCCTCAAAAATATTAAGATTTCCACCTTGGTTCTCACATGGAAAATTATTTTGACGAATATTGGGATTTTTTCTAAATACTTAGAAAAAAGCACATGTTTGGTGCCTTGAAAAAGTCCCAACACATTGAGAATTTTTTTACTGGACCAATTGCGAGTTCGGCTGCGAAATTCAAAATTCCTGAAACAGTTCTTGTATGTCAGGTATTTTCAGTCTTAAAAATTTAATTTTTAAAAGTTAATTCCTAAATTTTTGAAAAGCCAGCACACAAACAAATAATTTTCTCTATTCTCACTATGTTGCTTGTTTTACGAAATTTTTTTCGTTTAATTTTTTTGCGTTCAATAATCGAATTATTAGTACTTTGATATTGTCGACGAAGTCGTGCGAATGCAAAAAATTGGCTAAAAACAATGACAGTGGTCTTGGCTCAAATCTAAGTGTAGATTTATGGGCTTAAGTCGTGCGCTCTTAATTTTTTTTGGCATTTAGCCAATTTCTTGCAATCGCGCGACGTCGACAATATTTATTTAATGAAATTATGACACGCAAGAGTCTCCTTCCACTTTCCCCACCGTTTGGCTTCACCCCTTTTTTGATGTTTTGAATTGAATGACGAAGAAGAAAAAGAAGAGAAACCAAATACGTCGGCCATCGTCTCACTCACCCGTGTTGCTATGGTGATTTGTTTATGCGAGACCACCTCGCCTCCACGCTCCCAACTAAACCATGATCCGTTTTCAGTTATTATTAAAAGAGAGAGAGAGAGAGAATATGGGAAAGTGGAGATTGGGCAAATTTTCTCAGTGCTCTCCCTTTTTTGGCTTCGTTTTCGTCGGATTTTATGGGTTTTGAAGCATTGGAGGAGCTCCTCCTCCTCTCCCTCCCCCGGCCTTTGCATTTTCTTGCCATTTTTGCTCAATCTTCGCGGCTCTCCGAGTGTGCTCTCTCGATGCCTCTTACCTCTTTTCCGTGTGGTTTCAAGCTGGTGCCTGCTTGTCGGTGAAGCTACTGCAGCGGCTAGCTACTAGAGCTTCTTCTTCTTCTTCTTCGTCTTCCATCTCGCGCTATGGGAGTGTGTGAGAGAGAGAGTGAGTCTTTTTGCTGAGAGCTTCACCAATATTTTGTCGAGTTTCTCTCTTCTCGTTCTTCAGCTTCTTCTTCTTCTTCTTCTTCTTCTTCTTCTTCTTCCTGATGGCTGCTGCTGTTGGTGCACAACTCTTTGCCCGCCTAACCATAATCTTCTCCAATATTGTCGCGCATTTTTTTTTTCGCAGTTGGAGTTACTCCAGCTCCATGCATTTTTTTGTGTCAGTTTTGCGAAAAAAAAGGTTTGAAAATTTTCCCACCCAAATTTGGATTTTCATCGAAATTGATTTTTTTTACAAAGCTTCTGACAAGAGAAGAAGAACAATTTCTTCTACTTGTTCGATCATCGTTCCGTCGTTTATTTTTTTCTTCTTCTTCTTCTTCTTCGTCGCATCTTGTTCATCTTTTGAGAACCGCACGAGAAAAAAAAAACCGCGAGGAGGAGATGAAGAAGACGCGGGAGGAGGGGAAGGGAGGAGACAACACAAAAAGAAAACGTCAAAAGTTTTTTTTTTGGTGTGAAATTTGTCGAAAAGCAAATAATTGCCCGGTGCTCTTTCTCTCTCTCTCTCCCTCTCTCTCTCTCTCTTTCTGTCTTTCCATCGATGCTCACAAATGCGCTCCGAAGCTCATTTACCATTACTACTACTCAAATAGTCGTCATTTTTTGTTTAAATTTGGCTTATGCGCTTCTCGCGGTTGGAATGTTGCGTTTGCCTCGTCGTTTCCTGCACATTCGATTTTTTTTGGGTGGAATTTTGATGGGATTATGCATTTTTGAGATGTTTTCGGGTCCCTCTTCCTCTCCTTCTCACCATTATTGTTGTGTTCCTTATTTAGAATTCCGTCATTGTTTGTCTCTCTTTCTCTCTTTCTCTCTCAATTTTTTTCTGATGATCGTTGACGATTGGTTGTCAATTCCAATCGGAAACGTTGTCAAACTTGGTAATTGGGCCGTTTCGGAGGGCCTCGACAATTTTTGAGTAGTGGAACTGGTTTCGAATGACCTTCCAATCTATAGACAACCTATAATTGTTGAAAATGCGAGATCCTCTCGTGCTCTCTCTCTCATCATTCATTTCAAAACGATGGTGTCGTCGCTAAAAATAAAATTACCGATTCTGAGCTTGTGAGCGTCTGCCCGACGATTGTTTTGGCCAGAAAATTGGCATCGATCAACAATTTTTTGATCTTTTCCTCAAAAATGTTGCGACCTTGAAATCGAATTTGAAGGCAAAAATCGTCGTGATGATTCGCTTTTTGTCGTCGCCAACCCCCCCCCCCACCTTCCCATTATTCGGTCTTGTTGTTGTTGTACAGAAAAAGGCCTGCTAATGATCATTTCTTGACCGGTCAATCGATATCAGTGAGCGCGAGTCGCCCCCCCCCACCATCCAAACGGCTGGGGCCACTGCGGGCATTTTTCGCGCATTCAATGTGTTGTTGTTGTCGTTGGCTTCTTCTTCTTCTTGTTCTCGTTCTTGCGCTGCCTGCTGCCGCGTTGCTCTCGCTCGCTCCGCTTGCGCGGACCCTGACATTACTATTTCATCGTGTTGGTAGACAAGACGCCCGAATGGTGTGTCTCGCACCAGCCGCCAAAAACTCCAATCCTCTGCTTCTCTTTCCGCTATATGTATATATAATTTTTTTTCGAGTGTCGCGCATTCCCCTTTTCTTTCTTTCTTTCGTTTTTTGTCTTCTACTCTCGCGCTCTCCTCATTGCGCGCCACACCAATTTCCATTGCGTCTCCCATCTCCAAAAATAGGAGGACCCTCCTCGTCGTAATTCGGTTTTGTTGTTGTTGTTGTTGTTGTTGGCAGGGCAGAGGACGAGAAAAAAAAATTGAAATTTTTCCAGAAATTCGAATGTTGCCGCGCGAAGCCGAGAAGTGTGTGCGCGGTGACCGGCCGACCGGCGCGCTACTTTGATCCGGTCACTCGCCTACCGTACTCGACGCCGTATGCGTTTAAGGTGATTCGCGACAAGTACAACAAGTATTTGAGGACGATTGAAGGCAATCCCGAGGTTTGTGACTAATTTGTTTTGTTTTTGAATTTCGCGCGCCACATACCGGGCGCGTAAAGCTGGAGCATCGTTGAGTTTGGCGTCTTATCATTTCCGGGGCGAAGGTTGATGTTCCTCCACTTCTCCTCCCCTCTTTCCCCCCCAACCATATTGCCTTATCAGATTGGAAATATTGATAATGTTTTGCAGGTTGATGCTTATTTGGCGCGCCTCAAACAATTGCCGACGCCTCCTGACTCGCCGGTGCCGATTGCGCTGAATCCGACGTCGATGGTGGCGGAATCTTCGATCTCCGCGTAATTTTGTACTCGGACGAGTTGCCACAATATATATATATATATATAAATATATATATATTAAATGTTTGTTCTTGTACATATCGCGTCGGTAGGTCGAAGCCCGCCCGTCGCCGCCGTCATCGTCTCCCGCTTTTAATTGCGTTTCATTTTGTTTGTAATTCTCAACCAAACATTGATATACGCTTCTTTCTGTCTTTATAATCTCTCACTTTCATTTTTTTGTTGAAAATTTCTCCAATTTTTATTATATGGGTATAAATTATCGATTTATTTCCATTTTTTGCAATATTCTCTCATTGCCAATTGGTCAATTAACGCCAATTTGAATTATCTCTCGTGTTTGTTTTTCGTTATCGTTTCGCCGTCGCATTTTTATTGATAATTTATCTAATTCTTCTTTCAGTTCTGGGCTTACTTGTTGAATAGATTGGTGTTTGGACGCGTAGAACTGAAACAGACAGGTTGGCGACGCGATTTGCTTCTGTCGAATTTATTGTTTTCCTTTTTGTTGTTGTTTACAGGTATACAAAAGAATGGCTGCGAAGGGCGATGAGAGCGCGACGCTGATGAACGGCGTCGAGAATGTTCGACTGAATCGGAACGAGGACGAGGAGACGTTCAAACAGTTTTTGTACAATCCGAAAAACAAGACAGTGCTGGGAAGAACCGGAAAATCGTGGTGCCAGGTGAGACGAGCCGCCGTCATTGCCTCAGAATTGTCGTTTTTTTTTTTAAAGATCACCGTCTTCTACATCATCTTCTACGCGCTTCTCGCCGCTTTCTGGCTCGCGTGTCTCACAACGTTTCTGAAGACGTTGGATCCGAAAGTGCCGAGATTCTACGGCAAAGGCACGATTATCGGTGTGAATCCGGGTGTCGGATATCAGCCGTGGCTCAAGGAGAATCCGGACTCGACGCTGATCCAGTTCAATCTTCAGGATCCGGCGTCTTGGAAGCCATATGTCGATCAACTCGACAACTATATGGGCAAATATAGTAGTAATGTGAGTGAGACGCGCGAGTGCGGACCGAACGACACCAACGATGTTCTCGAAAAGGATGGGGTAAGCTGATGAACCACGCTGGGGAGTGAATCTGAACGTTTCGATGAGTTTCAGGATGCGCTTCCATGCCGCTTCGACGTCTCCCAGTTCGACAAGGGTTGCAGCGCGAAGACCGGATATGGCTATCAGCGAGGAGCCCCGTGTGTCGTCATCTCGCTGAACCGATTGATTGGATGGCGCCCGGTGGACTATCCGGCCGAATCGATTCCCGAGGAGGTTAAGGATCGGTATAAGAAGGGTTCGATTGCGATCAATTGCCGTGGAGTGAACCCAGTTGATGTGGTATGTCGCCGCAAAGACCTTATAAGGAAGTTTTTGATATGCGTTTTGTTTTAGGAGCATATTGGAAAGGTTACCTACTTGCCGCCAAGTGGAATTGATGGACGCTATTATCCCTATGTGTTTGTGCCGGTAGGAGAATGCTTTAACTATATGAAGCATAATTAACTTTTGTGCGAATTTTGTAGTCGTACCAGCAGCCGATTGCGATGGTGAAGTTTGAATCGATTCCACGCAACAAACTCGTCTTGATCGAATGCCGAGCCTACGCGCTGAACATTGAGCACGACATCAGCACCCGATTGGGAATGGTCCATTTTGAGGTGATGGTTGAGGATAAGAAGAAGCAGGAGAAGAAGGAGTTGTAATAGGATTATTATGTTATATATATTTTTTTGCGACCCTTGACGAATATTTTTGTTTTCTTTTTGAGACGTAGAAAACATTTTTAGAATGTTGGAATTTTGCTCATAGATTGAAAAGTGTTTCTTTATTGTTTTCTTTTTTTTGCGTTTTTCCTTATCTCTCTATTTTTTTGATTATTCCAGCCCTGTTCATTCATTATCTCAATTATCAGCAGCTGCAGCATTTTTGTCCCCCTCCCGAATCTACTGAATTTGTTATGGTCCGACACTGCCCCCCCTCCCCGCGCCTCGAAATTTTCCATTGAGCTGAAATTCATTGGCCCTTATGTTCCCCGCAAACTGGCTTCGTTCCCTTTCCCTTTGAATTTTTGATCTTCTTTTCTTTTTTTCCCCTAATTTTTATAGCTTATATCTCAATTTTTTGGTTGAATCTTATCGATTCTCGGTTTTTTTAGACGCCACTAATCGATTTATGTCCGATTATTAGTTTTTTTTGGTCCCGATTTTTCCAAAAATTTGCCTTTTTTTGATTTTTTTTTATCGAATATAATAAATACTAAAACGATAGAGACATTTGTGACCTCGCCCCATCTCGCGGCACCTTCTCACCATTTTCCGGCATAGTTTAGAATATATGTGGTTTTATATCATATTGAATACTTTGACAGCGAGACAACAACTGACGGGGATTGATTTATTGCCATGTGATTGACTATTTTCGCGTTTTGTTCGATTTGATTTATATCATATAATTGGCATAGTTAAGAAATTTAATTTTTTTTGTTGGCAAATTGCATTTCTTAACGATTTCCGCTTCATGTTTATCATATAATTAGCATAGATAAGAAAAATATTGATTTGAGAGCAATTTATAGCGTATAGCTAGTATAAGATTTTTTCGAATTCTCTTGAAAATTTCCTATTTTTTCGCATATATATTTTGTATAGTTAGCATAGTTAAAATTAAAATTATTATTTTGTCAGGTTTTCGTTGGAAAAATAGAATTGGATATCGCTTTTAAAATTATTTATATCGTATCTGAGAGAAAAGTGCAAATTGGAATGTGGCTGGGCTATATTTCCAAGAAAGGGCGTGCGTAAATTGAATTGTTGAAATGGAATTTGAAGGCCGACATTCGTTTTGAGCGAGTCTAAAAGCAATTTTTTAAAAGCACCAGATTTCAGCCCGTTTTTTTTTGAATTTTTCACGAAAAAATCTTTAAAATTGATGAAAAATGCCGAAATTTTGACATTTTTTTTTTAGAATTCCCAAATTTGGATGGAATTTTACCTATTTTTATTAAAAATAGCTTGCAAGTTTGACGAATTCTTTAAAAAATGAAATTTTGCGAAAATGTCCCGATTTCGAACGAATATCACAAGTTTTGGTTGGAAATTTCCAAATTTGTGATGATTTTTGAAATTTTGAAAATTAGAAAGTCAATTTTTCCATTTTTTTAAATTTTTTTTGCCAAAAAGAACCTCGAGTTTAGTGTTTTTAAAGAAAACAATTGCAAATTGTCGATTTTTTATAAAAATTTTCCCATTTGGACAAAATATCGCAATTTTCCGTCAAGAAATAGCGAATTTGTTAATTTTTCTGAAAAAAAAAAATGCCAATTTTCCCAATAGCACGCAAAATTTGAATTTTTCCTATGAAATTATCTAAATATGAATTGAAAATGGCATTTTTTTTTTTCAATTCCCAATTTTTTATCTAAAAAATCTCAAAAATATCAATTTTCCTGCTTTAAAACACTGAAAAAATGCTAAAAATCGGAAATTTGCGAGCGAAAAAAGCGAAAATGGGCTTCGTTTAAAATGAATAGACAAAAAATGGCCATTTTTGGCCGAAATCGAATTTTTTTGTTGGCGGATATCCACCCTTTTGTCCTCTTTTTTCTTCGCCCTGCTCCTTCTAACTGATGTCGTCCGACCAATCGGACCCCCCCCCCCAACCAGTCCGTTGCATTTATTTGGTGAGCACTGGCAGCAGATGTCGTTCGTTGTGCGATATCGACGGCTCAACATTGTCATGCGCCTTTAATTGGTCCTCCTCCCAAAACCCCCGTTATTTTAGTTGGTTGCCATCGATTTTTTTTCTTTGGCGAAATACATTTTTCTTTGGATTTTTAAAAGCCAAATTGATATTTTTCGTATTAACTTGATTTTCTTTTTTTCTTTAAATGCAGAAAAAACTTAATTTTTCCCGTTTTGTGCGTCGAAGCATCGAAAAACGAAATTTGTCAAAAATCTGCTGATTATCGATTTTTAGAATTTTTTTTTGTGAATGGAGTTTTAAAAGAAAATCGAGCAATTTTTGCCGAAAATCAATATTTTTGTTTATTTTTAAAAAGCACACTACGAATTTTTGGTTTTCTTAAAGAAAAATATGCATTTGTTGTTTATTTTCAATAAAATGCTCACAAGGGAGGTCATTTTGCTGTCCGTCTTAAAATTTTTTTATTTTTTGCATACAGATTCTTTAGAAAATTTCCAATCGAATGAACTAGGTCGCTACCTGCGCAAACTTCTAGTTATCGAGATATGGACCTTCAAAGTTTTAGCCCCTCCCCACGTGAATTTTGCATACAAATGTACGGAAACTCGAAATGAAATAACGTGATGTCTTATCTCGCGCTTATATCCTGTTTCGGCAACACAGGCAAAACGCGACGGATGAAATCCGGGCGAATCACGGTCCGTTATTGACCGTTCCAGCGTGTCGCTGACGTACCGGACACGGACGTCTTAGCGTATCCGGGAACGGACCGTGATTCGCCCGGTGGCGTTTTTCACATGCTTTTTTTTCTTCCGTTCGTATAATAATCAAAATTAAAATTGAAATCATATAGACAGCATTATTATAAAAGTTTTATTTAAGAAAAATCGAAAAAAAAATTATTTACGAATCGCAATCGCTATATTCGTTTTGAATTTAATCGTATTCGATTGTAAAATGATTAATTCGTATTCGATACGAAAGAGTCAATTTTTTGTTTCACAATCAAATACATTAAAATTCGAAATGAATACACCGAGTTTCGCACCAAATACGAGTACATTCGGGTTTTTCCAAAGAGTAATCGAGTACCACAAATTTCAAACTTAATTTTCGATCAAGTTTGTATCCGAAATTTGTTGTATTCGATTCGAATCGAATTACTAGAACAAAAATAATTCTAAAAACAAAAAAAAATATTTGCACATTCCATTTGCACACGCGTGTTCTACCTGGATTGGAACATTTCCATTAACTCTTCGATTTTGGCGGTTTTTCCGCGTCGTTTATCATCGCTGAAACACAGTATATAGCATATATATAACATTCGCGTTGCTCACTTACATGAAGTTTCTTGTCATTTCTCGTATATGAGAAACGACGACGGTTTCTTCCCACCCTTCACTTTTTATATCGAAGCCTCGGTGTAATATTTCTGAAAAAAAGCATAGTTTTTACCATTCAATTTCTCATTGGCCAATATGGACTAGGCGCAAGTTTTTAGCCGGTCAATGTTACTTCAAATCTACTTACTTCCAAGAATTTCGAAGAACTTGTCCGGTATTTTGGGATATTTCGTTCGTTTCGTTGACGAAGCGGCCGAATAAATTACAAAGCCTTTTGAGCCTTTTGCATCTCGCCTGTTGGTATGTCTCTCCATTCAGATTGTGATGCTTGTTTGTCCCATTTTTTATTTCGCTTCTTATCCGATGAATATCTGTCCAGTACTCCTCCACTATCTCCGAGAGTTGCTGAATTCCTCCAATTCTAACATATTTAATTATAGTTCCACAACTGAAAACCCAAACAATAGATAAAAAGTGCCCAACGTCTATACCATTTTGCGAACATATTATTTGTTTCTTTCCCACAACTATTGCACACATAGTGCGCGTTATAAATAGTCATATTGTTCTTCCATAGCTGGAAGCTTTGCCGACGGAATGTTAAATCTTTATGAGAAGAAAGGAATCTCTTGAAATCTGTAATTGCCTCTTTACTTCTTCGTAATTTTTTCCTATTTACCCGCATCGGTACTTCGAGCTATGCACGCTGAAGTTACGAATGTCAAAACTTCGTCCGACACATTCGCTAAATACTGCGCCAAGTCTATTCGAAAATGGCGATTAGTATTAAGACAAATTACCTACCGCTGTGGGGACAATCTTCTGAAGATTTCTCATCGTTTTCCTCAACATCGTTTTCCTCAACATCGTTTTCCTCAACTTCGTCACAATTCACATCCCATTGAAACATTTCTTCCTCTTCATCGATGTCTATATTGAGCGACTCAGAAAGTTGAACATCAATCGGTTCAGATAAGTTTTCTTCACTTGAAGAAGATACTTCTCTTGATCCTATTGTAGTAAAAAGAGAGTATAGCAAATAGTTATGCAATTTTAACATACTTTTTGTTGGTAAAGATGGTAGAAATCTTCGATATGACCGTCCCATGACTGAAATCGTAGTCTTTATCAAAACTTGAACGAAAATTGGGAAATTTTTGTATTTATTTAAATGACCTAATGACCCATTTACAATCTGAAAAAACAATTTCAAAGGAACACTATTCATTTTTCAACTACAATGGAATAAAACAGTAACTTTTCCAAATAATGATACGGTATTGGAACCGTTAAACAAGTCGAGTAAACCTCAAACTTGGGTAATTAAACCTTCATTATTGAACGAAAACGAACAAAATGTTAACAAAGCGATACAAACTAATAACAAACTTGATGATACTAAATATGGTGGATGGTGGGCTTGGGAAACAACTTAATAAACTGAAATAATACGACTAAAAGCATAAGTAATTGACTAAATCGGTGTTTACGATTGGGGACTTGCATTTAAATAAAGGTGAACTTCGGCCGCGGCCCTCTTTTTGCTGGACATTGCCCGATGGCATGATGGCGTGCGTCTCTTCATTTCGCACTCTCTCTCTCGCCCACCGCCTCATCGTCTCGCCCACTCTCCCATTTCCACATTATCTCTACATTACAAAACAACGAATATAAATATGGAGCGGAACAGTTAGAACGCATAACGGTGAATCGACAGCAGCGAACTTAGACACATCGATCTTAGGAAAGGAAGTCTCGAGCCGTGCTATGGTTACCGCATCGGTATCGGGCAACCTGCAACAAGAAAATTTAATTATCAGCCATCGGTCGCCACAGCTTCCAGTGAAGCCGTTATATTAAATATTAATTAACTTTTGTGTCGTAACGTTTCAGCCAGGAAGTGTCGATCAGTAAATAGTCCTTTGTTTGTCGGTGACATTTTCACTCGAAAAAAATTGTCACGTAATTGGTCCGTTTTTTGTCTGTGATGCCTTTCAAAGAAATATTTCGTCCGTACTTAATCCGTTTTTTAGCCGTGGCGTTTCATACTGAAAATCAAGATCCGTAATTAACACGTTTTAAAAACGTGGCCAATAAATCTCCGGACTTTGTCCGTTTTTTGTCCGTGATGCCTTTCAAAGAAATTTTTGGTCCGTACTTGGCCCGTTTTTTAGCCGTGGCGTTTTATCCTGAAAATCAAGATCCGTAATTAACACGTTTTAAAAACGTGGCCTATAAATCTCCGGACTTTGTCCGTTTTTTTACCGCGGCGTTTTTCAAAGAAATTTTTGGTCCGTACTTGGCCCGTTTTTTAGCCGTGACGTTCAAATATCCGGACTTCGCCCGGACTTCATCCGTCGCGTTTTGCCTGTGAAGCAGTTGTGGTTCAGTGGTGTGTAGGTTATGTTGTCATGAATGTAGTTGCGGATTCGGTCCCGCTATCTCCAAACTTTTTTGCGTATTTTTTTTTAATTGGTGATATAGTAATTATGACAGTGCAATTTTGCGTTTTTCTATTCAATTTGCCATTTTCATCATGTTGAAAGGTCATGTATACGAAAAAAATCGTTTTAAAAAAATGTTCAAAAATTGAAAAATTTTTATAAGTTATATGGTTGTTGATCATGAAATGCTTGGAGCAGTGGTTGTCACAATAGAAGACTGCATTTCCTGCTCGCAAAAACTTCGACGTCCAAAGTTGTACGAAACCGGTGCAACCGGCAGGAATTGTTTCGGTCTTCAACATGTTGTTTCGAGAACTCTGGAACACAACTTCTTGGGGAAACCTTCTCATCAAATCCTTTGTCATGACACAATACGGTCAAATATGTCACCCAGAAAAAAGATTCAAAAATGGCTCCAGTACAGTTAGACAGCTAGTGAAAATCTTTTATTGAAGCCTTCTATTGTGACAACCACTGCTCCAAGCATTTCATGATCAACAACCACATAACTTATAAAAATTTTTCAATTTTTGAACATTTTTTTAAAACGATTTTTTTCGTATACATGACCTTTCAACATGATGAAAATGGCAAATTGAATAGAAAAACGCAAAATTGCACTGTCATAATTACTATATCACCAATTTAAAAAAAATACGCAAAAAAGTTTGGAGATAGCGGGACCGAATCCGCAACTACATTCATGACAACATAACCTGCACACCACTGAACCACAACTGCTTGCCGAAACAGGATATAAGCGCGAGATAAGACATCACGTTATTTCATTTCGAGTTTCCGTACATTTGTATGCAAAATTCACGTGGGGAGGGGCTAAAACTTTGAAGGTCCATATCTCGATAACTAGAAGTTTGCGCAGGTAGCGACCTAGTTCATTCGATTGGAAATTTTCTAAAGAATCTGTATGCAAAAAATAAAAAAATTTTAAGACGGACAGCAAAATGACCTCCCTTGTGAGCATTTTTCGATTTTAGTTTAGAAAATCGATGCTTTTTATTTCTTTGAAGAAAAAAACTAAAGATTTTGTTTTTTTTTTTTAAGTAAAAATGCTGAATATTTTAAAAAAGGTACACATTTTCTGATGAACTTGTAATTTTTTTAAGGAATTTTTCAACAAAAAAAAATTTTGGATTGTGGCGTCGAAAAAGAAGTTTTAATATTTTTTTTTCTCATTAGAACTTGAAATTTTTATTCAGTAATCAAATTTTGCCTCAATTTTTGTTTGAAATCATCTAAAATTTCCATAATTTTCAAGAAGATTGAGCCAAAAATCGATTTTTCTAAATGAACTATTTTTTAAAAAGTATATTAAATATCAAAATTTCAAATTTTTTCCCATCTTTTCCCGCCAAAAAAAACATTTCGAAATTGTCGATTTTTCTCGAAACAAGCAGCTTCTCGCCAAAATTGCACGTTGCTCACGGCGAAGGCGACAAATCTGTCACCCGCATTTTTTTTCCGATTTAATGAGGGAGTCCACGTCGCTCTCAAAACAATAATACTTGTATAATACTTGGCGTCACCAACAACGCGTGTTCGACTTGTTTTCATTCTTTTTGCTATCATCATTAAATGATCTTTTGCCATTTCTCGGTTGTGTCGCAGCCAAAAAAAATTTTCTCGTCCAATTTTCACATAAATGTGTTTAATGTTGTCGAAAACTCGAACTAATTCGCGTTCAAGGTTTCGTTTCGTCGGCCTTGATTCGTTATAGTGCAATTCATCTATGTGCCGCTTTGAATTTTCCATTTTTTTAGGGCCTGCCAAAAAGAAAGAAAAAAAATTTGGAAATGTTGCAAACGCGCTCCAATGGACACAGAATTTGTTCGAATTTGAATTTTTTGCGAAAATTTTTCTTTTGTCAATTTTGTTAAAGGCGCACGGCAACCGCTTTCTTGTAGTCACTTTTTCTTCAGAAACACGCTATAACTGAATTTTCGCGTTATTCTCTAATTTTAACCTCTTTCAGATTTTTTTTCTGAATAATTCAATTTAAATCCTTTTGAATGAATCATTTTTTTATGAAATCCTTCATTTTGATGGTTTTTATCTACTAAATTTAAATATTTAATTTATCATTTTTTTTTTCAGACAACCGTGCACAATCATATGTTGATAGGTATCGATTTACGGCGCAAACTGGCCGGATGATCGCGATGAGAGACACCAGGTCATCGTCGACGTCGTCGGCGGAGCCGATATCATCGCGCGTCAAATCCATCAATGACCGCAAATTCGCGTTCTTGAATCAGGTAGTTCGGCCAATCGCCCGCAAAAAGGTCAACAAATTAACTTACAGGTGACTACTCCTGATTATCGAAGTCTGCCGTCGTCGGTGACGGCGTCACAATCGTCGATTCACTCGGTTCCATCGAAGGATGGCCGCAATCATACGGAGCCGGCAATATTTCCGACGTATGGCGCACCGATTGCCACTCCCGAGGATGAGCTGTTCGATTTGGACGAGACTGCAGGACCTTCTATTGAGAAACGATCGATAGATGAGGCGATTGTTGAGCTGGAGGACCTTTGTATAACGGTAAAGCAGCGATCTGAAGCTTCCGAGGAGGGGGAGGAGCTGGAGGAGAGAAATTGCTTTGATTCTCATAAGGATGAAGAGGTGGAGGAAGTCAAGGAGGATGACCATGAACGAACTTACGATAAAGAGGTCGAAGTGGTCAAGGAGTCAGAAGAGAAGAAATCTAGTGAAGAGGGATCTGAGAATTTGGGACCGCAAAATTTGATGAAAAACGAGGTCGAAGAATTCAATGAGTTGGAGCAACAAAAAGACACTCTGGAACTCAAAGAGTCTGAAAATTCGAATCCAGAATATACTGAATCATTAAACAGCGATGTCTTGAATCAAGACAAAACTGGGGAGCTGGACTACCTCAGTGATATGAAATCGCTGACAGAATCTTTCGGAGCGCCGAAAAAAGCGATACTCGAACGCGTTGAGCTGGAGGAGGGCGATGATGAGCTGGAGGAGTATAGCAGTGACGAGGAGCCGCCAAAAGTGGGGTTTTTTTCGTTGTTGAATGAACAATGTTTGAAATTGGAGTCCATAAAAGGCATTCAAGCGCATTTATCTTGATTTCAAAAAGGCCGTAAACAAACGGAAATCTCGCATTTCAAAACGAGCGTTTTATTACAATTTTTTGCAGTTGCAGGAGCCGGCGAAGCTTGAGAAGCCGAAATCGTTGAGCCTGAATAATCCGTCGACGTCGAGCTCGACGACAAGGTTTCCGAATTGCACTCGCTCGAACAACTCATTTTTGTTCTTCAGATTTTCAATCGACGACGTCGAAACGCCCGACGATTTTGAGCCGATGATGACCGGCGATGAGAGCGTCCTTCAACAATCGATGCTCCAACTTCAGAAGCAGCTCAGGAAGTCGGACATTCGTTGCGCGCGGCTCGAGAGGATATGCGAGTTTCAGCAGGTGCGCGAACTTTTTTTTTTTGCAAAGCTATTCTAAATTTTTGGAATGGAGGTGTTTTGAAAGAATTTGCTGCGGACATTTTCAAGGTTTGAATGTCATGGTGATCGCGTTTTCATAGAAACTACAAATATAGTTTGTAGAAAAATCATTAAAATTCAGTTTTATTGAAGTGGCTGATTTAAAATCGGCCAGATTTAAAGGCGCATTAGGAGTTTTTTTTTTTGTTTTTTCTTGGAAATTGCTTTCTTTCTCAAAAATTAAAGGAAAAGTTGAAATTTTTTCTTTTTCGTTTATTTTTTCGCAGAAAAGTGTTAAACAGTGCCGAAACTCGACAAATCACATTCATTGGGCTCACAGTTTCGTTGATGAGCTTTAATAGAAGGTGGTCGAAGCTTGAGTCCCTCCTTTTGGCGTGTCTTCACCACTTCGCCAACAATTTCCGACGCAACGAACAAATTGATGACCCCCCCCTCTTTCCTTCCAAGTCGCATCGAAAATTGGTTTTTTTTTGTGTGTGTGTATTACAACAAACAACACCCTTCCATTTCCCATCCCATGTCCCAATCTCCGGCCCCCTCCGTCCCCATGTCACATTTTTTGGCGGTGTTCTGTATGTGAGTGAGGCATTTCGATTTCCCCCCGAAACCTAATTGCCTATGCGGCCCCGACCCTTGGCCCTTTTTTTGATTCATGCAGCGAAGGCAAACATTGCGCTCGATGACCTAGAGGTTTTCGATCTACGTGCGCCTTTAAACGCGATCTATAATCGGCGGACAGTTGAGATTTTGGCGCCATTGATTTTGTCGGTGGACCCCCACCCCCACCCACCCACGCCTCGATTTATTGCTCTTTGCTCGGCCAACGTAATCAATGTTTACCGTGTTTGGGAGGTATTCTGAGGCGGCGGGCCATTCCCATTTTGCGTTTTAAAGTGGGTCGTAAAATGCTTGTGAATAGGTATGGGCACTTCCCGCCCGCCCGTCTTGTGTGGTGTACAAATAGATCGACTCGTGTCTACGTTTGTGTCTATGTGTGTGTGTGTGTAAATCGAACAAAGATAATAATGCGAACGCATTAGCGAGGCATAGAATAACATTTGGTCATAATCGAGGAATGAGTTGAGTTGTGAGAAATTGGCGCCGATTTGGTGGAATGTTGTTCCCCATCGGTGATATGGGAGTTTTCTAGAGGTGTTGTGGATGGGACATTGATATTCTTGAATTCTCGCTCGAGATGAAATTTTGCGCAACTTTCTTTTTAAGCATTCACTGGAACTTTTTGGGAATCTGAATCGAATTATTACGGAAATCGTCTAGTTGAACCTTAAGGAATGAAAACGAAACTGGCATTATGCTGCTGAGAATTTGGAAGATCTCGAATTTTAAAAGATTCCAGTTTTTCTCTTTTTATTTTCTGAAAATTTGAAAAGCTCAAGGTTGATCAATGCGGTGAAAACTCGCGGAATTTTCAATTCTGGAAAATTTTTTCTTGAATTTTTTGAAATACGTTTTATATTACTAAAATATTTTGTTAAATTGATTGAATAACTAACTACGGTTTAGGTCTCGACACGATTTGATAATCGCAATATGAAAGGCGCTAGAATTCGATTTTTATTAATGATCATGACTACTGTAGTTTACTAGGCCGGACCCCCCGCGAGTTGGTGTTATCATTCGAACGCATTCGATTCTTGATTCGTCGTTTTTTTTCGGATCCCCGTTCACAACCGATTTGTCAACGATTTCAATAACTTGTCTTGTCATGTTCGAGTTTTTTTTCCTCACAACCCTTCTCTACCCACTTGAGTTAATCGACTATAACAGCCGTTTCGTCGTCGCCTCCAATTCGGCCGGTGTTCTTTCGCGTTCTCGAATTGCGAGTGTCGACGACCTCTTGTGTTGCTCGAAAAGAGAATCGGTTCACATATAATTTTTTTTTCCGTCTGTCTGTTGTTCGACGTTCAAGAAACTTGTAATTGTTGCGGGAGCGCGCATTGCGTGAAGTAGAAACGATGTAAGAGATGATGGATGGATTGGAGAAAAAGTGTTTACCTTGAGACGAAACATACACACAAACTCTCGGCCGGCGAGGGCCGCACATGACGATTATTGCAAAAATTGCGGCGATGAAGTGGAAAAGTTGAAACGATTTATGGAATTTCCGTCGCCTAGGATACTGTAGTTTGGTGGTTGGCGGCGGAAATTCGCGTTTTGGTTGATTTTCTCGAAATTTAGAAGCCAAATAATGGTATGGAAAAGGTGTGAATGACTCGAAAAATTGTCTAAAGATCGTTTTTAATGGTCCGAAACGCTTTAAAATGTTGAAATGGCACGATAATAAGTGATCAATTTGTCAAAAAGTTGATTCCATAATTTGCAGAAAGACATCGAGAGTCTGAGATTCGAAATGGATTGGAAGGACAAACGAATCGAATATTTGCAAAAAGCGCTTGAAGAAATGGAAAACGCGGCGAAAAAATGATGATGATGATAATCAACCCTTATACGGCTTTGTTTTTGTGCTTCTCGGCCATATCTGCTTATGCTTTTTTTTCTTTCACACATCGATTCGTAATAGATTTATTTTTGCATCAAATAAAGGAATGTAATGAGTGTGTTTCATTTGGTGATCTTCCTACTAGATGGGTGAAGCACAGAGAAAAAAATGCGAGAGCATCACAGAACAATCGTCTTGGTGTGTATTTACAAGATATGAAATAATGAACGGAGATCAAATAATAAAAATAATAGAATAGTATAATAGAATATATATAATTGATATAGTTAAGCGGTGTATTATGATTGGTCCGTAAATGGATATGCATCGTGCATGGTGCTGTGCTGAAAATTGTTGGTTAGTGCTGCTGAAACCCGCATCGGGAAATGAAAGACGGTCGAATGGGGACCCCTGAGTTTTTTGAATTGATTGAAAAGACACGAACCGAATGGGATAGTGAAGGAACAAGGCACCGTTTACTGAGTGATGGAATGCAATGCAATGCAGTGTGATGATGATGAGGAGGATGAAGGCTCTAGCCGTTGACGTCGGCCATTTTGTTGCGCGCGTACTCGATTCGGAGTCCGCCGCGATCGGTGGCGGCGATCTGGAAGCCTTGAAGCGAGACCATCGCCTGTGTGGCCTTCTGAAGATCGGAGTACTCGACGAACGCCACACAGCTGCCGTTTTTGTTGTGGAGGCGGAGACGCGTGAAGCCGGCGAACGCTTTGAACACGGCGCGCAATTGCTCCTCGTTGACGTCGGACGAGAGATTGGCGACGAACAGCGTCGAGCACGCCGACGTCGTCGGTTGGCCGATCGTAAGGCCGTGGCCTAGAAAATGTTTTTGTTTGTTTGTGAAGAAAAAAAGAAACATTTTCAGCAGCATGTTTCGAAAATGCGGAATCAATTTTCTTTTTGGGGTGTTGTGAAATTCAAATTTTAAATCGGCTTTAAAAAATAAGAAAAAAAAAGAGGAAAAGACGGTTTTAGTGAGTGTGTGTGCGATTTTGAGAGACGGAGACATTTATTTTCGTTTCACTGAAATTTGGTTTGATGAGATATTCAATTACTTTGAAATGTATTACTTTTCTTTTTTTTAAATTGAAATATAACATGTGGCCTAGAAAATTTGAAAGTGTGGCCGAGTTTCTGTTAAAAATTTTTGAATTAAAAAAAAACTCAAAATTTCTTGTATTTTCCATTTTTTTTTTCTTATTACTAAACATTTTTCTAGGAAATTCCAAATGTCAATAAAATATAGAAGAGTGGCTAGAATTTTGTGAAGTCATTGGGTTGTCGAGTTTTTCGCGTCATTTTAAAATCGCAATTCAAAATGTTGAAACGAATTTTCCGAAAAAGACAAGACTTTATTTTTCATTCATTCAGAATTACCTGCCACCATCGCCGCCGGATTCAATTGCGCGTAGAGCGACTGCTGATGAAGTTGCTGAAGCGTCGCCGTCGGCATGTAGGCCGTCTGAAGAGCGTGCGCCGCTTGCAAGTGCGGTAGTGTCAACGCAAGGAGTTGGGGATCATTGAGAAGCGCGTTGTGATCGAGTAGTCCCAAGTCGGACGGCTGAAGAGGCGCCAGGAATTGCGGAACACCGGCGGCGGCCAACGCCGCCGAATTCGGCGGCGGACTCTGCTTCGGTCTCGCCACCTTCGTGTTGGATTTGGCGAGCTCCAAACGCAAAACTTGCGCGCATTCCGGATCGAATCGGACGCCTACAAAACGAAAAAAAAGGTTGGTTGGTTAGATTCGTGTTTCATCGTGGGCCTCTCCCTCACCTTGCAGCTGTTTCCTCGCCTCCTGCGCGTCGCTCTGCGTCGCGAACGTCACAAATCCCACCGGCGACGTCTGCTTGCCGTTCTTGGCCGTCATCTTGAGAAGCGAGCCCTCGTAGCCGCGGCAACCGCGAAACAGCAAGTAGAGCTCGCGCGGTTTCGCGTCCATCGGCAAACCGGAGACGAACAGCGTGCGAACCTGACGAAAATTGCGAGATTTCGAGAAGAATTCATGTAAGATTATTTTTGTTTCTCTTGAAATTCGAGAAAAAAAAAGTGCACAATGATACCCCCCCCCATACCTGCGACGGATTTGACGAGGCGTCGGTGACGACGCTATTCAGCGATTCCATCGAAACGGCCGGCGCCAAACTGGACTTTGGCGCGTCCATTTTGCGTTTTCTGCCGTTCTCAATCGTCGTGATTGCTGGAAAAAAAAAGAAATGTTGTTGATTTTTTTTTATTTTGAAGGGGCGTTATTCTCTTCAAAGAAATTGAGCTCGGTGAGCCGACGACGAAAAAAAATGAAGGCAAGAATGAGAGAGGTGTGTGCGTGAGCACACGAAGGGCCGCGCGCGTGCGCACACGCGTCCGCACGCAACCACGCTGCCTAGCAACCATGAAAACATTCGATGTATATATGCATTATTCGCCTAGTAGCTCGGACCCCCCCCTTTTTTTTTTCTCTACCGTAGTTGCGAAATGCGATTTTGCACTTCAAGTGTCAATTTTACACCTCCATTTTTTGGGAGTGAGGGGGCTTTCTCTAAACGAGACCCACAAATTTCAATTTAAAGGCGCGTTGGGACTCGATGAGAATTTGTGGAACGCGTCTTGAAGCGATCGTTCTCAATAACTGGAATTTTTCATTTTAAGAGAAGAGATTGAGTGACGTCTTAATAATCGCTTCAAGACCTGAAATAAATCCGCAAAACTAAGCAAGATGATAATGTTTATGGGCGCATAGAATGGATTACGGTAGGTGGGGGTCTGAAAAGAGCATTGAAGCGATGTGTTGATGGTTTGAAGGCGAAAAAAAGTGTATGAAAAAAATTGATAAAGAATTTGAGAAAGAAAATTGAAAAGTGTCATCAGAATTTTTCCGAGAGAAGACCAATAAATTGCGTCGGAGCTCGCAAGAATCGGAATGAGACGCCAATTTGTGTTTTTTTTTTGGCGGACGCCTAATTAGCATGAGCCACAATCGGGCAATATGGTGGAATCGCAACTAAAAGAAACAAGGGCGAGAGAAATTCAGACAAATTTGAATTGCCGCCATTGGAAAGAAAACAATGGTCCACAATTAATCAATCAAAACGTTTCTTTTTTTGTTGGTAATATGAGCGCGTAGAAAAAAAACCACACACACAATAAAGATAAGGCGACGCGAAATCGATCGATAATCGATGATAGCGAACACAATGAAGGCATTTTGATTGGCCATATTTGGGTATCAAGAGAATGCGGGGAAAAAAGTGAGTTGTGGGGGGCGGTCGGCCAGCCCGTGTGTGTATATCTGTGGGGGTGACTTTGCGCGCCTCGCGCACGCACAAAAAACCGGTTCGATTCGAGAAAAAACTGTTCTTTCCCTTCTACACACGATGCTGAAGGTTAATGGGCAGACCGACGTCGTCGTCGTCGTTGAGAGAGAGAGAGAGAGATTCGCAAAATTGTATAGTGGGGCCCGGCCAGAAACCCGTCGGTCGGTCGTTTTGGCACCTTGTAAAGTGTGAGATATTATTATTATTATTGCTACTATGTGGTATAATGGGAATGTGGATGTTTTCGTGGTGAGAGAGACTGGAATCTGGTTTTCGGCGTGGGACCCGCCACTAAGCGAAAAGCTAATTCGTTGTGCCGGGAGCGTCTGGAAAAAAAAAACAATTGAATCGAATCCATTGATGGAGACCGGAATTTTTTTGGAATTCTCCATGAAATGAATAGGGGGAAACGCGTCGAGACCCGCTGAATGGATTACGGTAGATGATGAGTGAAGAAGTGGGATTCAATTGGTGGGGAGAACACCATTATTTCTTTTTTTGGTCGTGGGGCTGGGGGAGGAGAAATCGACCTTGAAGGACTGTATATATGAGAAAAGGAAGAGTAACGATAATGGCAAGGACGAGCGACTCTGGGGTGGGCGGGGGGTCTGAGACGCAGAGCGCACAAAAATGGGTGCGTCGTCCCTGTCACCATGGATTATATGCATCCGTACGCCATGGAATATAATAAATCGGTTGGCGGTGGTCGATGGGCGTGGCCAGCGACGACGCACCGCCCGTATTTTGGAGACGCAGGTACTGTAGGTGTGCGAGCGAGCGCGCGCGCGCGCGACTCCCGAGAAGCCTTCCCCCCCCTCCTCCTCATCACTTCCCCTAGTAGGCAGAACACAAAAACCTGATTGAGAATCTCGACCGACTACCGTAATTGATGGTTGTTGTTGTTGTTTGGTAATGCCGGTGTAGACCTGAAAGTGCATTTCAGCCACCGGCCGGACCGCAATGTCGCCGGGGGCGTCATTTGTGATGTTTTGGACGTGATTCGAAAAACAGAAGCAAATTTGTGTTTTTTGTCGTCATTTTTGGTGTTTTGGACGCGATGTCGTCAATTATGCTGCATTGTACGCAATGTGTTTTTTTTTTAAATGAATTTTTTTTAAATAAAAATTTGCACTTGGATGCATTTCATTTAAAAGTCTGGATTTTCTTGAAAAAATCGCCAAATTTTGTGTCCGCAACTGGAATGATCAAATTTTGAGGCAAGACATCATAATTGACGACGTAATGCAGAAAAATGCTTTTTTTAAAGCTAACGAAGAGCGGGGCTAATTTTAGGGTTTTAAAAAGTATTTTTGAAATCGAAAATTGAAAAATACGGAAATTTGAAGCGCTAGAAATTGGAAACACCCAATTTGACGACAAATTGCAGAAATTGGAAAAATCGGCGAAATTGCGATTTTTTTGAGCGTCCAACACCGCGTTTGTGCAAATCGTCGATTATGACGCTACAAAACATCGAATTTGACGGCATGATTCACAAATTCAATATTTGGCCAACGAGTCGAACACATCGATGAACAGCGACTTTTTTTTTCTCGGCGAGAAATGGCGAATTTTTGAATTTTCAAAGCGCACGCGAAATTTTGTGGAAAAAACGAAAAATAAAAAAGACGACGAATTTTTGCCGCCCTAATGAGCACACTCTCGATATGCCGCGGAAATTCGGATAAATATGACGACGCGAAATTGCACAAATTTGGAGGCGGACCGGGGGGGGGGCGAATTGAAGCACTCGAATTGACGCGAAATTGCGGAAAAAAAATAAAGGCAATTTTGCGATACTGTAGATCGTCATTTTTTTTTTATTTGAGACCAATAAATATAATTTGACGCAATTCTGCAGACGAATGGCCAAATGTGGGAAAAATCGATGAGGGTGTGAAGGGGGGGGGTCGAGCACACCTGGCTAGATGAGCACAAAAAAAACGACTGGTGGTGTGAAAGCAGTCAGGCGCACACACACAAAAAACAACTGGTCGCTGTTTTGTGTGTTTATTGGGCTAGTTGAGGCGAATTTTTTTGTTCGGGTCTCGTCGCGAAATCCACCACAATATGCTGAAAATGAAGGACCCGCGGACAAAAGGTAAACGGCGAGCAGCAGCGAACAGGCTCGCCCTTCCTTCCCCGACGGCGAGAGGTGTGAATGAGGAGAGCAGCAATGAATGTGCACACACACACTCGACTGGGAGGCCCCCTCTCTCTCCTCTCCCCTTCCCCTTTCCCCTCTAGTCACCCCTCTCTCTCTCTTTTTATCTATCTCTCTCTCTCTCTCTCTCTGTGGAGCACAAAAGGTGCGCAGGGAAGCAGACACCCCTGTCCCCATTCTCCTCCCTCACCCTCCTCCCCCCCCCCCTTTAAATACAATCAAATGTGCTCCGTTGAATTGTTGGGAAAAAATGGGTGGAGTTGAGGATGTTCGCAACGAGACCCGCTGAATTTGAAGAATTTTTCAAGAGAAAAAAATTCGAATTTTCTGCAATAATATTTTTCTTTATTGGATTTTTTTTTGTTAGGAAAAATAATTTTTTTTTCTTCCAAAAATTGATTTTTTCGAGCAAAAAAATTGAAATGCGCCCAATTTCGGTGCCTCGTTTGAAATGAAAAGCAAGAGGTCCCTAAAATTTCGTGTTGGGACCCGAAAGAAAAAAAGAAAACCCAAAAGATTACGAAATGAATCGAAAAGTGGACGACAATTTAAATTTGGCGGCAAAAAAAAATTTTTTTGAGGGGAAAAAACCGAAAATTCAAGGGCGATTTCGGTGTTTTTTTTCGGAAACTCCCCAAAGCGCATCTAGGGACCATCACAAATGCATGAAGACATGGTGTGAGACCCGCTCACACCAATCAATTTAATATTTATAATAATAAGCGAGGAGGTCCGAGGAATCGAGGAATTTGCGCCGCAATACATTTTTGAGTAAGTTTTCGATGCCGCCCGATGAGAATGACCATATAAGGCGCGTGTGTGTCACATACATAATTAAGATGCCTCGCCTCGCCGGGGGGTTTTTTTTTCGATCCACCAGCTTCATCCCGAATATGGGCGGTTTTGGATTACAAATGCAATGATGATGATGATGATGATCGCCTTCATTCGGCATTCATGAGAATTCGTTCATGCGCGCGTTTCGTGGCATCCAATATATATATATGGGTCTCGATGCGAATTGTCAATTTACTAGGCATTGTTGAGAATGTGGTCAGACTAACGGCAATGGGTCTCGACGCGAATTGTCAATTTACTAGACTTTGTTGAGAATGTGGTCAGACCACCGGCAATTGGTGTTGAATGGGTCTCGACGCGAATTGTCAAATTTTACTTACGTCTCGACGCTTGGAATATGAAAAAACGTCGGCAGATGGGAAATGCGTATAATCGACACAACTCGACAGCAGCGACTGGAACGGCATTCAAAGGTCATCATGATGATCATCACAACGATGCGGCAAACGGATAAGGAATTGCGTATGACGATCGATGGGGTGTTATCAAGATGACCCCACTTGGTGGGATTCAATTTTTGGCGGAGTATAGCCGAATTATGGCGAAGAAGCGATCGCATAAGCCGAAAAACTAACACGAGCGTCATAAACTGACAATATATATATATAGTGCAATTTTTATGGGCAGTATATTGGAGAGGTATGAAGAGAGCGGGGGTGGGGGTGGGGGGGTCCAACTACTAAATGTGGAACATGTCAAGGTCGCGAAATACACATTGTTGGACATATATGGATGACGAATGGATTGTGGGGCGAGAGGGCGAAAGTTACAAACATGACGAGGTCGAATTGGAAATTTGAGATTTTCTTGTGTTGTTTTTTTTTTTTGGTTGGTCCGCTTCACCACCAATTCGGCAAAGTGGTCCCGCGTTTAGAAGCGTTTGTTTGGTTGTGGGAGGCGCTTTTTGAATGCTCCTTTAATCGTCGGGTCTCGACGAGACGGCAATAATGACCTATATTGTTTAAAGGTGGGGTCGCCGGGGGGAATAAAATGTTATTGGCGCGTCATAAATGGTCGCGATTGGAATTGGTTTTCGAGGTGAAAAAAGAAAGGAAAATGAAAAGGAAGTGTTGCACACACGACAAAATGGATTTTCTTCGAACAATGTTGCTGAAGAAAAAAAATGGGCAAATCGAATTTGTGATGAAAAAGAGAGGAGACATTTTGAAACTGCGGTCGATCTGCGAGTTTGCGTCGCGGTGAACGCGGTGGGCGCGCCTTTAAAAGGAATCAGAAAACTGAAGTATGTATATAATGGTCCGTTGCGTGGGTCTGATTTGAGGGTGTGCAAAAATGTGGAAAAAAATTTGCACAGAAACCATTGTTCGCTGCGGGACCAAACAGAAATCTCAAATGATGCGCCTTTAAGATGAGATGTAAACTGGAACGACTTATGCGCCTTTAAAAAATCTGAAAATTTAGATGCGAATTTTTGGGCGTGCAAAAATTGGAGCAATTTCCACAGAAACCACCAAAGCCCCAATTGTTCGCTGTGTGAACCAAACAGCGATCTCAAATGATGCGCCTTTAAGATGAGATGTAAACTGGAACGACTTATGCGCCTTTAAAAAATCTGAAAATTTAGATGCGAATTTTTGGGCGTGCAAAAATTGGAGCAATTTCCACAGAAACCACCAAAGCCCCAATTGTTCGCTGTGTGAACCAAACAGCGATCTCAAATGATGCGCCTTTAAGATGAGATGTAAACTGGAACGACTTATGCGCCTTTAAAAAATCTGAAAATTTAGATGCGAATTTTTGGGCGTGCAAAAATTGGAGCAATTTCCACAGAAACCACCAAAGCCCCAATTGTTCGCTGTGTGAACCAAACAGCGATCTCAAATGATGCGCCTTTAAGATGAGATGTAAACTGGAACGACTTATGCGCCTTTAAAAAATCTGAAAATTTAGATGCGAATTTTTGGGCGTGCAAAAATTGGAGCAATTTCCACAGAAACCACCAAAGCCCCAATTGTTCGCTGTGTGAACCAAACAGCGATCTCAAATGATGCGCCTTTAAGATGAGATGTAAACTGGAACGACTTATGCGCCTTTAAAAAATCTGAAAATTTAGATGCGAATTTTTGGGCGTGCAAAAATTGGAGCAATTTCCACAGAAACCACCAAAGCCCCAATTGTTCGCTGTGTGAACCAAACAGCGATCTCAAATGATGCGCCTTTAAGATGAGATGTAAACTGGAACGACTTATGCGCCTTTAAAAAATCTGAAAATTTAGATGCGAATTTTTGGGCGTGCAAAAATTGGAGCAATTTCCACAGAAACCACCAAAGCCCCAATTGTTCGCTGTGTGAACCAAACAGCGATCTCAAATGATGCGCCTTTAAGATGAGATGTAAACTGGAACGACTTATGCGCCTTTAAAAAATCTGAAAATTTTGATGCGAATTTGAGGGTGTGCAAAAATGTGGACAAATTTGCACAGAAACCATTGTTCGCTGCGGGACCAAACAGCAATCTAAAATAGTGCGCCTTTAAGATTAGATGTAAACTGGAACGACTTATGCGCCTTAAAAAAAATCTGAAAATTCAGATGCGAATTTGAGAGTGTGCAAAAATTGGAGCAACTTCCACAGAAACCACCAAAGCCCCAATTGTTCGCTGTGAGAACCAAACAGCGATCTCAAATGATGCGCCTTTAAGATGAGACGTTTTGTTTTTTTGCGACAATCATTTTCGTTGCGGAATCAGACAACTGGAAAGACCTATGCGCCTTTAAATAGTGGGTCTTAAAAATTTAGAAAATTCAGATGCGAAATTTTTCGAGAAACCACCTAATTCCAACTTTTCGTTGCGAGAATCAAAACGGTGCACCTTTAAAAGCCAGTCGGGGGGTGGAAGTGAAGATTTGAAAAAAAAAAGGTCAAAAATGTGCGATGAGCACGATCGAGTCAGTTGTTCGAGCAAAACGCCAGGTTGTAACACGACGACATCTCGCCTTCTAATTGGAGAGAACACAGACGGAATGGTGGTCGGAATGATGAGCCCCCCCCCCCTCCCTCCCAAAGTGCTCAACGACGTTTCGACAAATCTATTGATACATTTATTTATTTATTTATATTTTTGTGAAATTCGATCGCCTCTATCATTATTTTCTTCGTTTTTTTCCAGAAATAAACATTTGCGAATGTATTCGATGCGAACGCGAAGCGGCAGCGTCGAGCGATGCTCGTCGTCGTCGCGAGACCCGGCGCCGTATCGTACGAGCTATGGAAGGGAACGCGAGCGGATGGCGGTTGGTTTTTTGAATGAATTGCGGGCGCTGTGCGAGTTGGCGTCGCCGTGTTTGCACACTTCAATTCAATGTTGATGATTTTCGTATGCGCCTTTAAACGTCTAGCAGGAAATACTAAAGCGAGCAAATTGAGTGGCCGAAAATCGAAGCGAGAATTTTTTGTTGTGCGATATTTTTTTTGGCCTAAAAAATTGGTAATACGATTATACATAATTATTTTTATATATTTATATTGTTGAAGTTAAACGGCTTGACGAAATTAAAAAAAATTATTGGCTATGTGCCAATATTTTTTCTCGAGGCAGCGAGAATTACGCGAGACTGCGTACATTGCATTATAACGTACGAGCATTTAATATTCAGTCAACGATTAATTGAAATATACTCGAATTTCGCGATTTTGAAGGCTTCGCCTCATTTCAGTCATTTGACGTCGACAATTTATTTTGTCAAAAAAATAGAATGATTTCTAGTTTTTCAAAATTCAAATATTCTATTCTCGGATAACTCAAAACCAATCGGATCCGACGAAATTCGGCTCCGGAATCCACGCGATCCGATTGGTTTTTTTTTGGTGTATTTTCGGATCCGATTGGATATTTCTCGGATCCGATTCGAATGAACGATTAAAACAAAACGGATTTGGATAATAATCAATCGGATCCAACAATTTTACAATCTATTTCCGTCGAATTTCCAATCGGATAAGATTGATTCCGGAACCGAATTTTGTCGGATCCGATCCGATTGGTTGTGAGTTACCAGAGTGGTTAGCAAGAGCAATTGTGGACCATCGCATTTTCAAACTCACTGTGTTATTTTTTTGTGTGTGAACACCGACACGTAAAATTGCACGCTTTTGAATATACAGACGCTCTATGAAAAAAAAGGGAGAATTTTATTGAAATATTATTGCGGAAAATTGGCTAAATGCCAAAAGACGATGTTAGAGGTCCTGACGCAAAAACTAAAAGTGTCGATTTACGACCCAAGAATAGTTTAAAGGCGCACAAGAGACCTCCTTTTTTTTAAAATTTTTTTGGCATTTAGCCAATATAATTGGAAAAAAGTGTAAAAGTATGAATCGATCAATAAAAAAAAGCGAACGAGAGATGTGACCGAGATGAAAAATTGATAAGAAGCCGACGGGGGGCATGTGTTCGCACAATATTTGCTCGTTGCCAGAAGCCGCCGCCGGCGACGAACACAACAACAACCAGTCGGATGTCGAGAGCGACGTCGTATGATCCGTTCGGATCGTCGGCTCGAAGCAGCTCGGTGATCCGAAGCAATCCGTTGTCGACCAGCGATTATTCGTCATCGTCGTATTCGAGACCATCGATTTCGTCAAGGTTTGCTTCTTTTTCGAGAAGGTCCTTGAAAATCTCTAAAAACTTTTTGCTGGCCAGAATCTTCCAAATCACACTTTTCACCTAAAAAAAACTCTAGAGCAGAAAAAAAAATCCCGACAATTTCATTTCTTCGTTTCGAGACCCGTTTCATTTTCAGATACGGTAGTATCGATCAGCTCAATTCTTATAAATATCGATCGTCGGGATCAACATCATCGGGTGCGTCGAGCTCCTATACGACGAGATCAACGCGCGCGGGAAGTGTGATAGGCGGTAGGGAAATCGATTTCGTTGCGAGACCTTGGAATACATTTCTAAAATCCAAACAAATTTAATTCCGCATTCCGCGGTCTCGAGGCGAAATTAGAGCATCTGGCAAAAATTGTGGTGTTCAGCTTATGACTCGACGAACCGCGATTACTCAACATCACGCTATCGGCCATCTGACAGGTTTTGTTTTTTTTCGTGGTCCCGTTGAAAAATGAGAAATGCAATTTTGAAGCGCTTATTCATCGAAATATCGATCAGCTGACCTGTCGGATTACACTTCAAAATATCGATCGCCCGATAATAGGTTTTTGAGAGAGAGAGAGAGAGAGAAAATCAAAATTTGTTGTTATTTTCAGTAGCCGAGCTTCATCGACGTCCTCGTCTTCCAGTTATACGTCGCGATCGAATTTTGAATATCGTACGCCTATCAGGTAACTTTGAAAATTCATTTTAATAGAAAATTTGCGGTTTTGAGAGCATCGACAAGCTCGTATAGAAGCACGAACACTTATCGACGAGATCGCGAATATAAATCAATGAGTCGAACGAATGATGATGAGGTATTCAAATGTTTTATGAAATTCATTTTTAGTATCTTCAGGAAGACGATGTGGAATCAACATTCCGCAAACTTTATAAGAAATACGTTACTGAAAGCGATTCGGAGACCGAATCGCTCGCCGAACAAGGTTTCTGCAATTTTTTTTTGCAAATAATTGACCTATAATAATAATTTAAGTTACAAAACGATTTCAATCGAAGAGTGAAGCTGAAGAATCGGATGAGTCGTTGTGCGAGGATGATGAAATGCTGGCGAAACACCAGAAAAAAGGATTGAGAAGGGTGATTTTTTGATGGCAATAAAAAAAGAATTTCGGTTACTGTAGATGATAATAGTACATCGGTGTTTGCACACAATTCTTTTTCTTTTTTTTTTTCAAAAGAAAAAAAAAACAAATGCTTTTCCGATTTTTTTTCGTCGACAAAAATTAAATTGTAGGCAAGTTCGGCGTCGTCAATAACTCCGCGAGCATCTGTTTGCAATTCAGCGAACGCCACACCGAAATGCTCGCCACTGCCGGCTCGCAAGGTTGGCACATTTCATATTATATATGTTGTTTTCCAATAACCACCCCTTCTATCTTGATTTTCGTTTTTCGCATTCAAAAAATTTATTATAGCAATTCAACGAGGTCAAAGACGTTTCGTCGTCGTCGTCGGAATCAGAAGAGGACGAGGGGAAATCGCAAATCGCTGAAGTTCTCAGTGATCGGCAAAAATTCATGGAGAAATTCAGGGATGTTGAAATGATTGAAGGTTGGAAATTTTGGTTCGAATTTTCAAAATTAATTTCCAATTAAAATGCACAACGCAGATTTGCGAGTGGTGCATTTTTTTTTATTTTGCGAAATGCACAATTCGTTGCACATTTCTGAGCGCACAGTACTATGCCAGAGGATAAATTAATTTCACTTCTGTAAGATAGCGGAATTGCAAATTTTTTTGGAGTCGTAAAACGAAAAAAATTGTTCTTCCACTTTTCGGAATATGCAAGTCGCTTAAAATTATCGGTTGTCGAATTTATTTACGTAGAAGTCACAACCGGAGGAAATCGGATAAAATCAGAATTTTTGAGGAAAACATCTAATTTGTTCAATTTTTACCACTGTAACTTCAAAAATTTGTCGTTGTTCCGCCGAACCCAAAAGATTCCCCTGTTTGGTCCGATGAGCATCGAATGTCACGCAAAAATGCACTCAATTCTCAACTTTTAGCGAAAATCGAGGCGAGAGACGTTGCGGCGAGCCCATCGCACAAAATTGTGCAGAATCAGAAGATTGAGGAGAGAATCGAGGCGAAACCGCTGTCAAGAAACATTCAAATGGAAGCCACGATTGGCGACGCGAAGCCGACGCCGAAAATTGTGTCGGCGATCAAAATCAACGGGATTCCCGTGAAGAGCGAGACGGCTGACATCGGTGAGAAGAGCTCGACGTCGGCCAATGAGCCGGTCCGTCTTGTGATGAAGAGGAATCGCAGCAAATCGCCGAATCGGCATGAAAACGCCGACATTTGCGGTAGTTGTTCTCGATTATTATAGATGACGAATTCGGCGTTTCTTTTCTTCAGATCGCCGCTCCGCCGAGCCGCCCATTATTAAAACGAGTGCGGTTGTTGAGTCGATCGACGATGTACGAGCGAAATCGGAGGAAATTGAGCAGAAAGGTAGGAGGGCGAACAGTTGGCGTTTTTTTTTTTTTGCGAAATGAAAAATATGAGATGAATGAACGTTTCTAAAGTCGTTTTTTTGGAAAAAATTTAATTTTCTAATGCTTTTTGGACCTATTCATGAAATTTAAAATAAATTGTAATTTTTTAGATTCATTTATTCGAAATGGACCATATTCAGCAAATTGAAGGAAATTTTAATGGTACCGAATAAGAAAAAATTTTTTTCATTTTGTAGAATAGTCCCAAAAATTGTAAATTTGAAGAAAACCATTTTGGAAAAAAATTTTGACTACTGTTTTAAAAGAATGCCAAATGCTGGGGATTAGTTTTAATTTATTATTCGATTGGAAGCGTCGTTTGATTTCAGCGGTTCGACGACGACGCATTCCGAATCGAACGCTGGAGAACCTCAAAAATAGTTTGATGGCCGAGCAGGCGATGAATTTGGAGAAGAAGGAGGAAGACGAGGTTTTTTTTTCGTCGTTGACGGAAAAATATTAACTGATTGATTCATTTTTAGAATAAAACGAAGATTGACGAGGTGGAGAAGAAAGACGAAGTGAAGCCGAGAAAAATTCCGATTCCTCTCGTCCTTATCACGGCGCCATCGACACCATCGACACCATTGGCGACGACACCGGTCGCCACTTCTGCAAGTGTGTGCTTGTGGAACAAACGGGCGTCGACGTCGTCGGATGACGACGATGAAGACGTTGAGGAGGAGGATGAGTTCTCCAGTGGCGAATGGACCGAAGGAGAGGATGAGGAGCAGTGTGGGTCGTTTGAGATATGTCGAGCAACTTTTTGGAATTCATTTAGACGAATCCGATTGCGAGTTTTCGGTGTCGCAGACGTTCAGCTTAAAGGGACATATCCCGCTGGGCGAGCTTTATCCATTGGCGACGTCGTCGTCGAACAGCTCGGCGCGTGTTTCCGAGTTCGACGGCGACGCGTTTTTGGAGAAGAGTCGAAAAGAGGAATCGCGCGGACGCGTCGACAGTCTGCTCGCCAAACCGGCGCCGACGTTCACCTGTAGTGTTTCGTTCGACGGCGAAGAGGATGACGATGACGAGTGGGGATCCGATGAGGTGCATAGTTGCGAAGAAGGCGACGACGATGATTTTCGAGGTTGGACGATTCGTCGAATTTGTGATGAGCAGATGCCATCGTTTTTTGATCGACCCAAAAAAAATGGATTGAGTTTTTTTTTCTCCGTCTGTTGAACATCTGCGTATGGCGTTTTCGTGCTGGGGCGCGCAGATGGTCCGAGATGATTCCCGCGAATTGTTGAGGGACCAACACCAGTTTTTGGGAAATTTCTTAAGCATGGATTTTCGGAATTTTCTGTCGGGTTGTTTTTTGGAAGGAAAATTGATATTCGAGAAGCGTTGCTTCGAAATTTGCACTTTTTTTTGAAACTCGCTAGCCGTTAAAAATTCGAAATTGTTCAGTTTTGCCGATTGCTCGACCCGACTCGACGCCTCTTGGAGCCTACATGAGTCCGGGAAGTATTACCAGCGATGAGGTGCGTCCGTTCGATGATTCGCGATGGTCCCTAACACTAGTAATTCCAGGATTACGATGGGCGTACGGTGGGCTGCACGTTGAAGCTGGTTGACAAGGCGGCTCGCAAGGATAGCGATGAGAGCGATGAATCGGAATATTACGAGGATGAGGAGGAGTACTGGGATGAGGAGTATGAATATGAGGATGAGGATGAGGAAGAGTATGAGTATGAGGTTTGGCCGATGGCGAGTGAAGCATATTCTTTGGGATATTTCGTTGCAGGAGGACGAAGAGGAGCTTGAGGAGTATTATGATGAAGAGGAGGAGATGTCGTCGGAAGACGTTACTATGAAATCGGTTGAGTTTGAGGAGACTAGCGAGATTGTTGATGAGATTCAGGAGATTGACATCGTGGTGAGTTGTCATCGATTTGTTTTTCTTTTGACACCAAAATTTTAAGGAAGAATCAATCGAGAAGAAGCTGGCACAACTCACGCCGATGACAGTAAGTCAAGTTGAGGAGATGTTCGAGGAGGCTGAAGTTTGTGAGCTTCCCGACGAGCAGCTGTTTGAGCTCGACCAGATTGAAGTCGAAGATTATACGGTGGGCGCTTTTTTTTGGAGAGGGTGATTGAATCAAATAATGGTTGAAGGGCAAAAAGGATGTGAACATAATACCGACGTTTGTGCGCGAAACGACGGAGAATATCAAAGAAGAGAGGGCGAGTCGTTTCGCCGATGCGAAGCCGTCGACGGACTTCGCGAAGAAGGCCATCATTCAGCCGGCGAAGCTCGAGAAGGTCCAGATCGCCAAAGTCGAGACGAAAGTGATGGAAGAGTAGGCGAATTCACGCGTTTTCACCAACCATTTCCGATTTCAGGAAGCCGAAACCGCCACCGCCGGACGCCGACGTCAAAACGGTAGCAATTTGATGTCATTTTTTCTATTTTTTGCATTTTTCTAGGAGGATAAGTCGGCGATTCGAAAATCGGCGCTGAACATGAAGGAGGAGGACGCGAAGAGGAAGGCCGAAAGCGATGAGGTTGGTTTGGATTGAAAAAATGCCTGATTGAGATTTGCTGCGGACAATGTTCCAGTTTCGAAACTCACGTTTTACACGGTCTTTGAAAATTTGAAAGCGCGCCGAAAGTCTTTTGTTTGATGCAATTTTTATTTTCAGAAAGCCGCCGCTCAGAAGGCTCGTCGCTATGGCACGGTGTCGGCGTTGACCGACAAATTCAAGAAGACTGCCGATGAGCCGATTGTGTGAGTCATGCCATTCCCCCCGCCATCGATTTATTATTGAAACGGGACCATTTAAACATTGAATAGGCTCAACGAGCTTGGTCCCGTCTTTTTGTAAGCGTCGCAGTGCGTTTTGAGGACCCACGCGGCCGCGCATATCGTCAACGGCACGTTCATCGGCGTCAGTTTCGAGGTGATGATGTCGCGCTCGAGTTGCGAGATTTGACGGTCCGCCAGAAGCACGTCGATGGTGCCGAGGAAGAGCTTCCTGAAATTGCTAGAGCGTTTTGAAATAAGGAAAAATTTTTGAGAAGCAATTTTTCGCAATTTATTTCAAAACTTGGCCATTTCTCGTTTTTTTTTTGTCTTGGGTCTCATAGGGAAAATCGAGTTTTTTTTTTGGCGAAAAAAAAGCTCACTTGTCGATTTCGATATCGGCCAAAGCGATGCCCAAATTTGTCGACAACGTCGCCTCATGACGAACAAACTCGTGACGATTGAGCGCGAGCCAATCGAACGCCTCTTTGCGCGTCTCGTGCATCCCTTGACGCTCCAAATACATTCCCGCGAGACCGATGAGGTCCATGTCGATTCGCGACGCCGATAGCGGATGAACGGTGCCGCCGGTGGCTTTCACGTAGGCCTCGGGCGCCGGCATGACGAGATTCGAGCGTTTCACATCGACGGGCACCTCGACGGTCGTCTCGACGATTGGCGCTGCAAAATGAAAAAAAAAATTGATTTTCGTTGCTTCGCATGGATTGTACAGAGTGTCGTCAAAAATTTGGCACTCGAAATGCTCGAAAATGACGGTCCAGTCGATTTTGTTTGACGCGTCGCGGTCGCGTTGCGGTCTAATCGAGAGGGGAACGACGAGTCGCTGACTAGTCGATTGGCGGCACGCCTTGCGGTATAGTTTTTTTTTGGTGGAACGCGTCGCGGTCGCGTTGCGGTCTATTCGACTTGGTAGGACGTGTAGCGGTCACGTAGCGGTCCAGTTTTTTTTTTCTTGGATGGGACGCGTCGCGGTCGCGTTGCGGCTCAGACGATTGAGTGGGATGCGACGCGGTCGCGTTACGGTTTTTCAAATCATAATTGTGAATTCACGTGAGCGCACAAATTGCACAGAATTGCCTCTTCCTTCGAATTTTTTGCCAAAATGTCGGGAATGGTCTCAAGAGGAACCCAACAAGTATGTGTGGTGCTTCGCACTCAACGGTAGAGCGCGATTTAAAAAAAAGAATGGTTTGGAATTGGACCTACGCGATTCTTGCGTTTTCTCGACCGACAACGATTTGGACTTTTGATTGGATTTCGATTTGTCAGCAATTTTCTGCAAATTTGCGTCGTTCGCGATTCGGACGATATCGGACGGCTACCTTTGGACGGCTATCCTCGTCATCGTAGACGTCGTACAAATGACGGCGGATTTGACTCGCTCGTGCGCCCACTTTGAGCACCGACGATTTTGGAGACGGTGCGACGGGGAGAGGCGACGGAGGAGCTGGAGGAGCCGGAAGAGCCGAAGGAGCTGGTGGTGCTTGCAGCGACTTGTAGGCACTCTGTAGATAGATTAGCGCGAAAGATTCCATTTCTTTTTTTTTTCTAGCAATTTGTGCAAATTGTCGTCAAATGTGAGGCATTGACCGCGAAGCGGTTTGAAATTGAAAAAAAAACGATTGCGGACAATGCGCTTTATTTGACGACAACTTACACCCTCCGTTCAAACCTCGTCATCCTTGTCGCCGATAATATCGTAAAGTTTGCTGCGGACACTGTTCGGGGTTAGCGGTTGCGGTGGCGGCTTGTGATCTGCCGCCTTCTGATGTTCGACATCCTTCGGATCCTTCTTCTCCTTGGACTCCCTTTTTCGATGTTTGGCCTTCTCGCCCTTGTCTTCGTGAAGGCTCGTCTTGATCTTCTTCTTCTTCTGCTTCTCCTCATCCTTCTCCTTTTTGTTCCCATGCTTCTCCTTCTTGATGTTGTCGTCCTTCGGCTTCTCGACGGCGCGCTTCGGCGGCGACGCCGATTGAGCCGGTGTGAATCTTGTCGGCGTCTTCACTGGCCGCACCGTCTTGATGCGTTTGAGTTTTGAGACGCCACCACGACTGGCTGGCGTTTTTGGCGTCTTGGGTGTTTTCGGCGTCTTTGGTGTTTTCGGCGTCTTTGGTGTCTTTGGTGTTTTCGTCGTTTTCCTCAATTTTGGCGTTTTTGGTGCCTTCGGGGTTCTTGAAGGCCTCGAAGCCTTCTTGGTCCTCTCTGAAACACAAATTTTCCAACTAGACGCCGTCAATTGATGATTACTCTTCTTTTGCTTCGTGTTCTTCCTTCGTTTAATCGGTGTTTGCGCCTTTGGCTTACTGTAGAATTACGGTAGATTCGCTGAATGCTGGGACCCCCACCCCCTCGGACTCGAAACATACCTAACCATATTGAATAATAGAAATATGAAGAAATGAGCGACGTGTGATCATTTTTTAAATATAATATTTGTTTTCAGATATAAAAAATCGGCACTTCTTCAGCCGGCTGAGAAGAAGCCGAAACGAACGTATGAGGTTGTCAAACCGGTTATTAATGATGATTTTGACAAGCAGGTTTGATTTTTGCAATTTTTATGGGGGTCTTCTGACGTTTTTGCTTCTGCCCTCCCGGAAAAGTGTTCAATTTTAATTTCGAAATTGACATTTTCACAGAAACATGAAAAAAATTAAGTTGGAAATTGAAAAAAATAATTAAAAGATTAGATTATTGACGATTTTCGCGCCAAGACCCGTATAACTTTTTTGCGTGTGCCTTTGACGGAAGACTGCTTTTTAAATGTGGATTTTTGAGTATAATTGTGCAATCACGCCGTTCCAACTTTGCGGACTTGCATTTCGAACCCAGTGTACCGAAAATATGAAAAAAAAAATTGAAAAATTGTGTTGTAGTGTATAAATAATTCATTTTTTCTCTCGAATTTCCTGATTTTCAGATGGAGGAGATTCGCGCGAAGATGAAAAGCGGTGCGAATGATTTGCAGACGAAGATGAAGGATCTCTCGAAGGGCATTCTGACGGTGTCGGAAGAAGCGAAAATGAGAGAGCTCGAAGAGAAGCGGCGAGCAACAACCGAGAAGGTTAATGGAGCGATTGGGTAGGTTTTTGATGGGTTTTGAGAGAGAAGGTAATTTTTGAATCGAGCGATTTTTTATTTTTAAACAAATTGAAAGATGAGGTGATTTTTTTGTGAAAATTTGAATATTTGACGATTTTTATCGAAAAAAAGAGAAGGTCGAAGAAATTGCACATTTTTTTCGATGCGGGGCTGTAAAAATGCAAATTTCGTATGAATTTTTACATTTTTTGTTGTAAAAACCATTATTTTTTCTAATATGGGAATATTTTGTCGATTTTCGAAAAAAATAATAATTTGAAATTATGGTTCGAATCTGGTTGTGTTTTATTTTCGAAACTGATTTTTCGCGAAGCCCTGTGGCTCGAAATGTAGGATTATTGCCAACGTCGTATCTTTCCGGCGTTCTCAGGCAAATCAAATCAAATATTTTGAGAATCAAATATTCCAATAATAAAATCTAAAATATTATGAGAAATTCTAAATTTTCTTGATACTTTCTAAAGCTTCTTGAGAATCGCTAAACTTAAAAATAATTTTTTTTAATCTTATAAGATTTTCTAAAATTTATTGAGCAAATTCTGAATTATCTCAATAAATTCGAAAATCTTATAATAATTTCTAAAGTTGATCGAGAAACATCTAAAATATTATAGAGACACGTTAGTTTCTCAAAGAATCTCGAAATATTTTATTTTATTTGTATGAATTTTTGCGATCGAACGACATTTGATTTTGTAGAAAAGCGGCCGAGGAGAAAGCCCGTTGGAAGGCGTCACGTGATGCGGACGCCGAGCGCGAATATGCACGAATTGAAGCCGAAAAACATTTGAGACGAAAAAAAATAATCATTGATAAGCCGCTGAACGACGATGAGGCGAAACCGGAACCGAAACGGACGATTCGACGATGGAAACCGCCGCCGCCGGATCCGAGTAGGAGTTTTTCAGCATTTTTCTTTTTTATTTTCTAGCAAAATTCTTGATATTAGTTAAAAGCTTTTGGCTCTTTTTTTAAATTGTAAATTCTGAAATGTTGATCTTAAAATGGAAGAAAAAAAATTGCGAAATTTGAGTTCCCTGGTTGCTCTTCGAAAAAACCGAATTTTTGGCGAATTTGGGACCCCAAAAATTGACAAAAAATTGAAGTGATTTGTTCTAGACGCGAATATTCCATCGTTTTCAACGGGACCGAAAGAATTTGTGAAAGCGACGCCGAAGACGTCGGGATCGAAGCCGACGACGCCAATCGCGGCGAGAAGGGCGGTCGAAAGCGCGACGAAGACCAGCACGGCGGCCGCTGGAAATGAGGTTGTCTCTTCGTATTTGGTCTCGAAACGATTGCGTTTCAGGAAGTTGGTGCGACGAAGGGTGTGAAGGCCGAAGGCGCGGCGGCGACGAGAATTCGGAATAATGTAGGATTTTGAGAGGTTCTCGTCTGGTGTCGATGAAGACGGTTTTTAGGCGACTGCTGCTGCAGCGGCGGCGGCGGCTTCTTCTGCCACCGGAGCGGTGCCTTCTGAGAAGTCCGGCTCGCGGCGATACAGTGCGAGACGGAAGACGCAGGAGATTGTGAATGAATCGGTCGTGCAGCCCAAGGTGCGAAATTTTTTTTTCGGTTTGAATTTGAAAAAAGAGTATTAGGATTTTGAAGAAGACATGCAATAAAAAAATGATAAAAATTCTTAAATAAATTAGCCAAATTTGTACATTAAATAAATGGGAGTATTTTAGTGTCTAAAAAAGTGAATAGCGCATTCTGGGGGCCCATAAAAATTGCCAAACAATTCGTAATTATTTTAGTCGGGCGTGATGCATACGGTACGCCTTTAAAAGTGGTCTCGCCACGATAGTGTCGCTGAAGGCGTATTTTGTGAATTTCGAATTTTTTTTTGCTGATTTTGGTTTTTCCATGAATAATTGATATCACCGAAATTCAGAATTAATGGAATGAGCTCTAAAATATAAAATGTGCAGTGCAGTCCGTGTGGGACCATAGCGAAGGCGCATTCTCGAAAATCTTCCCGCGGACGAATTTGACAAATTTGAATGATCAAACGCGTTAGTCATTTTTTTTAATCGTAAATCAACAAATTTTCGCATGCGCCTTTGATATCTATTGTAATTTTCAGTACATTTCATACTAGATCAAATCGAAAATTATTTTTAGAAAAAGCCATGGCGCCAAAATTTGAATAATAAGCCTAAACCCGCCCTCCCCTGAACTCGTCAGTCCTCGACAATATTTTTATTGTATTTTGAATGAATTGTACAAAAAATTAAGCTGCGTTTGAAATTGATATCTTCTTTTCGACATTGGTAATTTGCAAAATTGCCGGAAAATTGCGAAATTAGGAAAAAAAACATTAAGTTAATTTAGCTAAACCGAATTGGTCCCAAATTTATTTTTTTTTCCGAAATTTTCATCAGAATCTTGAATAATAATAATAGAAAAATTGGAATATCAATGCCAAATAGTGGAACAGTAAAAAATAGAATAGTTTTTTTCCATGCGAGACCCGAAATCCATATTTTTGTTGGCAATTTTATCAATATTTTTTTGGTTGAAGGTCGAATTTTTGGTTGAAAATGAGAAAAAGAATGATTTTTTTTGTCTCAAGGACACTTTTTTTGTGTTGAATTTTACGCCGGAATCCTTTTCTCTCATTTTTTTTTCTCGCAAAGGTCATATCGATGTTTTGAAATTGGAAAATAATTTCAAATTGTAGACAAAGCGGCGAAAATCGGCGTCGCGAAAAAAGCGATTCGTGCGAAACGAGAAGGATATCGATGTGTTGCTCGGCATCGCTCAGAGGATCACTTTTGAGCAGGTTTCTTCGATTATTTTCTTCAATTTTCATTTGAGATTGTTGGCGAATTTTTGCAAAAATTGATTTATCCCTCAGGCAAATCAAATCAAATATTTTGAGAATCAAATATTCCAATAATAAACTCGAATATATTTTGAGAAATTCTAAATTTTCTTGATATTTTCTGAAACTTTTTGAGAATCGCTAAACTTAAAAATAATTTTTAATAGATTTTTTTAGATTTTCTAAAACTTATTGAGCAAATTCTGAATTATCTCAATAAATTCGAAAATCTTATAATAATTTCTAAAGTTGATCGAGAAAATTCTAAAATATTATAGAGACACGTTAGTTTCTCAACGAATCTCAAAATATTTTATTTGATTTACCTGAGCCCCCAATTTTTCTCTCTTTTAAAATGAAAAAATTCAATAAAGGGTGAAATTTAGAGGAAATTCAACAAAAAAAAAGAAAAAATTGAATTTTTAAAATTTTCTTTTTAGTTTTTTCTACATTGCCTCATATTAATAATAATTTTTAGATTTGAATTTCGATTTTTTTAAATGTTTCAAATTTCGCAAATAAAGCATCCGAAATTTGAAAATTTATTTTTTTTTGTTGAATTTTGAAAAAAATTGTGAGTAAAGACACCAATTTTTGAGAAATGTTGACGTTTTTTTTGGTAAAAATTTGAATTTGACGGAAAATTTAAAATTGGTTAAAAAAATAAGAAAAATTGTATTTTCTTGGCTGAAAATTGACATAATTAATTTTTTATTTTTTATTTTTTAAGGTTTTTTTTCACAATTACAAAATTGCTTGAATTTTTGCGATTTTCTTTATCAAGTTATGTGAGAAATCAGAAATTTCAATTTTCAGTTAAAAAATTGCTGGATTTTTCTTTTTTTTTGCTTCAAAATTTGCTTAAAACTTGAATTTTGGCAATATTTTTTGCAAAAATTTGGCAAATTTTGACTAGTTTTCAAAAATTCGGCAATTTTTTTTTGGAAAAAATTGCCAAATTTGAAGTTTTTGGCGAAAAAATCGGCATTTTTCTCATTTTTCTTTTTTTTTGCTGGGCGGAAATTTGAAATTTTCGAAAAAATTGAATTTTTTGCTCAAAAATGTGCAAACTTGGCATTTTTTTGACAGAATTTTTGAAAATGAAGAAAAACGACGATTTTTTTTGGAAAAAATAGAAATTTTTAAATTTTTTTGACGAGAAATTGTGGATTTTCGGAAAATTTCAGAATTTGACGATTTTTTTTTCAAAATAAAATCGAAATGAATTTTTCCTTTTGGTTTTGCCTGCTTGGAAATTGGTCGAAATTCGAATTTTTGTGGATTCGCGCCAATTTCTCAAAGCCGTTGTTGCAGCTTGAATTGATGTATGAGCAAGCGTCGCGCAATCGTCGGACCATCGAGGAGACCCGACGGAAGATTCGCCGTCTGATGCCCTCGCGTGTGTTCATCAGCGATCTAACGGTGAGTTGTGGTCCCGAAGCGAACACTCAAATTTTCCGCGTTTCAGGACATCGACAAAATCTACAAATCGTCGGAGATTCGAGACATCATCGCCTCAGTTAATTTATGCTAACTATATTGGATTATAATGGTGTGTGCTTGTGTGTGTATAAATTGGATTCGATAAAGCGGATTACGGTAGGCGATATATATAATTGTCGTACTTGAGAGATGAAATTGCGTTTGTCTTCGCCTACTTGAGATTTTCAAATGTGGGCGTGGCTTGTGCGGATTACGGTAGTTGTTGTTGTTTTGGGGGGTCCTACCGTAGGCGTCCACTTTCGCATTTTTTTTCGCACAAAAACAAATATATGGGGGAAGAGGATGATCATGAGTCACGGGCGTATGAAAATTTGCACTTTTCATTTTATTTTTTCTCTTGTGTCGTGTCGAGACCTTGTTTTTGTGTGTACGTTTTTTTTATTTTCGTTTCGGGACCAATTTGCCTCGGTTTTGGAATGCGTCTTTAAATTGATATGCGCTTTTCAATTAAAAAAAAAATTTTTGAGAAATGCCACCCCCCTTGCAAAATTTTGGCGAAATGCGCCAAATTGGTGTGGGCGCCTTACGCAATTAATTATTCGATTTGCGCGCGCCGATTTTTTGGCACATTACCATACACACACACGCGCCAAATCCAATTTATCTTATTGTCGACGGCAAACAAAGGCGATGCCGATGGTCCGTCACAATGAATATTTAATCGAGTCCCCCCCCCCCTCTCCATTCTACGGTATATTAGAATTTCCTCATTTTTGAGTCAAAATTGGATTTCCGGCATCGTCGGCGTCGGCCGGCCTTCTTCATCAAAAAGGACGCCGCCAAAAAAAAAAAATTTCGAAATTCATATTGGTGGCTGGACGAGACGGACGACGAAAAATGGTCGCGTCGCCACTCTCATCAATTTGTCAGCGACGCCGCCGCCGCGCAAAATTTTTGTTGCACTTATTTGTGATTCGGACCCCCCCCTCCTTCCAACCCCCCGATGAGAATTGGAACTTGTCGTGATCGATTTGGGAAAAAAAAATCGAGGTGGCGAATTTGAATTTGGTGGTGCTGCGTCTCGACGCGATTGTCGACCCCGATATGGTGCGCCTTTAGAAATCGATTGAGCAGGCGGTGTGATTTGTTGGGGGTGTCTCAACGCGAAAATCCGACTAAAAATTTGGGTATTGAGACGCGATTGAGGCATGCGCCTTTAAAAACTCGGCAATATTAATTGCTCTGATGCGCCTTTAAATTGTGTCCTGTCGCGTCGACAAGAGCAAAAAAAACCCCCCCAATAGCATTGAAATTTTGGTCTCGTCACGAAAATGGTGTGAAGGTTTGAAAATGCTCAATGCACTTGTTGATGAGCATCGCTTCGAGACCACGAGATGCTCCTTTAAAGGCAATCCACGCGAGACCCCCCCCCATCAAAATTTCGATGGCAAATCGTAAAAATGGGAATTTCGATGTGAATAAAAGAGCAATATCATATATAATATATGTACATATCTATCCGCCCAATTGATACAGTAATATTTGTGCAGGCGTCTCGATGTGTGGCCATTGTCTGGCCACCAGGCGAGCCTCAGAGAAACGGAGCAGCAGCAAAAAAAATGATCGAGGAGGTGGCACAGAGAAAAACAGAACCAAAATTTTATTATTTTTTTTTTGCGCTTTTGCGATACAAAAATTGGCGCGGTCAAAATTTGGACAATTTGTTCAAATATTTGCCGTGGGTTTCCGCAGTTGATTGGAATTTTTTGGCCGATTTTCGCTTCGAGACCCTCGCCGTTGGGTCCTGGCACGCGATACTCGACAAAAAAATGCGTTTTAGCCCCACAAAACTCGATTGATGGCAATTTGATGGGCCCGCAAACATGTCCGCAGATGGGATTTTAGACAACCAAATCCCTTCCTTTCCTTGTTGTTCTCCATCAACACCACGCGGAATTTGGTGTCGATAATTACAGATGAGAATTGATACGGTCTATAATTACCGTATCGCGATTTGTCGGATTGCGCAATTCGCGCCAATTGGCGACAGTTGGTGTCAATTACCACCCACCTCAACAAATTTAGGAAGGGTGTACAATTTATTTTTGGCCCCATCGAATTTCCTGGAATTTTTTTCGCTAGCCGTCCTCATTGGGGAATTTCGTGTTAATTGCGACGCACTCTTCGTCTCCTTTCAACTATTTATCGTCCCTAACTATGCTAGGTATAATTATCGCAAAGTTTTGCGGGATTTTTTGATCTACCCTCATAAACCACATTTTGTTGGGTCTCGACACGAATTACAGTAATCCGCAAAATAATTGAGAGCGGCCGAAAATGAAACCCGCTTTGAAGCGTACCATATAGTTTACACTAACTATGCGTTGTAAACTATTACTATTTGTTGTTGTTTACAAATTTCTCGTTTTGTTGTTGTTATTGTTTTTTTTTGTCCATTTTTGGCATCATTCTTATCACCAACCCCTCGCGATGGTGTGCTAATTGCGCAATTATCAATTGGTGGCCAAAAAGTGGCCGGCGAATGGCCGCCAACCGAAATAGCCGGCCGCGAATTATGCCAAAATAAACACTATTAGGCGGCGACTTGAGACCGAAAGCTTCTGTGCAATTGGTGGGGGGAAGGGGAGGGGAGGGGAAGAGGTTGAGGGGGGGGGATGGTTTTCGAGGAGCGCGCGCCGTGCCTCCCAGCGAAATGTGTGTTTGCGCGGCGTGTGTTTCGCGCGCTTCGTGACCAGGCTGCTCCAGCTCCTCTCCAATCTCCTCCAGCTCCTATCGATTCCCCAACCCCCCACATCTCTTGGTCACTGTTTTTGATGGTCCGGCCTGACATACAACAATCATTGATTCTTCGAATTTTTCCATCCCCACCATTTTCCATTGTTGGCTTCTTCTTCTTCCTCTCCTCTCTTCTCCTCTCTCTCCCCTAATGATTCATTGCTACCGTAACCCGGCTCCATCTCTCTCAGAAGTCATGATTAAGCGATTCTCGTCATACATATATATATTTTTTTTTGGCAACGTTACTACCGTAATCGGTACCTCGAGTTCGGCGGATTTTAAAAGCGCGAACGTTGTCCGCAGATGCCCGAGAAGTCCCTTGAGCGCGATATTTCATATCGCTCAAATTGCCCGAAAAATTAATATATTCCATTTTTTTTGGGTGCGTTTTTTTTCTCTCCTTTTTTTTCGTGACATGCTCCTTTAATGTCGTTTTCGCTTTTTCCCCTAATAAAATGTCGAAAATTGTCCATCAAAAGCGGGATTCTTTTTACGAGTTTTATGACAAATGATCATCGTCGCTTCCTGATGATCAGCAAAAAAAAATTCCAAATGTTTCTTCTTGTTTCGTGGGCTTCTCGGTTTTTTTTGAGACGCTTGCGTTGACGATTAGCAATGTTTGTGGCTCGCGATTGCAAATAGAACACGGTCTTGCAAGAAGGAAAAAAAAGGTCGCGCGCGCATGCGGAGTCGAACCGGCGATGCGTGCCGCGCGGGATCAAAACGCGTTCGCCACTAGACTAATGAGACATTGATGGAGGGGCGAGTGATTGGCGTATAAGTGTCGCGCGCGCGCGGACGCCGGTGTAATGATGGAATCCGAAATTTTTCTGGGTTATGAAATGAAAACGAAAAGCATATCGTGGGGGGGAGCCCCCCTGCTGTGTGTGGGTCTGGCGCCCTGCGTAGTGTTAAGTAAGTCCTTCAAATTTTCTCGAAATCCGTTTTTGGTGGGCGGTGGCCTTCGTTTGCAACATTTCTCGAGGTCAAACCGGCAGCTGGTGTCGTTTTCCTCATCAGAAGCACCGTCAATTTATCTTCATAATTTCCGTTTTTTTTTTGGGGGGGGGGAATTCCTTTAAGGGACACCTGGCCAACTTTTTCGACTTGAAATTGATTTTGACGACAAATCATAGATTATCGAAATTGTTGCTAATTTTCAATGTTAAAAAAGTCGAAAATCAAATGATTTTGTTGGCTTGACGCAAAAAGGCACACAAAATGAATGGGTTTGGTGTTTGCGGACATTGACATTCGAATTGACGACAAATTCAATTTTTCCACTTTTTTTTGAGCAGCGATTACGGTAGCCGGAAAACTTGATTGTTATCCAAATTAGGAGATGCAATACGGTCGACTAGACACTGAAAAGCACGACGCCGCGAATTGCGCAATGGTTTTTTTGGCGTCTACCGTAACCCCCGACGACGAGCAACCGCCAAAAAAAAAGTTGATTTTTAGTGATGCTCAATGAGGCATCAAAGAGCACGAAACACTGTCTTTTTTTTTGGGGAGTTCGGCCCATATTTGGTGGGTGGAGAGGAAGAAGCTGGAAGGTTTCGGCGGCGACGGCGGCGCGGTAATTTGCATTTGACAAGCCGCGCGCCTAAATTTATTCGTATGGTGTATGATGAAAGGGCCCACCCATCGCGTTTTAAACATTCGCCCCTCAGATATTTTCAATTTTTTTTTTGTTAAATTTCGGCTTCACCTCTTATTTTGGCGGTTGCCGATTCTACTCTCGTAATTAGGCTGTAAACCGTTTTTGTGATGTTGCGCGCCCGATCGCAATTTTGGCCTGTTTTCAATGATTGCTATAATTGAGGGCGCATGACACCATGGTGTTGTTGCACCATTGGTGGTGTTTCACACATTGCGCCAGGTGATGATGATGGCAATTGCAGGGGGGGGGGCAGGTTGCTCGCTTCACGTATACGCCACCTCAGGCGGTCGCACATGTGTCCCATGTGGTCTAGTGGTTAGGATTCGTGGTTTTCACCCACGCGGCCCGGGTTCGATTCCCGGCATGGGAAGGCGTGATTTTTGGATTTTTCTAGAGAGAGAGCTTCGCGCCCTTTCACTTTGAGTTCCAGTTTCGGTTGCATTCCCCCCATCGTTTTTGTCGATTTAATTGCCCCCACCATCGTCTTGCGACGCTCATATTCGTGATGACATCGCTCATCATCAAATGAGGCAGAGACCTACCGTATCGCTAAATGTCCCATTGAACACCAACCCGAAAATCGAGGTTGTTGCAAAAATCGGTGTTCGTCGCCGACGTCGCCCCACACC